GACTGAAAGGCTACTGCCCTTCTCCCGATTTCCCAAGAAAAAGGCCTCTGGTTTCTGCCCATAGAGATCGATTGGAGCTGACGGGCCCCATTTCTGCTCGATCAAGTCCCACAAGAAAACCTTGTAAGTCGATAGCAATGCCAGCCAGTGAGAGTCGTCGTCAATCGCCATCGCATGAATCGGCATGGGATTCTCGGATAGATCCTTCGGCCCGTAGACTACATAGCTCGCAAACTCGTACCGGACATTCCAAGCTCTGATCACGCGATCAAGACCGACGGAGACAACTTGACCATCCGAGGAAGCGCTAAGCATAGCAACGTCGAGCGCATGACCACCAGAGAGTGTCTTGATCGAGAGCAGTGGCTCGTCATCGAAATCTTCATATCCTTTTGACTCAGCCAGCTCGTCCCAAAGCAGGTAATTCATTAGTAAACGAACGGCAGCAACCACAAGCAGCACAGTCAATACAAAACGCGGGACTTGGTGGTGCGCAAAGTCATATACTGCATCGAGGAACCACCGTGGTTTCACAGGCGGGATTCGATCAGCACCCTTGAACACAAAGACTAGTGGCTCATACACACGGGCAACATAACTGTGTCCTGTAGGTTTGATAACGTTGATGACCTCACGGGCCGTCTCGTGATCTTGAAGCCGCAACCATGACGTCGGGCTGCGTGCCTGGTGAAGTCCTGCTAATCCGTTCGATGATGGGGAAGCGACATCTTCACTCTTCCAGATGAAATCAAAGACACGGCTAATACTCTTGACTGTCCCTTCATGTTCGGAGAAGTGCCACTGTGCAACGACAACAAAACCTAGCATAATGATAGTTCCTGCTATGCGTGTCGATAGGGCTAGTCGGCCTTGAAGCAACGCCTCGGTCCACTGTTGTCGAGACTGACTTCCCGCGCGCGAGCGGCTAGGTTTGTAAGACGCCTTTTCGAGAGCATCGCTGAGTTCGGTACGCCGTACATCAACGCTAAGAACCGAAAGAAAGAACGTCGACAGGTAGAAGAAATCGAAGATGATTGCGATAGCAGCAAATGAACAGAAAGACGAGACACCTGGCGACACTACCCTCGAAAGGCCCCACAAGATCAGAAGATTTTGAGTGACGCTTGCAAGAGCAACGTGCGCGGTTTGTCCAAATGCGTCCCCTATTCGACCTGGAGTACTGTGGTCAGCTGGCGTGACAATGACAGCATTGATTAGACGAAAAACGTTCTCGAGGCTCATGGCCAAGATCACGAGCGGGTAAGCTGCTCGTGGTATTTTCGATAAATCGATTTTGAAGATTGCGCAGACCGTCAAGCTGGACATGATCGACAGAGCTATTTGTGTCATAACGGTGATGATAAGACCAAGTTTTGACTTGACCGCTCTGATCTTTGACAGACTCAAGAAGAAGTAGACCGTGGTGAGGGAATAAGCTAATGTCAAGATGATAGAATCTTGCGTTGATATAGGCCGGAACTGGAACTCGTAGAGTTGATTTTGCCACTCTCTGCCATCTTTAGGATAGATATCCCACCTATCGCTCATTTTGGCCGCGACAACTTCTGCTTTTCTTTCCCACTGACGTCCAATCGGAGAGTCACGTAGATGTATCAGTGTAATCACCAACGCATCTGCAGCCACCAGCCGGCGGTCTTCAAACGATTTGCCACTAAAGACGATCGAATGCCGCAGCGTGACATTGACAGAGGTCGGTTGAGTCTTTCTCTCGTTCACTGTGGCTAGGATATCCGGGTCAGTCATAATTTTTTCTGCATCGCCAGACCAATACTGAAGAGGAGAGTGGTAGAACCATGACTGGTTAGTCAGACCATTGATGACATGGAAAGTGTTTCTGTCGCTTGGGCTTAGGTCCGCGAGCGGGTCGGAAATCTCGATACTGTTTGTTGGTTGCCGCGGATTAAAGTCCTTGGTCGGTCCTAGGAGCTCATCCTGAAGTTCCAAGGCGCCAAGGAGGACTTCCCGCTCGAGGGCCTTCATGTAGCTGCCATGTACCCACAAAGTACGCATAATCACATCAGGTTCAATCTGAGATTTCCCCTCGAGACGCTGTGCATCAGTCCATACATGAAGAGGGATGTTGGACGCTCCATTTGAGAAGTCCGTCGTGTAGAGAAAGGGGAACGGGTAGATCAAAATAGCGGCAACCGCCACGGAAATTAGAAGAGTCGTGACGACATGTCGAGCGGCATATCTGCCGTAACGCGTGAAGGCGTTTCGCAGAGGATGTGTCGGAGCAAGGACTGGCGCCTCAGTCGTCCTTAAACACAAATCAACACGAGACCTTCACCAGGGGCAGCAGCAAAGTTCTAGAAGGGGATTATACGCACCCTCGGAAGGGGTAGAGGAGATACCAAATCATTCCTCAAAATTCCACCAACAGCTCGGCACGCTTGGATTTGTCACCGGAGAGAAAACATGGGCCGTAAATATCGCATAACTAGATGAGCAGAAATAATACACCCGAGCAAAATCTTTCGCGAGACAAGAGCGCAAAAACAACTGCTGGTAAGTCGCTTCGGTGTGAGAAAGGCGGTGCTATGCGTAGCGGAGGATCATCCTGCAGAGCTGATTGGCGCCTATCTAGTCTCTGTGCGAGATTCCAGTCAATCCGTTGAGCGAGCGCAATTCAGTTGAAGAGGGCCGGAGGAGGTCGTCGTATGCGGATAAGAGGATGAGTTGTGGATTTTACAAGCGGGGCTTTGGGCACACGAATGGGCTGGCACGCAAGCAGCTGAACTTCTGCAGGCCCGAGAAATGCGTGATGGACTGGGGAACTGGTGGGCCAAGGGTGTGCAGAGAGCTCACAATGGCACAAGATTGAGCTCCAACTGGGTCGGATCCGGAGCGGCGGTACCTCTAGAGGATGCGCAATAGTGCGAATGGGATCAGCTTGGTCGGCCTAGAGTTTCGCGTGTCTTGTCTGAGTTGAGCACTGCGCGTGGCTTGTTGATGCGTTGGGGCAGGAAATACCAGTCAATGAGATCGTTATTGGAGGGATGAACTGAAGTGTCGTCGAGAAATGGTGGCCACAGCTCGTCGATTTTGGGAAAAGTTGGCGGCAGTCGTGGAGTTCAAACAGGGGGCCTTCATTGGCGTCAGGCGAGACAAGATGCCTTTGGTCGAACAGTGGTGGCACGGACGCAGCTCTGGGGAGCCACTGAAACTGCGATTTGCGCGATGGGGAATATCAGCCGTCGATGCAGATCTCTCCCGTTCGGATCTCTTATAATCCCCGCCGATACGATACGATATGATGCGATGCGACAACAACCCAACACTAAGATCCCAGAGGCTGCGGGCGGGAGTGTGATGTGATGTACCTGCAGAACCCAGTGATGCTCTACAGCTTCACCCATCCAGAACAGTGTGAAAGGCAGGATGATCAGAGAGGCGCCAAAGAGCACAACCCACCAGAGGACAGGGTGTTGCCAGTCTAGCTATGACAATGACATACGTCTGCAGTAGGGCAGATGCTGAAAAGAGCGGAAAAAGAAAGCGGAAGCGAGGGATATCGGCAGTCCCGCCAGCCGGGTTATGTCATTAGACAAGCGCACGTTAGGTCAATGATTAGTAGGGGGAGGTAGGGGGAGGAGATGAAAGATGAGATAGGCGGCGTCGGTGGGCTGAGAGCGAAGAGATGCGGAAACGGGGGATTTCTGAAAAGGGCAGACAAACGCGTCATAGCAGTACGGTAATCGGGGAAAAAGGATGCAATTTGGTCGTCTTGCACAAAAATCACTAATGAATACCAGTGCCAATGCCAGGTAACTTAATGGAAGGCCGGGTTATGCCTCATGAAAAGCCACCCACTGGGGAGGCCAGACGCAAAAAGAAATAGCGGCAAGATTGGAGCAAGCCCCAAGTCTTACTTCACTTGGTGCCCGCCCCACCAAAAATTGAAGTCGCTGAGGCACTCACCATTTGGAGAGGAAGAAGGAAAGAACGACCCGACTCGTGTGCCTTCTCACCCCCCTGTCATGTGCTGTGCTGGGGGGATGCACCTGGACACCGAACCAGAAACACACACATGTGTCTCAAAGCAAATCCATTGCACATTGCAACCACCACGCAGGCAAATTCAATTCAATGCTGTGCTTCACGAGCAGACTCTCGCATATCAGGTGAGGTCAGGTGATCCGATTTGCTCTGGTCTGATCCGGCGCCTGCGAGCATCGTTCGAGGTGACGGAATGGTCTTCGTAGCGCGTAGCGGCAGTGGGAATAGCTCACCTCACCGGCCGGGTGCGATCGATCGGATCGGTCCTCTCACTGAAAAGGAGACCACGAGCCGGGATCTCTTTTCTTGGTCAAATTGCGACCAGTCGAGTGTATGCATGGGGCTTGTGAAAAGCGCCCAGCCACGCGTTTCGATAGATCCCCTTAGGTAAACATTTCCGTCGGTTGAGCGAGTGTTAGATGCGGAGTACGACCGTTAGGGAGCCGCTCACATCGCGCGCCGGATTCACATCTCGATTTGAGGGAACGCAGCGAAGATGGGACTTGGGACGGCTGCCATGGCCATACTTAAATACCTTAACCAGTCTCTTTCTCCCTTCCCCGCTCCCCTTTGCCATAGGTAGAGCACACTTTGTTTCTTTCCTAATTGTGAAGTGGCTGCAGTCCAGACCTCACTGAGGTTCAGCGCCTTATTACGTCGAAATCAGCTGTTTTCCAGCAATTATGGTCTGACAGCTCTGGCTGGAGCCATCCTGATTGGTGTGCCTGGGGTAAGCTCTTGGAGCGCCTGGAACCCTTTGTGGAACCCCACAAGGCGATCTCAAATCAAATCAGCTGGCTTCAACCACACAAACCACTCACCAGGACGAGCAACCCAGCTGAGGGGTGAGGAGGACGAGAGACCCAAGAGGCTGAAATAGTCAACTCGATCCGGCCCGCGCTGGGGAAACGGGCAAGCGTGAGGAGACGACTCATCTGCCGCAAGGCTGAGACATATTCGCACGCTGTTGCACTGTTGTGATGGATCGCCTGCCAGATCCAATTGTTGAGCTCATCACTACCTACAATGAGCTGAACAACTCGGTTGTCGACGTGCTGCAGGAAGAGCCTAGCCCTCTCGAGTTCATGCGATACGTCGCTCAGAATACTCCCTTTGTAGTCCGCTCAGGAGCCGCTGGCTGGCGTGCTTCCAAAATCTGGAGTGCAGCATATCTCAGAGACTTCTTGAAAAACGAGACAGTCAACGTGGCTGTGACACCAAAAGGGTTTGTGCATCTCTTATTTTGTCTGAGTTTGCGGGCATGTGCTCCAGTGAATACATGCTCTTCTCAATCATCATATCAAACTCGGATTAACATGCATGCATTAGCAATGCCGACTCGCCTCTCCGTCTCGAGGACGGCTCTCTCGTCTTCGTCAAGCCCTGGGAAGAAGACCAGCCGTTCCCAGAGTTCCTGGACCACATCATCGAGCAAGAGAAGACGAGTCCGTCACAAGCATCTGAAGTCAGATACGCCCAGACGCAGGACGACAACCTGCGGCACGAGTACGCCTCGCTCTTCAGCCACGTCCAGCGCGACATACCCTGGGCACGCATTGCCCTGCAGAAGGAGCCCGACGCCATCAACCTCTGGGTCGGCAACTCTCGCTCCGTGACCGCCCTGCACAAGGACAACTACGAGAACGTCTACGTGCAGATCCTCGGCCGCAAGCACTTTGTTCTCCTCCCGCCGCTGTGCCAGCCCTGCGTCAACGAGCAAGCCCTGCGGCCAGCGAGCTACGTCCGGGGCGGCGGCGATGGAGCCGAAAACCTTGATCTTAGCTTTGAGGACGGCGACGACGTCCCCTTCGCGACATGGGATCCGGACAATCCAGAGACCGCCACGACGCGCTATTCACATCTCGCCTCGCCGCTGCGCATAACCCTCGAGCCGGGTGATATGCTCTATCTTCCCGCAATGTGGTATCACAAGGTATCACAGTCCATATCTGACGAAGGTATATGCGTCGCCGTCAATTACTGGTATGATATGGAGTTTAGTGGTCCGCTGTATCCATTGTGCTCTTTTGTCCGATCCACAAATCAGTACGTATCTGAAGCTGAAGAGGGAATGGGTATGTCAAAGGCTGTCCTGAAGCTACAAGGTGAGACGGCGCAAAGTCTAATTTGCGACCGTATCGGGCCATAAGCTTTTCACCAGAGATGTCTTACACAGTGTTCAAGGTGCAATCGTCTCCCAAGAGTACTCCGAGGGACGTGGGAGTTTGAATTAGAAGTACAACGACAGTTCATCCTCAAAACGGATAAGAAGTCTTCGTATGAGTTCACACAACAACAAAAAAAATATAAGATACAATGCCACCCCTATCTTTCCAACACCGTGACCTCTTTATCAGGTGATTTGGGTATCAACCGAAACCAGAATACTGAATATGCAATTGGCCCAGATGAGCTAAACAGCCTCCTTTTGGACCAGATGAAGTACCTCACTTCCCAGTATTAGTACAAAATTTGGGACAGACCCTTCGAAGATGGAACCCAGATAATGCAGTTCGCAAAAAAACTCCTCGCAGAAATGCAGTTGAATCCAGCCACGGCTAGGATTCCTTATTAGTATTGTTATTGATATGATCCATGTGTCGGCCGCGCAAATTCGCTCCATTTGATTGTATTGGAGACGATCAACAGAGAACTGGTATATCATCCATGGGATATTACAGTCTCGACCAAGCAAACGACACTGCGAAAACGCGTTCATGCTCCTTCTCGCGGAGATAGCTTTGTGAGATGTTGTTGAGGACTTTGGCCATGCATATGGGATACGCTGTCGGCCACTTGCTGCCCCCAATCATTATTGGCCAATTTATCGATGATCTCTCACATCGTTATGTCTAGGGCCATTTCTTGCGGCAACTTTCTGGCGCATACCTCGGTCCGTTCGGTGTTGACGAGTGGTTTACGAGTTCAAATCTCCAGCTCGCTCATATAAACTCGGGCAAGGGGTTGCTCGTCGCCATTGTCGATGGCTGGGAATTCGCTGTCTCTGCCTGGGTTCGGGGTGGTGTGCCGTGTTGCGTGACAGGCGTTCCCGAACTTGAGCCTTGCCCCCGGCTTCTTGGCGTATTGCTTGATCCTAGCCCTCGTTTCATCATCTTGCCTAAGACTGTGACTAGTTCACAAGCGTCGTTGAACATATCATTGTCGATACCCTCTGTTGCTTCGTAAACTTCGGCGATCGTGTCCTTTGCGAGTTTCCGACTACCTTCAGCATCGTGCACACACTCATATAGGAATGCCGCATATTCAGTCTTGACAGATAATCGAAGGGAATGAGAGCCCCAAAGAAGGCCGTCCGCGAGTTTAAGAGCCTCCTCAAAGTATCGGTGTGCTATTGGGAGGTAGTTCATGGCTGGCAGAAGGAAAGCTGCTGCTGGCTCGGGAGCAAATCCCGGGGGCGGTCCAACAGGCCCACCTTCCATCGTATGTGTCGGCTGCAGAGACGAATGTGCCGTATCGGGTTCGTCAACTGCTAGACCTTTCCCTTTGTCGACTTTTGGCGCTAATCCAGGGACTGTAGAAGTAGAGGGGGGTTCTGGTGTGGGCACGCCCATATTTGAGACCGGAGGCTGGTTGTGAAATAAAACAAAAATGTAATAGAAGGAAGCTCGGAGCTTGTAGGCCAATACCTTGAGCTCAGTGTAGTTGCCGACCATGGGAAGGACATATTGCTCAAGCATGATAGATCCTTCTCGTGACAACCAGATAATATGTAGATACAGATCAAGAGACTGTGTCACACGAGTCGGGTCGAGTCGTCGTTGTTTTCGAGCTTTTATCAGCTGCGCAGAGAGATTGATCGAAAGACCTAGAATCTTAAATAGCATAGAGGCGAGGAGGGGATTATCTGGTTCAACGGCTTTGGCAAGTTTGCCGAGGAACTTCTGATCTACTTCGGATGAAGCCATGAAGCTTGTGATCCGGTGCTACCGCAACAAGAGCTCTGTTCATAAAATTAGAAATGCTCTGAATTCGATAATGTCAGGTCAAAGCTTAGGTGGACTGTGAAAAGAGGTACGCGGGAATGTCAGACCGGTACTGGAAGGATAATTGTAATCATCCTGTGTGTCATGAGGGAAAACAAAGTAAGGTGTTTATAGAAATGGTACCCCATGGAATAATAACGTACCTGATGCCAGCCTCGGAGTACCCAAGGCCCAAAGATGTAACGCCTCGGGCTGGAGATAGGTAGACGAGAGGAGCAAACTCGTTGAGATTAAGGCGAAGTAGGAACGACTACAATGATTGCAAGTAACGTTTAAATATCCAAGCTAAGGAGAGCTGGGCTGTAGGCGTATGCAGCAGGGCTGATATCGGCAGAGGTGGTGTTGCCAGCAAGCTCAGATGCATGCCGGTCCCACGTGCGCCGGCCCGGACTAGTTCTATCCAGCAAAAAATTACCGACTGAATGGAGACCGCTTTAGGTCATAGGCCGTTGAAGAGGTGATATTAGCTGACGTCGGTAACGTGGGACTGTCACAGAGAAGTCCTTGTTGGTGGAAATGAGGCTTGTGATGTTACAGCCTCGGCCAGCAAACAGGACCCCTGGGCAAGGACACTTTGCGTTCAGTTTAATTACAACAGGACTGTCAGCAACACTGGTGTTAGTTGGTCCATGAAACAACTTTTGATCATTGGAGGATGGCTGACCAATATCATACATCGAAGAGCAGAAAGGCCCGGATAGGAAATTTGTACAGGTGGGATGGCCAATGAGAGTCTTCGGCCGCGCAGATAGTTGCGCTTAGCACCAGGGCGACTTGCAGGCGGAGGACTGAGGCTCAAACTCGGGGATGACCTTGCTGAAATTGGTACGAAGCATGGCGAACGTTCTCGATCCCGGCCTAGCGAATATATATATGGGAGGCAGCCTTTTCCGGGGATTTTCGCTGGGGTCTCGGGCGCTGATGTAGAATCTCGGGAACCCGTGGGACCTGGAGGGATCTGGGACGCGATGCCAAAGGCGGTGAGACGCAAACCTGAATCTCGGGAACTTTCAAGCTTGGTTCTGGCTTCTCGACCAGGATGCGGTGGAGAAGCCTAGGTGCGACGTTGTCCGACTCTTGACCTCGAGGTCAATTGAAGCCAATTGATGGTCTGGTGATCCAGAGAAGCGTCTGGTAGAAGATTGGAAGGTTTAAGAGAGCGTAGAGCAGCAGAGAGCCAGGCCTGAAGCAAGAAGTAAACACGGTCCGGGATTCAATTGAGAGGACGGGCGGTATGCATGTATCTTTAAGGAGTCGGTCGTGCAGCACTGCAGCGCAGATGCACCTCAGATGCAGACGTGGAGAAGGTCTGCATGAACGTAAACGAATGTGGTGTGGCCCAGGCGCCGTTGGCTTTTTGAATGCGTCGCGAGCGAACGAGCCAGCTAGCGAGCGACAGGCAAACGACCGAACGAGGCAATGGCAATGACAAGGAACAATGACGCTGGTTCGGAGATTCTGGCCTCGCCTGCTCTTATGATGTGATGACCGTCCTGGGGCAAAGCCAGACAATGAGTTCGGGGCTGGGCAGGCAGGCGAATGGAAGCCGTTGATGCTGCAGCTGGTCCTCTGCACGATGAGTTGTCCACCGTCACTCACTCGAGATCCACGGGGCGCAATGAGTGGTCCGTCCCCGTTTCCCTAGATGCTCATCCTTCCACTACAGCGCATCCTGGTGGGACCAATGCCTAGGGCGTCAGGGTGCGGCGGACACAGGCGTGATTGCGCGCCTGAGCTGCTGCTGTCGTCGCCGTCGTCGTGGTCGAGTCCGCGGTGAGGGTCAAGATGGAGGTGAAAATGGCACCGCACGTTACCGTTGCCTTTAAGAGGTTCGCAGTATGCGGCAGGACGCGGGACTAAGGATGATGGACTGAGACCTGAGTCAAAAGGGAAGACGGGAGACAGACGGCGCGGTGCGTGGCTACTCTCCCGCGGCGGGCACTTGAGCGCTGATGTCAATCCAAGTCACAGCGCCCCCAACGCTGCCCTGATTTTTCGCATTTTACGCAGCTGTCAGGGACAAGGGAACCTTCCAGGGACCTTCCCGACACCTTCACAGTAGAGGTAGGTACTCGGGTGTTCGTTCTTGCCTCAATGGATACAGTGCCTAGGGTGGTAGGTACCTCGAGACCTGGACACATCCCACAGGTCGATTGCGCCTTCCTCTTCTTGGTCTCGCCCAGGCTCGCATATATCCGGACATGGCAGGGGGGGCCGACGAAGCTTATTATTATCAAATAAGCCCAATGTCCTGATATCAATGCAGCTCTCGACTAACACGCTAGATTCTCCTCTAGCAGTTCTCATAAAGATATTTCATCGCACTATCGATGTGAGGCTTTGCAAGCCTCTTTTCTTCTTGTCGGCCACGATGACAATGCCCTTCTGCTCCGTCCGTATCGGCGCCGGCCACGCCGCCCACACCTCCATGTCTCAGACGGTTTGACCGTTGCCGACCCAACGTTCCCTTGTGCACTCATTGCCACGTTGATCGAGGATGTGTTTGGCACGTAAGACCGGACGGCAGACCTACTGAGGCCTGCAGTCTCACGTATCACACTTTTCCGGGTGCGGTGGTACACACTGAAGCTGGGCCGTGAAGACTTACACCCTTCATGTCTTGAATCCACGTTGTCGATAGACACCCAGAGATTTCCAGATCTCTCGTGCTGCGCAGTGCGTGCAGGTGTGCTACGTTAATCGCCGACGCAGCCCACTCTCCGGGCCTCCCACTCGCATTCAACCACCACTAACAGTCTGTATGCATTGGACGCGACCCCCAATGGCTAGCCAAACCCTACATTCTGGGCACTCTGATGGAGTGAGTGCCGTCACAGACTCTTGGCCAAACAGAGCGGCTTCTGAAATCCCCAGCCACCCTATTTTCTCTCTCGCGTGACCCACTTCCTGCAAATCCCCTGCTACGACACTCTATTGGTGCCAGCGAACAGCGCCGCATGCCCTGAGGGAGCGACGACAACCCACGGTCTTGGGCGGCTTGATGACTTCATCCTATAAATACGTATAGCAAAGTCCCAGCTTTGCCAACGCAGAGCATCGACTGACTGGCTTACACTTGGGTCTCAAATATGCGGCCATCCCCTCCTTCCAATCTATTTTGCATTTGCACGACAGGAGCCTGCGCTGGAGAGGACCCCGACATACCTGCATCTTCGATCTACTATCTGTGTAATCCAAACAAACGAACTGGCGGTGAGGGACCACAAGACACAATGGGCCGGCCCTCCTACGCGTAGTCACCAAAATCCCCCTTGAAGATGCATTGTGCAGACTAACGAAGTCTGAGGCCATCACACAAGTTTAGGAGTACCCTGTCGCGACCACCTCACCATGGATATCGACTGGTCCTTCTCCTGGACGCGCCTTTCCGTGTTGTTGTTTCAAGATGCCCGGTGACTGAACTCTCAACGTGGATATGCTTGTGCAGTCGCATTCCGCCTTCAAAGATAGGGCATGCAGCCCTACAATTACCTGGTCGGGTTTAACTACCTTCATATTGCTTTTTCTTAACATTAGGCATTGTCCAGGTACCAGTGCGGGTGCCACGTCCACTTGCTTCTTCATATATTGAGTCAGGCTTAGAGCACACCCTCCCAACTGTGAAGATCGCTCCTCATAAGGCCAGACCAGGCTGTTAAGGTCCAGATCAATTTGCTTATTTCGGACGGGATTTCTTTCCGCAGCCTCCATCTTCTCGGATATCTTAACCTTTTCATTGGATGTGTGGTGCGGTTGCTATGCTTTCTTATGACATGGCAAATTTCCGATCAGAATGAAGGCTACTTACATGAGGTCTTGAATCTATGAATGGTCTGTCTCAGATATCAGGTGTTGGGTTCTGGAAACTACACCCTCTCTCCTCGGAAGCCCAAAATTTCTCAGGCATCAGTCCGTGGCAGTGCCATGGCTGGTTGCTGACACCTGAACGTGAGACCAGATGACATACAAGGCGATGTCTATTCGCTATTGTCTATTTCACAGAGCTGACAATGTGTTCATTTAAATCGTATGATATGATCGTGCTTGAATGTTTACAGCTAGTCATGTTTCTTCACAACTCAGGCTTCATTCTTTCGCCTGTATCTCTAAAAGTTCTACCAGACATACACAGATACAGCTCATTCCTGAGAGCAGCCACTCGCTAGATGTCCTGCCTTGCTTACGACATACTGATCCTACCGAAATCCTACCGCATTTCATTGCGATCATGTGCGAATACTACGCACACGCCTTTATCTGTAAACACGTCACTTTCACGTTCGCCCGCTTCTGTGGGCCGGCGAACCTAATCCAGACACCTTGCTCGAGACGCAAAGTTTGGCACACTTTCCGAATGGATCAACCCTGTGAGGAGTGTTGGACATGGTTTCCAGATCGTGTGTACGGCGGACCAAGAAGGACTCGGAAGGCAGACGCATAAGACGAAATATGCAAGCGCATTCGACCCTAGGTAATATATGGAATTTATGGATACTCAATGGCGATAAATTCTTCGGTGATTTGAGAAGGGATTCCTGCTTTTGATAAGCCGGTATGATAATAGATACAAGAAAGTGCTGTTGAAAGGCGTTACGGCTTAGACAAGATGCGCCGGTGCAACTTCTTAGCTGGTTTTGGGAGGCTACTGGCACGAGGGACTTGGGGACATTCAGCAATGGAGGCACATGGCGGGTTTTATGGATTTGAATTTCAGATAGGTCAGCTATTCTTACTCAACTCCGTGAGAATACCTACCTAATACCCATTTCTGTCAAGTGGTATAACGTCCCTTAGTGACGATGATTATGACGCCAATCAAGTGTAGCAATTATCCGTGATGCCAGATCGAAAAGAGACTGTCGCCGACAACCCACAGCCCAAACAGCTTAATCCCTCCCCAGTCTAGTCCTCATCTCCCTCCACAATAGAAGCCATCTTCTGGCCTCCCTCCAGCTTGCGGCGTAACACGCCAACGGGGACCATCCGTCCCGTAGCGTTGAAGAAATCCGCCTGCACCTCCAGCCAGTGGTTCACCTTGTTCTTCACATCAATGACCTTCAGCACGTTGCACTCCTGCACATTAAAGTCCGAGTCCGGCTCTAGGGCTGCGGAGTCGTCCAGATTCAAGTTGCTGTACATGCGCGTGTAGATCTCCGCCTCGCTATCCACGTCGTTGTCGGGGGAGCTGCCGACTTCGTTGTCCGAGTCAGAGGAGACGATCATGAGCGCGGTCTCCTTCTTTGGCGATGTCTTTGTCTTCTTCGGAATATTTGCGGACTTCTTGCCGCCTTTGCCCTTACCCTTATTGGTCGCGGCATCTGTCATCTCGTTGTCGGCGTCGTTTTCGGTGTCAGCAGGAGTGAGGCTTGTCATGTTACCAGTAGTGGTACTGCCGCCTTCCGTCTGCTGCGTCGACAGCTCTTTCCAGCGTTTCTGGACCTCCTTTTTGCCGCGACCGATAGCCTGCCCAATCGATGCCCAGATCTCGCCGCCCTCCTTCATGGAGACGATGGCGGCATCTTCGGAAGCCGACCAATTTCCAGAAGCACTTGTGGTAGCTTTAGGCTTGCTATCGTTGTCAGTTGCGGGGCCGACATTGCTGTCCTCGTCAGAAAGAACGACGGCCTTGGTAGAATCTCCATCAGTGGTGCTGGGTTCAGTAGTCTCAGGCGCGGATGACTTCTCCTCAGAGACATCAGACTGCTCGGCGTACTTGACGGCCTTCTTGCCCTTCCCCTTTAGACAGCTCTTCAGGGGCAGCTCGGGCTCGCTGGTGTCGGCCATAAAGCCGGTGTCAGTGTCCTCGAAGACCACCTGCTTCTTCTTCAGGCAGGGTCCGGTGTCCTTGAGGCACTTGTCGTGCTTCGTCGCCTTGATTATGCCGGTGTGTTTAGCCTTGGTCTTCCGCAAGGGCGAGGTCACCTTCTGCTCAGATTCGGAAGACTCCGAGTCGGCATCCGAACCATCATGAGCGCGCTCGTTGCTGCTCTTGTCGCTGCTAACATTCTCCTCACGTGGCATGGTGATGGATAAGACGGAGGAAGAGGCGCGAGCTTCCTCGCGCGCTCGGCTGCTGCCAGGCCAGGCTCTCTTTTTGGGGACGAGCATAGGAGAGTCGACCAAGAAATTAGTCAGGTGAAGCTCATATCTGTTGGAGTGTAGTCTGTTGGTGGAGAATCCCTGGGGACGCTGAGTGTATCCCTTGGAGGAAGGCATATTTGCGTACGATTTTGGTAAGGTGACTGCCACTGTGGATGTTGGAGATGGCGGGATTATGTGCAAATAGGAGGTCAGGTGAGGATCAGGGCTACTATTCAGTTTGGCCTTAAAAGATTCCACACGCAACACGAGGAAACCAGATGATATGGCAATGATCAGAAGATCTTCTTCATAAAAAATCAGGACATGAAAGTGGTTTGGTAGAGAGATTGAGGAAGAAAGGAAACAAGCTCCACGGGTCGGAGTTCAGTGAATGGTGGATGTGAAAAGATGGGATGATGATGGTGGGGAGCAACCAAAAAGCTACAGGTGCTCATGAAAGGACTGCAGGCCATTGATGACCAGGCAACTGCAAAGAAAGAAAGGAAGCATCAAGATTGTGCAGGAGCAGCTTTACAGGGTTGACATTTCTTCAACCTGGGCCCTAACAAAATCCGTAATCAAGTAATGTATCCTGATGCTGACAACCATCTTTGAGGACATATCAGTCATATCAATGAGGAAGAAGTGCCTTACCACTCCTGTGAGGTGCACATCTCGCAAGACATAGTATCTTCCCAGGCTTTCCCTTTCGTCATCGTCAATATCCCTCTATGTAGTAATGCCATCTTGTTTCCCATAATTGGCTAAAATTTGTGCGATTTCAAGATCTGACCACTTCTCTTCATATAATTTAAGAGGCCTAGTGCTTGCAACTACATATATATATAGAAAGGCCACCATAATACGTGAAGGCTTTTAGAATAGGGGTTGGCGTTTGTAAAAGGAGGCTCAAATGCGGGTAGAAGAACCGGCCAATCAAACGCAAGCAATTAGTAGTGTTTGATGGATCCGCTTAGGTGCTCCATCTCCTTGAAGTATCGATCGAGACATCAACTATCGCGAAGAACTGCCTCAACTTAGAGCCTCTAGAATTCGCAAATAGGCTTATCAAGATGACTTCTCTACCTTCCATGGAGGGCAACTATGCAACAGCCTTGGAACTGATTGACAAGGCTCACTCTGATGATCCCAACAAGATCCCAGCGCCCGATGCCTCAGGGACGACCATCCCTTACGAGCTTCACTATGCTCGAAAAATGACACGATGGCTCGCGCTGCGATCGCCCACGGCACCGCCCGTCCTGCAACTTGCATGTCGAGCCCAACACTTTAGAAGGTGCGTTTTAAAATTCCTATACACCCATTAAACCCCGATATTGACGGAGAAACTCCTTGAAGATGGGAGATACCGCGGAGTAGCTATCCCATGACTAGGCCAGGTTACCTGACATGGAGGGCAAAACTAAAGGCGCAGGCAGCAAACCAGGTTGCGGAGCTTCTGGCATCGCCACAGGTAGAGCCGCCTATCCCGCAAGAGCAGATCGATCGGGTGGCAGCCCTGATCCGGAAAGAGAACCTCAGCAAGGACGAAGAAACACAGATTCTCGAGGACGTAGCATGCCTCGTTTTCTTGGACGACCAGTTCGACGATTTCGAGAGGAAACCGGAGATCGACGAAGCCAAGATCATCAGCATTCTCCAAAAGACTTGGGTCAAGATGAGTGCCAAAGGCCAGGAACTGGCATTGCAGATGGACCTGAGTGACAGGGCGAAATCGCTGATCGGGAAGGCCCTGGAAGGCGCCTGAGTGGGAGTGAACGAGTGGGGGAGCTTCCAGCGCCGTACCAGGAATGCGGAGAGAAATTGCGGGGTTTGGCGCCCCTTTGTAGTATTTCCAGGGCATTTCCCGACCGGCAGCGAAGACGGAGCCACTGAAGTGCAAGACATTATAAGCACCAGACAGTCCTCGGCACATCTAAAGCCGATCGATTTGTCGACGTCAACTTGGGATGGGTACTTGATCTAGGGCCTTCATCTTGTGTTTGAGCACATCGGGATAGTCCTTTTGATGATATAGAACTACTGTCTTGAAGCTTTTCTGTTGCCGTTCTGCTTGCTTAATTATAGATGCAGTCGTCGTTATTTAACTCATCATGGCACCTTTGATTCGAGCGCAAGAGGTTTCTAAACATGATAGCTTAGACAACCTCTGGACGGTTGTTGACGGAACTGTATATGATCTTACAGAGTTTGCACCAGAACACCCGGGAGGCGTAGACATCCTCTCAAAATATGCTGGGCGAGATGCTACTGCCGCTTACAATGAGGTCCATGCCCCTTCACTCATCAAGTCCACATTGCCAAAATCAAAGCACATAGGGCCATTGGACACGAGCACAGTGCCTTCTGAATGGGCAGAGTCGTCCAGAACACAGAATCTAGATAAGAAGACATCAGACACGTCCAAGCCACCGCTGGAGAGCCTTATCAACGCACATGACTTCGAAATTGCAGCTTCAAAGTCCTTCACACCCAAAACCTGGGCGTTCGTCTCATCCGCTGCTACCGATCTTCACACAAAGACACGCAACAAAACGGCATACTCAGCAATCGGCTTACGTCCGCGTGTTCTACACGATGTCAGCAGAGTGTCTACACGCACGACCATGCTCGGTCAGCCCATGCGGACACCCATTTTCTGCTCGCCAACCTCCCTGGGCCGGCTGGTGCACCCGGAGGGCGAAAAGGAGCTTGGACGCGCATGCAAAAACCTCGGGATACCACAGTGCGTGAGCACCAGCGCCTCGTTCCCGCTCGCCGAGCTGGTGACCGCCGTCCGGAGCCACCAGGCGGACACGGACTACGACCTCCCGTTCTTCTTCCAGCTGTACGTCGACAAGAAGCGCGCCAACTCGGAGCGCCTACTGCGACAGGCAGCGGAGCTCGGCATCAAGGGGGTGTTCCTGACAGTCGATGCCCCTATTCCGGGGAAGCGAGAGGCAGACGAGCGGATGCAGGCGGACGAGAGCATCAGCAGCCCGATGAGCGGCGCCAAGGCGAAGAACGACAAGAAAGGCGGCGCGCTGGGGCGTCTGATGGGCGCCTATATCGACGACTCCCTGCAGTGGGCGGACATTGCTTGGTTGCGGAAATGCGCGCCAGGCATTCCGATCGTGTTGAAGGGTATCCAGACGGCAATAGATGCCGTGAGAGCGATGGAGGCTGGCGTAGATGCCATCTTGATATCGAATCACGGCGGCAGAAGTCTCGACACGGCGCCTGCAACAATACTGGTACTTCTGGAGCTGCACAAGTGCTGTCCACAGATATTCGACAGGATGGAGGTCTTTGTAGACGGCGGCATCTCGCGGGGAACAGATGTTTTCAAGGCCCTCTGCCTGGGAGCAAAGTCGGTGGGGATTGGACGAGGGTTCCTGTACGGGCTGAACTACGGGCGGGAGGGAGTGGAGAGATATATCGACAGTGAGTTGAGCCCGCGTGAAGTAGTAGCATTGTACTCCGGGACGCCTTGGCTTTACTGACACAGAAGACGCAGTTTTGACGGACGAGCTAGAGACCACGATGAAGATGTGTGGGATCACAAGGCTAGACCAGGTTCATCCAGGGCTGGTCAATACATTGGAGGTCGACCATTTGATACCTTCCTCTACAGACCACCCTTATGCCAAGTGGCGCCCAAGTCTGCGGAGCAAGTTGTAGGAATCTAGAGAAAGACAAGAGTTTGTTCACTTCAGCTATTCCTCGTGTTATACAACATGTATGACATGTACGATTGGGGTTGCACACAAAGGGAGTAATACAAGATTGCCATTTACAGAGACGAGTAAGACAAAACAAACCAGCCGCAGCTTAGCAATCACAATCAGGAAGTCTGTCCCTAATACATCAATAAAGGAGTTGCATGTCGCCATAGCGCGCGAATTACTGTAGAAGGCCTACTTGCACTTGCTGTACCTACTTTAGTGTAAGGCAGACAGAATTGTAAAGCGTATTTCCCAGTAGTCATAGAACTAAAGCTCCGCCTCACTTTCAAAGCCGATACGTCGGGTATTCTGACCAAAGGGAAAACGTGGGCTCACGCCGATGATCTTAGGCTTGTATGCCGACGCCAACCAGCCCCTAGCGTGGAACCGTCCCGCAACCGTTCCAGAGACTAATTATATTAAGGCTCAATTGACAACAGAGCACCCCGTTGACCGGCCAGAAATAACGTTTGGCAGGACTGACAGAAATTTAACGTTAGCGGGACGTTATCCGACAGTACTGCGTAGTACTCACCCAAATGAAAGTGAACAAAGGTCCAGTCTAGCACATCCTCGTTGCTGAGCATCTAAGTGTCGACATTGACGTTTTGAAGGGGTGTCAACTTTTTGGGTTGTGAAGTGCAGTGAAAAAAATTGTACGTGCAATAAAAACACTATGCAGCGTTACATTGCGGCTCGCAACCTTTTACGATGTATTGCAGTGATCGGCAGCCACGATCTATGCTGCATGGCTTGCTTTCCGTCCCTCCCTCCCTCCCGAAGGATCCCAACCTACAAGATTTGCTTCTTGGCAAACACCTAAATCTAGGGATTTTTACATACGCGGAGTGCGAGATGAAGGAAACAAATCGCGAGTCGCAAAGCTCTTGAGGGACACTTCAGAAGGATAAAATAGCTGGCGGAGGCTGGCGGAACTGCAAATCAGCCGTACGTTGAGCTACTCGTTTCTCTTTACCAAGGAGGGTCTAGTCAATGTCGACTGCCCAGCACATCGCCAGTTCTTGTGCTGTGCCAAGATAGCACCGTCTCGACCTTGTTGCCGGCCAGCTGTGCGCCACAAAGCCGTATTCAGCCTAACGACCAATAATTGACGCACTAGCAACTTCAGCTAGCCATCTAGAGCTTGATCAACGACCATCGCTGTCTTGCCCTCTCTCGCCTCTTCCAGCGCCCAAGCCGATCAGGGTCCTGCTGGAGAAAATAGAGGCTTCCCAATGTCTCGGAGCCATCGAGGCCATCTCGCGATGGGCTTGCTTCTTGCAGGCGCCGCAGCAAAGAATCTCGCGTTGCGGCTGAACGCAGGTGTACGAGGTGCCTGGACTCTCCAAGAATCTCTTCTGATTCGCCATGATCGGCATCAACTGAAGTACCAGCGCTCAGGAACCAGAACAAGCGTTCTGGAAGCACGGAGAGGCGCTCATCTGGCAGGCCCTGTACCATGCCGGTCCTCCATGGCCAACCTCTACGCCGGGGGGCCGCCCACGGTTAGCTCTGTAGTGTCTCCATCTCGGAATGACATCCTCACCAATTAAGCACGCGGCTGTGTCGTGCTAATGACTACCCTCCTCTCAGCTGAATCGGCGGACAATGGCTAGTCCTTGAGCCTCAAGCCCATCTTATACCGGATGACTGCCAGTCCCCCAATCTCCCCGCTCGTCGGGCTCCTTCTGATCTGTCGCGCGCCGTTGCAACCTCTTTTAACCTTCTTACTTGAGCTTTCTTCTCTCCACTTGCAAGGAAGTCCTCCAATTCTTCACAGTAGCACCTTTGTTTGTTCATTGTGTGTTTTTTGCTCTGAGTCCAACTGATCCGAAATGAAGCATTTGCTTGGCGTAGCAGCTGTCGGCTGCGTGTTGCAAGGTGCCAGTGCTAAGAGCTTCAAATGGAGCCGTGATGGCAGCGAGAAGCAATGGCTGCCAGCTCGCGAGACACTGGCTGTGATGCCAGCCCTGGGCGGCTTCACTCCGCTCCCAACACAAGCGCCTGTTGCGCCCAAAAACCTCAAGGGAAAGAGGTCGTCTACAGACAACACTTGTGCCTATGTCGACGGAGACACTGGTAAGTGGGCGATCCGAGTGAAACGGCTGTGGCCGCCCTGACAGCTTTAGATATTCCCCTATACTGCAATACTGATTCGGCGTGCGTCTACAACTCGTACTACTTCAAGATTGGTTGCTGCCCTGACACTTCCACGACTTGCCCCATCTGGACCACCTGTTACAACTCGGCGCAGAGGGCTTCATATACCACTGATAATGGTTACACGCTGTGGTGGTATGTTGCAAGCCATCGATTGCGTTTCTTAGATCTTGGCAACTAACAGACATGAAGTGGCGATTCCGAATATCCCAACTGCATCACGCATCTTTACGAGGACGAGGCGTTCGCCAACTATACCCTTCTGGGATGCGCGGTTGCTGCGGGCTCTGATACAGTGTACTACGAGCCATTGACAACCTCATCAGCGGGAGGGAGTTCCAGCACTGACGAGGACGATGATGAGACCTCCACTTCGGACAGGTCATCTTCCAGCTCAACTACTTCCGGCTTCGTGATTGCGACAGACCCGGCCGCTACTTCAACTACGACTATTGCGCCTGCCGCCAGCAGCTCCGGAAGCAGCTCTGGTGGTAGCAGTGGGGGTAGCTCCAAGAGCTCCACGCCAACTGGCGCCATTGTTGGTGGTGTTGTGGGCGGTGTCGCCGCCCTGGCGCTCATCGGCCTGGCCATCTTCTTCCTAATCCGTCGCAATCGCAAGAACAAGCAGAACATCGCGCCCGCTGCCGCCGCCGCCAACACCGGCTACAGCCAGCCTCCTCCGGGAGCTGGAAGCCCGCCGCCGCAAAGTTATCCTCAGGGCCCGCAGATGCAGCAATACCCGCCTCCAGGCCAGCAGGCCGGCTACCCACCGGTGGCTGGCTTCGCTCCCGTGGACAACCGCCAGTCGATCCAGAAGCCGCCTTACGCGTACGACCCTAACATGCCCCAGCAACAGCCGTACAGCCCTCCGAGCAGCCCGCCTCCCCAGAGCGGCACCCCCGCGCCCGGATACTCTCCCAGCCAGGCTACCGGCCAACCGTTTAGCCCGACCGACTCCCAGTATAGCAACGCCGCCTACTCCCAGCAGGGACAGTATGCTCCCCCACAGCAGGCGCAGTATCAGACGCATAACCCGCAGCAGGCAGGGTTTGCCCATGAGTTGCCGACGCAGCGCGGCGATGGCGAGGTCAGAGAGCTAGCTTAAGAGAGCAGAAGCTTCTGATGATGTTCATATTGGGTATGGTGTTGTTGAAATAAAGTTGCAGACAGTCCTTACTGCACTGATGTTTGCATTATGAATGAGGAGTTCCAGGGCTCGAAAGAGGATTCACAAAAGACCGCTCGTTGAAAGTGGCTTCATGTTCATATTTATTGGCTAGCTGTGAAGAGTAGCAGCTAGTCCCTCGTTTATATACACCCTGCCATAATCTAGACTGCATTTACACTTACAGACATGGGCCGTACTGCCGTGAGAAGTAGCTGACGGCGTATCCAGATACGGTCTCTGCTCGAGAGCAACTACTTCAATATAGTAGTAGTTCCCTCAATTTCTCACGCTGAGACTCGACGAAGCCGATACCGTCCAGGTAATTATCTAGCCCTCCATACGTGGTCTTGAGATGCTTCTCAATGCCCTCCACGAAGCCCGGTGCCGTGTCGCCCCAGTCATCCGTCAAGCCAATCTCACGGATTTCTTCCAGCCGCGCCTCTTTTTCAGCTGCTAGGCCAGAATCAGAGAGGCTGTAGTCGTGGCTGATGGCCTTCGCCGGGACGCCGAGAATCATCAGGACAAGAGTGATGATAATCCCCGTCCGGTCCTTGCCCTGCGTGCAATGCACGAGTATGGGCAGTCCAGTCGGCGCAAGAAGCGAGCTCAGCGCCTAGAAGGTTCTTGTTAGAGACAGCTTCATCACCTCCAACTTATTCCAATCTTGACTGGGCTTGGAAAAGACTCAGCAATGCACGCACCTCTTTGATTTCTAACCCAGATTGGTCAATGGTGGCTAGACCGAGCCCGACCAGACCCCGAGGCAGCATCACCTCTCTCCCCATGATGGCGATGGCTTGCATGCGGTACCCACAGATGAACAAAAAGAGGAACTTGCTGCACACTGTGAGAACTCGAATCCACCAGTCACACAAATGCCGAACTTGGCACAAGACTTACAAGAAGCTCAGCCACGACAGCTGGCTCATAAGGAACTTCTCGAAACTCCGCCCCGTGAGCTTGATCTCGAGGTAGTTCATGCCCGGCATCTGCAGCGGCTCGGCCAGCGCGGCGTTGGACTGCAGCAGCGCGGGGATCTTGAGGTCGGCATCGCGCTTCTTCGCCTTGTTGAGGTGCTCCGTCTTCGTGCGCAGGTCCATGATCGACTGGATGCCGTAGTGCTCCTGCAGCCGCTGCCGGTCGTCCAGCGTGGCGTCGTCTGGCCGCGCGGAGCGGAACAGCTGGCCCTCCCGCACGAGCTTCTTGCCCAGGAACTCGTTGACCGTCTTGCCGGCGTCGCGGAAGTTGATGATGTTGTCGAACTCCACTTCGGCGGGCATCGCGGCCGCGGCGTTGCCTTTGGAGGCCGCTGACCGCCGTGTCTCAACCCCCATTGTGATTTTGAGGAAAGTTGATGCACGTAGCGGCACCGAGGGCAAGAAGAGCAAGCACGCGACCAACAATCAATTATTCCAGACACAACAACTTAAGTACATGAGAGGAGAGCCCTGATCAAAAGAGCAAACATAAGTAAACGTCAGATTTTAGGTCATGTTTGGACATGTCAGGTAGTGGGGTTGTGAGTTGCTAGCGGTTTAAAGTGTTGCGGCAAAACTGCCTAATACAACTGTTGAGGAATCAAATGCTGGAGAGATGCATCATAAGTGGTTGACGGTTTACGAACGGGTCCAGCAAACCGTCAGCAAAAGAAAATCCGAAACTTTGAAAGGATTCCCTGCAGTCTGTCACCTGGATGGCCTGATTCGGCATTTGATTCAAGAAGGTGTAGTCCTTTGGTCCTCTCACTTTCTCAAAATGTTCTGTTGAGAAATGGTTGGTGTTGCTAGAGTCTAACATCAATCACCCTAGCAGATGCTAAAATTGCAGTGAAATTTTCCATGTTCCGTCTGCGGAATGATTGGTACCTAGACGTGTATTGATCTAGTGCCGATAAATGCTACCTAGGTAGATGTTAAAACTGTAGTGAAATGGCGTGGCAGGTGGCGACCTCAGGTGTCACCAGGAAATGTTTCCTATCCTATCATAAATCACGTATTCAGATCAAGTTTTAAATAATCTTCACTATATTCGATTTCGAATTTCTACCTTACATTAGATTTCCTTAATCACAGCTCCTTGTTGTGCACTCTATAACTGAATATTATATCGTCACTCGTTTGAGAGGCAATGGACTTTGACTTCTCTAGCTAGATGGGCAGGCATTAGTCCACATCAGTCGAAAATCTGCTAAGCTACATCTTTATGGGCTATACATCCAGGCGTCGCACTACAGGAAGCCAGAATACCAAAACACGACCTATTGCAATTGCCAATCATGCTGACAGAGTCCGCTCGTTTATCCAGTTATCTATATTGATGTGAAACAGCTGATACTCAGAAGCTTAGTAGGATTTGAAAGCACAAGTTACTGGTGGAGGGCAAGAGTTGCCGTGAACAACAAGTCGGCTTTGAGTATAGTCTACGTCTATTTCTATGCCAGGGATGTTCCACCTGTCACTTCATGCTACGCGGATACAGAATGTTCGTAGAGAACATTTACTTAGCAATCTCGACACCATTAGTGGCACCTAGCGATATCACCTTAGCCTAACCCATGGAAAGTAGGGAAGCAAGCACACTTACCAAGAGCCTTCTTGATGTCACCGTAAATGGCGAATTGACCAGCAGTAAGACCACCGATCATGAACAGACGCGTGGGAAGACCAGCGAAAGAGCCACGAAGACCGAGCTCGCCCGCAATCTTGATGAGACGGGAGGCGGTGCTCTCGCCTGGTAGACCTTTGGTCTTGTTGATCTTTGATAGCATGGTATCAGCAGGCTGTGAGACAATAGCAGCAGCGAAACCAGCAATTAGACCAGATCCCAAGTTGACGCCAGTTTGAGCACCATCCGACAGCTTGGATTTGTCAAACTGGGCAAATATGGTTTCGGCAACCTTTTCAAAAACAACAAACTTGGTTACTGTGTAGGGAACCCTATTATTTTATGTCAGCTTGCCTCTTGCATCAGTAACATGTGGCCGAGATTAATGTACTGCTTGAAGAGGATAGGGCCGAATCCTCTATAGAAAGCACCGACGCCTTCGGTCTTGAGAATCTTGCCGAAGCCACCAACCAAGCCATTAGCAAATCCAGGCTGGGAGACAAGACGGATGCGGGTGGCCTCAAGAGGGCAGAGAGCAATAGAGGCGAAGAACTCAGCGCAGGCGGCCGAGACAGAGTACACGGCAGCACGGTTCTGACGGGCCTTGTCGAGACCAAGAATGTTGATGGACTGCTGCTTGAAAAATTCATAACCACCAAATTTAAAAGCGCCCTGCATGAAGTATCCTGTAAATGTTGGCCCGAAACCCGTCAAGAGAGCACCAGCGCCCTCATTCTGGATGACTTGACGGAAACCGCCAATCATCCCACGGTTGTAGGTGGCAGGGTCAAGCTGTATCCTAGTCTTAACACTATTGGAGCGTCAGCAAATCGCAGACAAAGCCAAGTCTCAGGGAAACATACACATCTACTGGGGTAAAAGCGCCATGAGTGAGCGAACAGCAGACAGCACCAGCAAAGGCGAACCGTGAATAGAGGGCAAGTCCCTCGGGCTTCTTCTGGGTGGCGGCCTGCGCCAAGACAGCAGGAGAGGCAGCCATTGCGATGGTGATAAATGCGCGCGACGGAAAGGACAGGGGGACAAATAGAAGTTGAGCGGTTGTAATCAGGAAACTTGAAGCCTTCGAAAACACAAAGGTAAAGGAGCTGACTGTCTGTCGCCGCATTTCGGCTCGGGTCAAAACGGTTCGCCGGGTCCGACAATGTGCGGCGCAGCAGATCCACCCAGTAATGCCTCGATGAGATTCATCCTCACCTGAATGCAGTTTGATAGACTAAGGATACTGCTGATGCATCGATGGCTACGAATCGCATAGTGTAGGCGAAGCGTGGTTTGCAGAAGGTAGTCATTACTGTTGAAGAAGTGTCTCTATTGTGATGCTTTGTGCATGGTCAATCATTGAGACTTCAGTACACAATAGACCGCAGTAGCCACATTGATACGATATGGCATATTTCTCGACAGAAAATCAAGAACTGCATGGTTGCCCATGGCCGTCCTTGAGATCACCTGGGATGCAAAAGAATTAAGGCCGAATTGATTCAAGGAAGTGTTGACAGTCACTACGAGCCCGAGGGAGTAGACGCGGCAAGGTGGAAGAACCAATGCTATTGGCAGAGCTAACAGAATACAAGTCTATATATATTTCAGCAACCCTTTTAGACGAAATGTGAGAACTTGTATTCATTATTCAAGAATTAGAGACATTATGGTAGGTAGAAGTTGGCGACTAAAGTGTTCTCATAGGCTGGCGGTGCCGCGCCGGAACCGGGAAATGGGGAGCAAAGTCGCGGTATCATTGATTAGCGGTAGATGAGCTCTGGGCAGCGGCAGTGGCATTGGTGCTGCGAATCGGGATCGCCGGAGATCGCCGGGGAAGAGTAACGCAACTTGCTGGGGTAGCTTTATGAGGACCCTGTCACTTTGTTTACCGTGCACCGAATCTCATATATGGTGACTTTGAATATCGAGCTTGATGCTGGTTCTAAGCAGTTATCTTATCATGATCTTTGGCTGGAACATCAACACCGCGATCTGAAGAACAGATGTGGTCAAAGCTTCTGCTGTGTCCAGCCACCTCCACTCATGAGGGTGTCTCACTCTGCCAGTGACGCTAATAATGACGATGTTAATCTACTAGCGCAGTCGTTAGTGCAGAGTGAGAGCTGCCCTGCAAGGCCTAAAACGTCCAATTGCAGGGGGCTTGGGGGCACTTCACCGTGACTTTCAGCTCCCACTACTGCGGGGCAGCCGCCGCCGTGCACAGATGACGTAGGCGGTCTTTGCTTGGTATCATGAGCTCAATTCAGAGAGATAGTCCATTCCATAAGGTAGATAGAGACGGGAGCCAGCAACGACGACATCAGACTCAGGTCTGCTTTCCTCCATCATCGAGTCATTTACCCCCTTCTGCTCGTCGCCATCCTCCTCACTGCCATCTACAACTTCATTTTCCTATTCTAGTATTGATTTTTCCACAATTACAGAGAGCATCTACTTGCAATCATTGATTACATCGACAATCCCCGAGTCGCACGATGCGGATTCATACAGCGCTCTGAGACAAGGTCAATCATCGTCAAATAACACCCATCAGATCTGACAACACCCCTGTTCTTACGCAAGACAATTATCGACAATCGCATTCTACCAGTTGCGCACATTCGTCACAATCCATTCATAGCCCACAGCCCCGGGCTCAGCCTGCTTCGTATTTCCCCACGTCAAACTACCTACGTACAGTGAAGTACCATAATTAGGCAATCATGTCGGCCAGCTCGGCAACTCAGACAGCCACCCATGCTGGCGCTGCCGCCAATAAGAAGACATATCCAGTTGCACCACCAGGTAGCTCTCTCTCCGTCTTACCCACCCATGCCTTTAAATACCCTCTTCTGCCTTATTCATCATTGACTTCACGGAATGAAGTTCTGCATTTTCGGCCCAGCCTTGACGGGTAACAAGATCAAATACTTACAGCAAACGTAGGACACGACGGGCGGCTTAGATACGCAAAACCACAAGACCTGCCAAGCTACCCCTCCACCGGCCTTAAGAAAGACGATGCAGCAGCTGGCGCAGCTGCCTCACTAGGCTGGAACAGCAAGAAATCTCCCGAAATCTGGACTCCCGACAAGTCAGCGTCCGCTTCTAAAGCTGCCTCGCTGGGCTGGAATTCTCAGACGTCCCCGGAAATCTGGACCCCGGATAAGTCGGCCTCCGCGTCCGCCGCCGCCGTGCTGGCCAAGGACTACAAGATGAGTCCGCAATGGCAACCGGAAAGCAACGACGCTGGTTCAAAGGCCGCTATCATAGCAGCCGACGCAGCTCGCAGACAGCCCCCACGCTCGTCAGCGCCTCCGTCATCGTGGGGCAATTCAGCTGCGAACCAAGCCTTCAAAGCCGGAAGAACTCAACAGCGCGCACCCGAGTCGAAACCTCTCGATCGTCAGGGTTCTTTGCGCGCTGCTAAGGGTGCGATGGCTGGCGCTCGACCGCGGTCTCAAAGTTCGCCCCTGAGCACGAAGCAGGGCCGCAATGATGAAAGTGCAAGCGCCAACGCCCTCAGCGCTGCCACCATTGCACACCGCCCCAGTGTCAGGGCCAACAATCTGGATATCCCACAGGAAGAAGCTGGTGCTGTGCCATTCACCGTAATGGATCGACGAATGTACACATCAAATCCACCGGTCAAGCCCGAAGTGGACGAAAAGAACAGGCAAGACGTTCTTCATGCAAGCGCAGTCGCCATGGCGAAGAGAATGTACAGCCAGCAGCAAAAAGTGATCGAGCAGACACGACTGGCACATGGAGATGACTCAAATGACGAACCTCAACCTATGATCTTTAACAACCTACAGGAGGCGGCTTATCGGCAAGCGCAGGAACGACTGGCGAAACTCCATGAGGAACACCAGAAGAACCGGGACATTCACGATTATTACGGTACTTCTACGGCAAATCAGAGAAAGTTTTCAGTTCGTGGCAAGCTCCGAAGACGCTCATCTAGTGACACAGAGGTCATGGAGGACACAAAACGCTCCCAGCAGATCAGACAGCAGATGTCAATGTTCTCAAACAATCTTACCAAGGTTGACGAGCAGAAGCGGCAGAAGGATCGCGAGGCAGTGCTCGCCGCAGCCCAGCGCAATGTCAAAGCCAGGCTCCAGGGCATGGACGACAAGCTATTTCAGGAGACCGGCCGTGTAGCCCCCTCTTTGCTGAGCGAGTGGGAGCTTAAGGCACATGCCGCTGCACAGGCGCGTAGCGACGCCCGTAAAGATGAGAATTACGGCAAGGTTGACATTGGCGGTGGCAAGTTCATGGACCAGCAGGCCGTGGATGAGATCGCTGCCAAGCGCGTACAACCAGTCCTAGATGAAATCAACGAGAAAGCCGAAATCGAGAGGGAGAGACAGGCGGCCCTGAAATTAGAACAAGAAAAAAGGCAGGAGGAGATTGACACGCAAAAAGCTCGCGACAAGGAGATTAAGGATATTCATCGCAAGCTGAAAGGTATGCCCTGCATCGTGTACAAATCATTTGCTCGTGAGTCTAACTTTGTGACAGAACAAGAAAAGGCTGAAGAGAAAGCCCGAAAAGAGGAGCTGAAGCAGGAAGAGAAGAATAGGAAGGAGGAGGAGAAAGCCGCAAAAGCAGAGCAGAAGCGCATTGCCAAGGAGGAAAAGCACAAGTCCAAGGATAAGGACGTTGATACTGCCCCAGTCGCTACGGATGCAGCTGTTGAGAGTCCGTCCGAGCCCTCGCCGGTCGTCGAGAAGGCTGCGGTCTTGGTGCCGCGCCCCGTTACTCCTCAACAGCGAACGAATACAAAGGACTCAGACGATAAGTCTTCCGACCTGCCTGAAGAGGCTGCCGCGTCTCCCTCGCATAAGGTGAGGAACTGGCTGAAGTCGCGTTTCAGTCGACCACGAGCCAAGTCCTCATCGGTTGACGAGAGCGCCAACAAGCAGGGCTTCATTGGCGGTGCCGCCTTGACAGGCCTCCACGCCGATGGCACGGGTAGTATGACCAGCCTGGAGCAGCGCAGCGCGAGCATGCGGGAGGTTGCTATGGCCGGGAAACAGCCAGCCGAGCGGACATCATATTTCGCAAAAGACGAGCCGGGTGAGAGCAGCAAGACTGCCGAGGAGAGGGGCAGAGACGCCGAGGTCAGCAGTCTGAGCAGCGACGATGAGACTTTCGATGACGCGAACGACACCTTCTCACCTCCGAAGGCCATCAAGGACCCGGCCACATCGCGGAGGAGCAGCGGAAGCCCGTCTAGGGACTCGCGATTTCGAGAGATCATTGAGTAGCATTAGGGCTATGAACATGAGCCAGTCGGGTGTCATATCATTGTTTGAACTATGGTTTCTGTTTCTCGTTGTCAATATGTTTGCACTGCATTTCGTGTTGTAGGGATTGTCTGTGCTCGTTTAATGTTATGAAGAGGTGTTGTCCAGGTGGAAACATGCAAATGGCGTTCTTTACCACTTTTTCTTATTTTTTACGCTTTGTATAACAGTAATTGTGCATGTCCTTTCCGGGCGTTCATTTGGTAGGATTTGCACAACGAAGGGGGTTTACATGGCAACACAGCACTTTCAAGCGTGATGTTCCGGAACTGAGAGGTAAAATTTTTTTTTTTTTTTTTTTGGAGGCAAAGCAATGTAATAATTCTCAGATAGAGACAATGTTATGGAACCTCTCTCTTGAGGCTGATATACACTTTACTATGTATGACATGTATCTCTAATCAGATGCTGTCTTGGTCGTACTTATACAGACTATAATGTGTCCAAACACCTCAACACCACGTGAATGCATTACTCAATGATTTTCCTCGCCATGTCATGTTTCATATACACAATCCCGCTACACTTCACATCGTCAAATCACCCATCTAAAGGCAGACATTAGAAATTATTTGGCACCCGCGAAAAGCGGCCATTGTGAGGATGCTGGCCGCTTGCCGCGTTGAGGTGGCGGTCGCTGCCGCCCTCCTCCATCTCGCGGGTGGTGAGCGGCTTCTGGTGGTGGCGGTGGTGGTGCGTGCCGGGCTTGTAGCGGTAGCCCTGGCCCTTGGTGTAGACGGCCGGCCACAGGTCGACGTAGAAGCTGAAGATGTAGGCGCTAAAGATGAAGGCGATGACCCACTCGATGACGGCGCCCGGGTTGTAGTGCTTGGTGAAGGTGCACGCCACGAAGGCAATGGCCAGCAGGATCTCGACGACGACAAAGACGAGCTTGATCCAGAAGGAGACGCGCAGGACGGTGTGCGTGCGGTTGCCTTTTCGACTCTGTCAGTTTCCAAGGTTGTTTAGGGTAGAGCAGTGAGGTCCGGGCTTACGGATTCCTAGACGCTGATACTCCCAGCAAATGAAGATGGCGCTTAATACATAGCCCGCAATGAAAAGCAGCAAGAAGACATCGTGCAGCTTCGGGTGGCGCAGAGTGTCAAAGATGGAGAGCAGGATCAGGCCCGCCGTGCCGATGAGAGCAAACACAATGGTCAGACCGGAGAGTACCTTCTCGCCGGTAGTTGTGTTTGGGACGAGACGGCCACGATGTCGCAGCCACCGGTCGGCGCCGAAGGACAGATCCAAGAAGATGGTCGTCACAACGCAGCCGGCGATGAACAGCGGTTTGAGCTCAGCGGCGCCAACGTCGCTGATGTAGGCGATCTGTTGCCGACTGTCCATCGAGGCATAGCGCTTGCGGTGCGTGTCGAGAATCCAGTGCAGTAGAAGCCCCAGAAGGGTGCCGAGCCAGACGAGGCCGGCGAAGATGGGTGTTACCTGTGGTTGGACGGTGTTAGTTGCTTTGAGTGCTGACTGGAAGGAAGCTGCATGGTGGCTGCCGTACCCAGTAAGATAATCGCAACATGATGCTGATTTGTACGCAAGTTCGAGCGAGTGGTATTTCCTAAATGTCCGCTATGTTGCTTTCCATACACCGGGACTCTCGCCCAATTTTGAGTTGGAGGCACGAGAGCAATTACTCTGTTGAGAGGGGGAGACGGGATGAAGTCTTCTTGGAGTTGGGGGCAATTTGCAAGAAAAACCAGACAGGTTTGTATATATGTATGGTGGGTGCCCAAGTACCGGTATGTATGCAGATGACTTCAAGGATGTCCCTGCAGGTGCCGCGTTCTGCAGAATTGACAGAGCCAGGCACAGTGGCGCTTCCCAGAGAATGATCAGAAAAAAATCAAACAATTGAAGGACAAGCAAGCTGAGCCACGGTATATTACGTTGATGCCTCCGGTTTCTCCGTCCCTTCAGGTTCAGGATAATCCCAAACAGTGCTATGCTACGCTACGGCATTGAGACGCGGAAATGGCGTGTCGCCATTGTCGATGTCATGGAATTCTTTTCTTGCGCGGTGACGTCAGCTTGACCGTCTGCACATCACCTGTGGGCACACCACACTTCCGGCTTTTGGGTGGACTTGGGCGCTGGAATCGGTCAAATCAAAGCTTAAACGGTGGGCTCGGCGACGGCTTTCAGTGGAGCCCACAGGGGCCATGTGCTATACCTTCCCAGTTGCCCTAGGCTTTAATCCCCTAACCCCGGCCTGGCCAGTGCGTGCGACCACCTCACTAACGCGCTCGGGCCTTCGGATCGATTCAGGACACCGCGAGAAGAAAGCAGCTTGCCTAAGCTGGTCAGGTACGACTACGACACACGGCAGCCAATCAAGTCGACGCCGTGAGATGCAAGGCTGAGAGCTCTCGACTTCAACCTCGTCTTCGATTTCTCAGCCTTCACTTCTTTGTCCGCGGGCGTCTCACAACGCCGGCATAGACCTGGACAATGGCTAACTCACCCCTCGTCCTGCCGCCCTCGAATCCACTCCTGCCCGCGAGAACGCTCTCCTCGCCTCTCAAGCGGCAATCATCTGCCGTCCCCTCCAGCACAAATGGCACTCCGAAGCCTTCACGGCCACACGGCCACGCCCAGGTCCCCGCCACGCTGGACATGGCGGAACTCCTAAACTTGGAAGAACGAAAAAAATATGCCAAGGGTATGTCGCCAATTTTTCCTCGCCGGCAAAAGTTGCCTTTGTCGACCTGGTAGTCGCTGACATTTCGCCGTATTGCAGGCAAGAAGTTAGGAGAAGGAACATACGCCGTCGTATTCCTCGGCCATGTGCGCAGCGACCCGAACCGGCTGGTGGCCATCAAGAAGATCAAGAAGCAGAAGGAATACACAGAAGGATTGGCGCCGGACGCTGTACGCGAACTCAAGCACCTGCAGGAGCTGCACCACCCCAACATCATCAGTCTTCTGTCTGTGTTCAGCTCCAAGGACCAGAACCTCTGCCTGGTGCTCGAGTACCTGCCGCTCGGCGACCTGGAGATGCTGATTCGCGATGACAAGGGCGTACGATATGGTACCGCCGATGTCAAGGCTTGGATGGGCATGCTCACTCGCGCCGTGTGGTTCTGCCATGAAAATGCAGTCCTGCACCGTGATATCAAGCCAAACAACTTGCTCATCGCCGCCGACGGCGAGGTTAAACTAGCAGATTTTGGTCTTGCGCGCAGCTTTGCCGACCCTTACTCGATCATGACCTCCAACGTCATCACTCGCTGGTACCGTCCGCCCGAGCTGCTCTTCGGCGCGCGTCACTACTCGGGCGCCGTAGACGTCTGGAGCGTTGGCCTTGTCATGGCCGAAATGGTGCTTCGTGTTCCTTACCTGCCTGGCAATTCAGAGCTGGACCAGATCAAGCTGATCAGCGATGCGCTTGGCACACCGACCGAGGAGAATTGGCCGGGTGTGTCAAAACTCGACTCATACGTCAAGTCAGACAAAGTGACCCCTCTGCGGACACGGGACGACTTCATGGGTCCGTTCGGCACAGTCGGCACCGAGGGCGTAGACCTGTTGTACCGAACACTCGCGCTCGATCCCAAGAAGCGCATCACGGCAAAGGAGATGCTGCGCCACGAGTGGTGGCACGTCGACCCGAAACCCACACGCAAGGAGGACCTACCTAAGAAGGAGACTGGGGCCCAAGAGAAGATGGGGGCCGATCTGAAGAGGCGGCCAGGTGTCATCGACGACGATCGTGGCGCAAAGGTCGCGAGGAAGCTTGACTTCGGAGCTAAAAAGTAGCAGGTATTGTTAGGATAGCGATGTGATACCTGGAGGTCTTCCTCTATGTATGAATAGTAGACATCGGAACGAAATGCTAATGACACATAACCATGGCGTTAAAGGCACCATAAGCTAGGTAGGATCTCAAAATGACTTTTAATAGATGAGCTTTAACAAATCATCATTTGGCGTCTATTCTTCTCATCAGAAGGGCATTATTCTGCCCCTTTTCGGCTTTGATAACTGCAATTCGTCTTGTCCATTGTCCAAACGCCTTTCTTGCTTGCTTCGTTTTGGTATGATACTAATGGTCTGAGATACTATATACCAGCCGCTATGCTATGCCATTTTCATTTCCATCATAATTACCATTCACATAAACCTTACATCAGGCTGCACTCCAGGCCATACATGGCCCTCTCTACATCCCTCTTCACCTGGTACCAGTCCGCTCGGCGCTCTGCGAACTCGTATACCTCCTCCGCCCTGAAAATCCCGCCGAAGCGGTCCCCGTCGGCAATGATTGTGGCCATTTCCTTGGCATGACGCGGGTCAATCAGGTAGATCTGACTGAGCTCTCGCAGAGCTTTGAAGTAATCCAGCAGGTCCGGGTTCTTGAGCGTCTGGATATAATCAAAGTAGAGATTCATGTCAGCGATGAGCTTGATTGCACCCTCGGTGCTGATGCGTTGCCTCTTGAGATGCTTGCACACGGCGGTGAACAGCCGCAGGCCTACCTCGCCGTTGAACACGTCTAGCATCGTCTTCTCCGTGCTGCCCACGAGCATGCGCGTGTGGCTGCTGACAAGCTCGACGGTGCGCTGTGCCGTTGGTGTCGGCCCGAGATCACTGATGGCCGGCGCTACGGCGACAGAGCCGCGCTTCTCGGCGGTGGTACCCGCAGGTAGTGGGTTGTAGTCTGTGGGTTGCTGTGTCGTTGCACAGATGTACTCAACCTCGTCCATGAGCACATCAATGCCCTTGTTTAGCCCTGCAGCAACACTTTCGTCCAGCATCTGCTCGAACTTCTTCTTTGCCAGCCCTGCTGGGTCTAGGAAGTCATTGCGGTCGGCAATCCTGGGGCCTGCCAGTTGCTGCTCGTAGAACACATCGATCATTTGACTGATCAAATCGCCAACATTGACCAGCTCAATAAACGTGACCAGTGGTGCCACTCCGGCCTCGCTGTGATCGCTGACTTCACGCGCTTTGTAATGTGAGAGATGATCGACCGCTTTTTCGAAGCCTGGCTTGATGTGCCGATTTCCCAGAACACGCAGCAGAACAACAAAGATCTGCTCGCTCTGCTCTCGGGCCTCCTCGCCTGCCTGGCCACCTAGACGAATGAATACCGCTGCCCGGCCTAGACTAGTCTTGGCCGCATGAACGAGATTGAGGGCTACCTCGATGCTGAAAAGCGACTTGATGCCTTCCAGCCTAGATGCCATGAGGGCTGCCTTGGCCGCGAGCTCGTCTGTAGGCGCTTTATCAGGCAACGGACTGCCTCTCCTCTCCAATCCAGGACCGAGCCCCGGAGTTTGTGGCCGTGACGGATTCGGAGAAACCGCCTGTAAAGTTGTGCCGTTGGGAGTAACGGGAGGCTGTGCCGTTGCTGCTTTGCTTGATCCGCCAAACGGTGACGTGAGAAGCTGTCCGGGCAATGTCGGTAGTACTGTGACGGGCATCATGACGACCTTTTTGAATGAGCTTAGAAAGTCTTTCTTGTCGACCTGCTTGTTGAAGTTCGCCATGTAGAACGACTCCACAGTGGCATCTTGTTCAGAAAGCTTCTTGTCCCAATTGCCGACCTCGGTCTCTGCGTGCTTAGTAAAGTACTCTAACTCTTCTTGCAAGTAGAGGTCCAGATGTGGCTCGAAGACTTTTAGAGCCAACTCTTTTGCTTTCTCTACCTGATTTTCTTGTGAGCCTTTTGGCGGTTCCAGTGCCCTTAGAAATTGCAGACATTGTTCGAAGACACCGGATACTGCTTTAAGATAGGATTCGAGACTTCGTTCGTGAGCTTCGTCAAATAGTGGTGTAGCGTACTCCATGATGATATCCTCCCTGACCTTGTCGACGAAAGTCCAGAAAACTTTGTCCGCATTTGGGAATATCTTCTCGATGACTGCAGACTGATCATTGACCTTGCGCGCAAGAAGCTCGAAGAACTCTCTTGAAGGGTCTAATATGATGCCGTCTGCGGACGCCTGGTTGATACAGTCCATTGAGTTGGCCATGACATCGCGGTCAGAGAAGATTGGATGTTTCGAGATGAAGAGTTCGACGGCGGCCGTGCTGCCATTGAGAGCATCCAGGACGTGAGCATAACGGTGCATACGACCTTCAACGTCCCAGAATTCATAGCCTTGTTCAAACTCGCGCAGCACGGCACTCTCGAAGATGCTCGCCATCGTACTAAGCTTGTCCTCCCGCTCTCTCCATCCCTGCGCCCAATCGCTCCGCGCAAAGACGTGGAGGTTACCGAGCATCTGCGCCTGCCGTTCCGGATCCCGAAACACCTTGAAGACGATTGGATCCGCATGGCTCCGCGCCCGTACAAGATCGAAGTAGAATGGGCCGAGCGCCCCGTATATCTTCCCATATTCTTCTCGTGCATGCCCTCGAACACTCTTCACGTTCTTGATCACCTGTAGGAGCGCCTCAGGGTCCTGGAATGGGTCTTTGGGCGCTTGTGGTGCTGGCTGCGACGCCCCGCCCAGGCTCATCGTCTCGAAGCCGTCCCGCACATCTGATACACCAGACGCCTGCTTCTTCCGGCGCTCCTCCTCGACTGACGCATCGAAAAGTGTTATGCTTGTTCTGCCCACGCCCACCTGCCGTCCAACTTCGGCACCCGCCGCACCGGGTTGTCCACTTGCGGCGGCGGCGGCAGCAGCAGCTCGCTCCTGTGCCTCACGGCGCCGCTTGAGAGCGTCGTCGAAGCGGCGGCGTGCTTCCGCCTCGTCCCAGCACCCCATGCTCTTCAGGCGAGCCACCCACCGCGTGTCGTCGTAGACCATCTCGCGCATGCGGCGGGAGGTGCGAGCGAAACGCATCAGGTCATCGACGGGGAGGTAATCGAGTATCGTTACGATGATCTCTAAAGTAAACAAGCAATGGGTCAGCTGCCTTGTAGACATACAATACCAATTGACACGGTGGAGAGCCACTCCAACATACCGGCGGGCAATACAGGTTTGCTATCGATCATCTCGGTCGCCTGCAAAGTGCTCAGGATGCTGTTGCCCCCTGGCATAGCTCGTTTGAACCTCGACATTGCGGTAGCGGTGTGGCCGACACGGCCGGTACGAGAGAGGTGTAGTATCTCTTGTCAAGATTGCAATTTATGTGCTTTGTAGACCAAGCACAGCCAACGGTTCTATCATCATCTGGCAGTTGTTTTTGTAACAGCCACGATGGGAAATCGGTAGTTGGCCCAGGCTGTCAGCTCCGTATTCCTCCCAAGCAAGTCTTGGTACTGTACAGTTCTGGTAGAGGGCTAGCTTAAATGAGATGTGCAGCTGCTGCCAGCTGGACGCCAGCTGGATGGCGGTCCTATCCAGTACAACTTATCTTGATAGATCAACAATAATGACCATATTCTTTTACAGCTTCGATAATACTGATGAGAAATCTTTCAAAGTGCTGATAACTTTACGTTGGTTAATTTTTCTTTGAGTCCACGAGATACCGGCTTGATATGCAAACATTTGAACAAATGTCATGCAAAGAGATCTCCTCGATTCTTTAACGGTGAAACCAAGTATTGGTTCCTTCACTGTGTATGGTTTATCTAAACCTATATGTTGCCTTGGCTTCATTGCACACTGGTTAGTACGATTATACATGCCAATCTGGCGAAACATGGCTGGATCTGAAAGCGTTTATAACTAGATACTCCTAGATACTATTCAAGGCATTTGTGGCGTGAGAGACTAGCAGTCTCTTATGACATAAACCCGTTGATGACTTTCTTAATATTAGAGATGTGTTCTCAGTAAATGAACTTCCCTTACGAATTGAATGTCGAGAAGAAACTAGAATTACTGGAAGAGAAGCTTATAGATCGCGGCAATAAGAGCTCCTAAGATAACGCAGCACTCTTGCCGGCGAGACACGACGTGTAGCGGGGTCTTAATGTTAGTGCCCCGCGGGGCTTGTATTGCTTATGGGCAGCCCTACAAACCAGCGTACAGATGGTAGCTTTCAGTGATTGATCTAAGCACAAGCTTATTGGCAGCCTGAAATTTTTCATATCCAAAGTCAGTGAGCCGCAACTCATCTTAGACACACGACACTGCAACTTTCCAGAGCAGCGATTCTACGTCGATAATTTCGTCTTTTCAAAGACAAAATGAGCCGGTGAATCAAATTGTTCTCTTCTGAGAGCTGTTAAGATGGTTAAGAAGGGTAAGGACAAGAGCAGCACCCCTGCTGCTCCTGCTGCGTCATCTTCAACCTCATCCAAGTCAAAGTCAAACAAGAAGCCCCCGGCCGAGGATGACTTCATCATCTTCACGAACGACACCAAGGGCGGCGGCAAGGGAAAGAAAGGAGGCGATTCAGGCTCAAGTAAGCCCAGTGCATCAACGTCAGCAGGAGCCGGTGCTGGCGAACCTGCCGATGGGCCGCCGAAGCCCACAGTCAAACAGATAATCGGGGGCCAGTCTTGGACGGGCAAACTGCCTGTCAATCTACTTTCCGAACACTGCCAGAAACAGAAGTGGGAAAGGCCAGACTATGACACTCGTAAATTTTCTGAGGGCTTCTCAGTTTTGGTCACACTCAGCAAGAAGGATCCTAAAACCCAGGAAATCACCAAACTACCGCCGTTCAAATTACCGCCTAGTCATGTACATCTGGCATACAAACCTACCGCACTGGAAGCAAAGCATTTTGCGGCTACGTATGCTCTCTTCAGGGTGAATAGCATGAAGAACCTGAGCATGATATTGCCTCCCGACTACAAAAGCCTGTGGAAAGAATTCGATGCTTTGAAGAAGCAGGATGTCAAGGATGGCAAAGGATGGATGTATGACGCTGATCCGTTCGCAACGATTAAGGAAAGAGAAGATGCCAAAGTCACTGCTGAGAAGAAGAGAAAAGAGCAGCAAGCGGTCAAAGAAAAGGCTGCGAATCTACCAGGTGCCGCTGGCTTGGTGCTGAGGAGCAATGCAGCTGCGGCTGCTGGTGGTGGTCACAACCCGATGAAGGGATGGACCACTGTACCAAAGATTGAGATGGGAAGCCGGACTCGCGCCCATCTTGAAAGTCTTGTGCGACGTGAATGTCTGTGGAACCCTCATGGCGTGAGGATGAGCGTTCCTGACAAGGCTGCAATCATCAATGAATTTAGAGGCTTGGGGTTTCGGTTAAGCCACGTGGAGGAAGCTGTCGGAGAATGCAAAGACCGTGAAGAGACCTTGGAGTGGCTCCTGATTCACGTTCCTGAAGATGATCTCCCAAAATGGGCCTTGCCCGAAAGCTACTCGGCAGGAGTTACCGTTCAGTCAACCGATTTGCGCAGAGAAGGTGCAATTCAGCGACTGTCGCAGTCTGGCTACTCCGTCGAGCTGTGCAAAAAGGTTTATGATGATTGTGGTGGAGATGAGTGCAAGGCTGCTCTAAAGTTACAGACAATATTGCTAGCCAGTGGTGCAGATACCGATATCGATGGTCTGGATGATGGACATGATGTACCACTAGAGGAACTTTCTCAACAACGGCAAGATGAAATAGAAAGCCTGGAGTCGGTCTATGGAAACCATTTCAATCGTATCTCGGCTACGATCTGCCAGGTCCGTCTATCATCTGTGGACAACGGTCCAAAGAAGAACATCGAGGCCCTCATTCAGTTCCGCCATTCTCCTGACCACCCATCGGAACACATCCTTTCAGTGATTGCAGATCTTCCCGCATATATCAAACTAAGCATCATCAAGAAGACGTTGGCCTATATGAAAGAGTCTTTGCAAGACGAAGAGATGAAAATGTTCTACATCATCAGTTGGGTGCAGGAGAACATCAACGACATCATCAATCGCCCAGGCGCTCTCCGTGATATCGCTGCTGTTGCATCGGCGGCTTCAGAAGAGAAGAGCTCCGCCGCTAGAAGGACTTCTCGAAGAGCAGCAAGGCATCCAAGACCAATCCGCTGGGCCGTGGATGTCAAGAGCAAAGACGAATGGCTTGCACGGCAAGAAACTGCGTCGTATAAGAAGATGCTTGCACAGCGTCAGAGACTGCCGGCTTGGCAGGTCCGGGAGGATGTTGTACAGACGGTCACTGACAATCAAATCACGATCATATCTGGTGAGACGGGATCAGGAAAGTCGACCCAATCCGTGCAATTTGTCTTGGACGACCTCTACCAACAAGGCTATGGTAATTGCGCCAACATTATCGTCACTCAACCTCGTAGGATCTCTGCCCTTGGCCTGGCAGACCGTGTCAGCGATGAACGGTGTTCACAAGTTGGTCAAGAGGTTGGCTACTCGATTCGTGGCGAGAATAAAACGAGTGGTAAGACAAAGATCACATTTGTCACTACGGGTGTATTACTGCGACGTTTACAGACATCTGGCGGCCGCATCGACGACGTTGTGGCGTCCCTCGCGGATGTCAGCCATGTAGTTATTGATGAAGTGCATGAGCGAAGTCTAGATACTGACTTCCTCCTGAGCATTCTTCGCGATGTGTTACTCAAGAGAAAGGATCTGAAACTTATACTTATGAGTGCAACACTTGATTCTGCAACATTTGCAGATTACTTCAAGGCAGATGGGCTTTCAGTTGGGTTGGTTGAGATCGCTGGGCGAACTTATCCTGTCGAGGATTTCTATCTGGATGATATCATCCGCATCACCAATTTCAATCTTGGGCGTGATGATTTCACTGATAGTAGATCTGCAGATCAAAAAGGGGAGTATCAGGATCCTGTCGCGAGGACTATCCAAAGACTAGGCATGAGGATCAACTACAATTTACTGGTTGACACAACAAAGGCACTGGATGAGGAATTATCGGACACACAGAAATCTGGTGGTATCCTCATTTTCCTGCCCGGAGTGGCTGAGATCAACCAGATATGCAACCTGCTCAGGTTCGCAAACTCTCTTCATGTACTCCCACTACATGCGTCACTGGAGACAAAGGAACAGCGAAAAGTGTTTGCTGCACCGCCTCCAGGCAAGAGGAAGGTAGTCGTGGCAACAAACGTCGCCGAGACCTCCATCACAATCGATGACATAGTTGCAGTTATCGACAGTGGAAGAGTCAAGGAGACCAGCTATGACACGCAAAATAATATGCGAAGGCTTGAGGAGACCTGGGCTTCTCTAGCTGCTTGCAAACAACGACGAGGTCGTGCTGGCCGTGTACAAGCCGGCAAGTGCTTCAAGTTATATACACGCAACTTAGAGCAGCAAATGGCCGAGCGACCAGATCCTGAGATCCGCCGAGTACCACTGGAGCAGCTGTGTCTTTCTGTCCGTGCTATGGGCACTAGAGATGTCGCTGGTTTCCTTGCGCGAGCTCCGACGCCCCCAGAAGCCACCGCTGTCGAAGGGGCAATCACCATGCTGCGCCGAATGGGTGCCCTTGATGGTGACGAGCTTACAGCTCTCGGCCAGCAATTGGCAATGATCCCAGCGGATTTGCGTTGCGGCAAGCTAATGGTGTTTGGAGCAATATTTGGTTGCCTGGATGATTGTGTGACCATTGCCTCAATATTGAGCTCCAAGAGCCCCTTTGTTTCTCCACAGGAAAAACGCGACCAGGCCAAGGAGGCAAAGATGAGATTCGCAAGGGGAGACGGTGATCTTCTCACAGACTTACGGGCATTTCAGCAGTGGGATGACATGATGCAAGATCGACTCCCTCAAAAGCAAATACGGAGCTTCTGCGAAGAGAACTTCCTTTCGTATCAGACGATGTCGGACATATCGTCGACGCGAACGCAATACTACTCTGCTCTTGCAGAGATTGGCATCGTATCATCTGACGAGGTATCAGCGGCACGGCATCAGGGCCGCGGTTCACCTTCCATGGCGCTTCTGCGTGCCTTGACCGCTTCTGCGTTCAGCCCTCAAATTGCTCGCATTCAATTCCCCGACAAGAAGTTTATGGCGTCAATGTCCGGTGCTGTAGAGCTCGATCCAGAGGCTAAAACTATAAAGTATTTCTCAAAGGATAACGGGCGAATCTTTGTGCACCCAAGCAGCACTTTGTTTGATAATCAAGGCTTCTCCGGTAACGCTTCGTTCTTGTCTTACTTCACCATGATGTCTACCTCGAAGATATTCATCCGAGACCTCACACGTAAGTAATTTCTATGCTGGCAATGACAGCCAGCGATGCGCCGCTAGACATATAACTAACAAGTCGGCTATAGCTTTCAACGCATACACACTACTACTATTCTCCGGAGCCATCGAGCTAGACACTCTTGGTCGTGGACTTGTAGTGGATGGCTGGCTAAGATTAAGAGGCTGGGCGAGGATCGGAGTTTTAGTATCGAGACTGAGGGGAATGGTAGACGATATCATTGCGCTGAAAGTTGACAACCCATCGATGGATTTGAGGAACAACGAGGTCATCAAGGCAGTGGTCAAGTTGATAGAGCTGGATGGATTAGATGCTTGAAGGAGACAATAGACACGATGGACATCTGCATAGATAATCAAAACACCCTACCTTCCATGCTGTAGGCAAATGGATTACTCCCCGATTAAGGACCAAGCTCTTTCGACGTCGACCCCGAAGTCTTCTGGATAGATGCATATGTCGACTTATGCACCTAGGCGTCCAAAGGTGGGCTTCTGCCTCAGGCGCCCCACCTGGGTAATTTTGGCAGTCACGTCCAAAATCCAATCGCGCCCCCCAATCCGGACGCGAAACAATATTTATCGCCATTCCCCCAACGTCGCATCGCCAACAACCCGAATTGTTCGACTAACGATCAATGCCAATCGCACGAACGCCGCTCATGGAGAGTGCAGATAACAGCGCGTCGCCCTCGTCGACGCCGGCAGCCGACACGCGACGCCGCTCCGGACGCGTCACCCGTGTACCTGAGAAGTTCCAGCCCGAGGCCGCTCTCGCGAACAAGCGCAAGAGGGGCACCGACCAGGAGGATGACGATGATGTCGAAAATCAGGATCCAGATGAGGGCGTCGATGTGAGCGACGAAGAGGCTGATGACTCTGGCGACGAGGACAACGTGAGGCCCAAACGGAAGAAGCCCGCGTCGCAAACGACGAAGGCGCGGAAACCTGCTGTCAAAAAGCCCAAGATCAACGGCGCTGCACATGCCACTGGTCTCCCGAGCAGACCAAAGGCGAAGAAAACGGCGCGCGTCATTACGGGCGACAACCGCGATGGCGATGGCATTTATGGTATGTAATACCCCGCTGCTCCTGTTGATGTGGTGCTAACGTTTAAAAAGCTGATATCTTCGGATCTGGTGATTCATCGGATGACGTGGCGAGTCGATGGTATCAGAAATACCAGGATGCGGATGAGAATGCAGTTACCGACCTGGTGAATTGTGTGCTGTTAGCAGCTGGATGTGACCAGAAAGTGACAGAAGACGATATCAGAGATCCTGACAACATTCAAGGCAGGCTATCAGAACTGCAGGATGTTTACCAAGATGTGAGTTTCATGCGATTGCCTTGGTCGGCACATAAAACTGACTTGGATACAGCAACAAATCACAGACTATCCCCTAGCGAAGGCGAAAGAGAGCAAAGCCTTCCGCGATTTGCTCACAGGGTTCTTCAGATCTCTCATTACCGTTCTACACGAGACAGATGTCCTGTATAAAGACGCTCCACTGATGGAGAACATCGCCCGCTGGGTCGGCACTATGTCCTCTTCAAGTCTACGACCATTTCGACACACTGCTACAGCAGTTGCATTGGCCATGGAACTTGCACTCGTAGATGTTGCTAAGAAGCTGGACGACAGGATTACAAAATCAACTCAGCAACTCGAAGCAGAGAAGAACAAGAAAGGAAAGAGCAGAAATAAGAATATGCTCGCTTCCTTGCAACGCCAGCTCGATGAAGCGAACCATAACCGGGAGCTTTGCGGTGATCACATCCGTGATTTCTTTGAAGTTGTGTTCGTGCATCGATATCGCGATATCGACCCTCGCATTCGGACTGAATGTGTAGAGGCGCTCGGGTCATGGATCTGGGTCCTCCCCACAGTATTCATGGAACCAGAGTATCTGAGATATCTTGGCTGGATGCTCTCTGATATCGTCCCTTCAACTCGACAGGAAGTACTCAAGCAGTTGGCACGAGTCTTCAAACGCGACGCGTCGAAATTGGGCCACTTTATCGACAGATTCAGGCCTCGACTGATGGAAATGGCAGCCAAGGACTCCGATATTGGTGTTCGTGTCGCTGCTATTTCCGTTATCGAGACCTTGCGGACTGTTGGCATGCTTGAGCCTGATGAGATTGATGCCACCTGCAAGCTGATCTACGACTCGGAACCCAGGATTCGCAAGGCAGTTGTTCAGTTCTTTGCCGACTCTGTTGGCGATATTGTTGAAAGCAAAGTCGAAGAGATAGGTGGCGCTGAGACTCTCGAAGATCTTTTCCTCGAGACGGAAGATGCTGATTACTCTTCACCACGAAAAGATTGGATCCAGATCAAGGCCCTTGCAGAAACACTTGCCGCCTACGATGCACAATTGGAGGATGAAGTACCTGATGTCCCTCGTGGACTTGATATTGGTGCCGAAATGGTTCATGCAGCTGTGCCGGAAACTCGAATTTCGCTTGCTGCGCAGGCTCTTTACGAAAAGGTTGAAGCCGTGAAGAACTGGGAGGCATTATCAGGATTTCTCCTATTCGACCATTCGACTAGCACCAAGTCAAAGTCGAAACCGAAGGGCGCCTCAGCAGATGCAACGTTCCGCAAAGCAGTTGCTCCCGAGGGATCAGAAGAGTCGGTTTTACTCGAAGTCTTAGCCTCATCAGTTAGGCAGAGCCTAGTACACAGCCATGACGCTGAGAAGAGCAAGAAAAAGCAGGCCAAACTAGAGCCTACTGAGTCCGGCGAGGACATTGCGTTGCACCTAGCCCTTACGATCCCAAAACTTCTCAAGAAGTTTGGGGCCGAGCCAGCTACTGCAACCGTGGTGTTGCGACTCGAGCATTCATTAGACCTGGATGTGTTCCAGCAACTGAGACAAGACTCTACCACATACTCACGACTACTGGACGAGATTTGCACGCAATTTAACAGACATGTGGACAAGGGTGTCTTGACAGAAGCAACCTCTGCACTTCTTCATGCGCGCAAATATGAAGAGTTAGAGGAGGTGGCGGACAGCAAGATCTCAGGATTATGGGAGAATAGCATCAACGCATTGCGAAACTTCGACAAAGTCGCTGAGCTCTCCATGCGCGGAAACCTCGAAGAGTCCGAACTCATTGAGTTACGAAACATTTTGACTAAAATCAAGAACCTGGCGCGGGTAGCAGACTGTGTTGATGTTCTGGAAGCCGAAAGCAAATCTGATGATTCGAAATCGCCGGCGGTTGACATTTTGGTGAAGACAGTCCGTCGCGGGCGGTATCACCAGGTCGATGAAGAGCTTGATGATCTTGAGGATGATACCACTTCACTTGCCATCCAATGTTCCATGTTTTACTTCATGTGGAAAGTACGCTCAATCATGAGCGCTGTCGGCATGCAAACCAACATAGCCAATGAATCGGTCGACCGTCTATCTCTTCTACGCAAATCCTTCCAGACATATCTCATCGAAACCCTCTCATCTCGAGCTATCAATGATGACCTACGTCTCTTTGCCACCGGCTCTCTCTGCGATCTACACGTTCTACTTTCTTCCATTCAACAAACAATTACGCAATGGCAACAAGCAGGAGCAGCCAAGAAATACGAGAACTTGCAAATTCTCGTGCAGCAGATCCCGCCCGGCCTGGTGCCTGAGCTCATTTCTATCTTCGATGGAGCTGAGCGGGCGTACGCAAAGAAGACAAAGAAGACATTGAATGAGCCCGCGGAAGACGAGGATCCAATTGATGACGAGCCTTTGGATGATGAAGAGGAGGATGAAGAAACATCCCCAGAGGAAAAGCGTGCTGCCGAGTTGAAGGCGGAAAAGACACTCTGCGAGCTGACCGGCAAGCTTGTCATGGCTATACTCTCTCGAGTTGTCGACCTGGCTGGCCCTCAGCCTGGAAGACTTCGAAAGCGGCTGTTGCGAAACCAACTGAAACTGGGAACCAACTTCAGAGATACGCTGGCCTACCTTGATGAGAAGAAGCTAAAGGAGTTGGTAAGTGGCAAGAAGAAGAGCTCCAAGAGCAAGGGCAAGCAACCTGTAGCGGCAAAGAGACCGGCAATCAGTGATGAGATCGTGGTTGCGGATGATGACTCGGACGAGGAAGAGAACCCTTTCGAGGATGATGAGCCTGAGGAAGGTACTATCGAGGATCTGCGTCGTCGAGAACTGTTGGATGATCCCATCGAGAATGATGAAGAGCAAGCCGATGGGCCTGCTAACGATGGAATGGATGAGGATGATGATATTCTTGGGGATTAAGGAGCTCCAGAGCTGGCGTTCTTTGGAGTTGTGACGATCGTTTCTGAATGATGCCCGGGCTGCGCAGACTTGCATCCATGTAATATACTTGTGAAGGATAGGTTGCGCTAAGCGCTTTCAATGTGGCTTTGGAGGCCAAAAACTTCTTCAAAATCGCGTACGAAAGTTCCATGTTCTCGAGTATCAAACGGGTATGATTACAATATCCGCTAAATTATCATTCAAGTAGACACGCCCTTTTTCTGGGTAATATAAAGACAGCGTGATCCAAACGTGCCCTCAGCCGGAATGCAAGAGCATCTTCGTAAGTCATTAGTCGCTACGAATTTTTGTCCCAAACAAAGAGAAAACACGCTCCCATTTCCAGTTTTCTCCAGCATTAGCCTCCTGGGCATTTCTTGCCTTAACCTTTATGCCATACTGCTGTAGACAACAAGTGAATGGCTTATTGGAGGTCTGGCTCAGGGTGGGCTCTTTGCCGCCGCCATTCCCCTCTCCATCCGAGCTATCCAGTGGTGGTCGCTCACCCGGCAGCTGCTTGCGTCCCCTAAGTTTGCCATTTCTCGCCTCCTCGACGGCCCGTTTCCGTTCTTCGAGATCTCCCCATAGTTTGAACAGTGTCTCGCGGAGCGTCTCTAGGTTCTCAGGATCAGCCCGCAAGTTTTTTGCGTCCAGGTTCGTGAGTAGCTGTGCTTGTACGTTGTTGACGACTACCCAGAACGTCTTCCGCTGCTGTGGTTTCAGCTTTGCAGTGGCGTCCTCCAGCTTCAACGCGAATCGCCACTCCCAAGATCCTGATGTGAACTTGTTCGGTATCTCCACATCAGAGTCGTCGGAGGAGTCGCCGCTGTTATCAGACAGTACATCGTACTCCCCCTTCTTTTTGACCACAGCAAAATCTTCAAGATTTGGCGGATGGAAGTCGACTACACGTACATGTGTTCTATATTTTGCATTGGTGAAAGGCATTTGGATCTTGACGTCCTCATCATCGATGCGAGTATTGTAGAAAATTGGTGCTAGTATCTGCGAGAGAGGCGTGATCTCCTGGTTTGGATACTCGCATAATATCAGCTCGCTCACATCCAACGCGGGGTCTTGTTTCTCTTTCTCTTCTTTCTTCTCCAGAGCAGCCCGCTTTGCCTTGCGGCGGGATCTGGAGTTGAGCTTCCCTCTTTTCCTATCTGGCTCTGAATCTGCGGCCTCCTCTGCTTCTTGCAGCGAGGCTTTCCTCTTCTTGGCTTGAGTCACTTCTGCAACGATGCCCTTGAGCTGCGTCTTCTTCTCGCGTTCATAGTCTCGCTTGCGCCGGATCGCTTCTTTGAAGCGGGGATCGATCATCTCCGCATCGTCAGCCGGGTCGAGGATATCTACGAGCATCTTTCCCATAAATGTACGGTCTTCGCGGAGAAACCCCTCAATATTGGCGGAATTGTGCCCAAATTTGATCTGTACGTTCCGCAGGCGAACCCATTCGCTCATCTGTATATTGGAACGGATGAAGCTGGCGTGCGGCTCCCAGCAGGTGACCTGCATGGTCTTCTTGCCGAAAGGGCCATTCCACTGCTGCGACAAGTCTGGTGATACTGATTTTGCCGTCTTGGCATTGAATTTCTTCGTGTAGCCATACGGATCGCCATCCCTCTCGCGCGCCACCAGATCGTCCACGCCATCGTAGGTCTTGTGGAAGAAAGCCGGATTTTCCGTATAGTCTGTGACCCAGAGCGTCATCTTGTCGCCAAGGTCGTAGGGCTCTTTCACCACCTGGACGATGATGTCGGCAAACTTGCCATCCTTGACGTCTTTGAGGAGCGTGAATTTCTCCTTGACGTTTAATGACTGCTCCGTCCTCGCCTGAAATAGTGTCTCATCGGGGATGTAGCCTTTGTCAACCTGCTGGTACATCCACGAGACATACTCATGCTCTTTAGCATTAGGCTCGCGCTTGACTCTCCCCCTTGGCTCTCTCAACGCAGCGAAAGCCGATTTTGGTGGCTTTGGAATTTTAGAGCCATCATATACGTGGATGTCCGTATTGAAGTTCGTGAGGAGAGACAGTGACCCATTCCATTTCTGGACCTTGACCATGAGAACCATAACAATGTCGCCAGCGTTGAAGTGAGGCATCTCTTTCTCAGGGCGGAAAATGTTGACGTTGACACCATCATTGTCCTCTTCAGTAGACTCATCATACAGGGTGACGGTGCACTTGTGATCTAAAAATAAATGTTATTAAAGAAATCAGCTAAACACATAGATGAACGTACCAGTACGGCCCGTTGCTATAGGGGCTCGAAAGTCCTTCACTATACCTAAGACACAAACCTGGCGGCCCACAGGAACCTGCTCGTCCAGAATGTCTTTGATGCTGGTGAAATTGGACGGTAGTGGGGGAGCTCTACGGCCATCCCGTTGTTTCGACGAAGGCGTCTGGGAGAATGAAGGCATGATTGACACTCCTCAGGTCGGAATCCGGCAGGTGCACGAGGGTCAGACCCAGACAGCTTCATACTTCTTCTGCAAAGTTCTCTGTGTTTCTGAATTCGTTTATCTATTTGCTGCCGCATTCAGCTTTCACCCATGGACGACTTCAAGACGCGCTGCTAGCCAATCCACCGCGTCTAGGGAGGGGCTAGCCTAATACGGCGTAGGGCTTCACAGAGGCTTCCCGCTAGAAAGTGGTCCGTGCATTCAACTTAGGTAATGTGAGGGGTCTTCAAAGTTGGGCAAAGGGTGAGGGTGAGGTCAGAGTCCGGAAGAGGACTAGCGTCAACGAGGGGTGCCTTTGTTGCCTGAGGTGTCACGATAGCCAGTCAGTCAGTCAGTTAGGCAGTCCGTCAGTCATCGGCCAGTTTTGTAGTGGCCTTCTGCCCTGGCTGACTCCACTACAAAATACCCCCAGCACCTGGGCAATTATCAGGGAGACTATCCGAACAGACCAAAACAGAGGTACTGATGCTCATACGCTAGCGTAGTGGGCTGGCTGGCTTCCTTCTTTCCCTCTTCAATTCTCACCTCACAGGCCAAACCTGACCTGAACCCCAAATAATAATTTCTCTGCTCTACACTGCACTGCACTGCACACCCACGCAAACCTTCTTCCCATCACTCCTTCGCCCTTCTCACCTTTTGAGGCTGCAGATCCAGACTTGAGCTTCTCGCCCAGTCCTCTCTTGTTGATCCTGTCGCCACTGTAGCAGGCTTCCAACTGTGATTTCTTGACGGCTTTTCCCCTCTTCCCCCCCTTCCTATTGATTGATTGCTTGTCACCCGGGCTACCATAGAGTGGAACCTCCCGACACCCGCAAACATGGCTGATCGATACATTCCTGAGCATCGGCGGAACCAGTTCAAGGCGAAGAACACCTTCAAGCCTGAAGAGCTCCGCCGACGCCGCGAGGAGCAACAGGTCGAGATTCGAAAGGCCAAGCGCGAGGAGAACCTGGCAAAGCGACGTGGTATCGGCTCAGGCGACTCGCGACCAGGCGCCTCCCTCGGCGCTGCTCCTGACAGCGACGATGAAACCGCTCCCACAGAGTCTCAGGTACGTCCTACATGTCATTGCTGCAGAATTTTATTTCTTTTTCGTTTGCACGCTCTGCAACATTGTTCTGTCTTCTTTTGCCAACTTTCGTGTTCGGCGTTGGCTGCGAGACCTCTTTGTGGTCCACTGTTGACCACAATTTTCGGGACCCGCATCCTCGCTGAACCGAAATGGAGCTCGGTTGCATCAATGTCGACAGAGCTGCTCCCGCGGTAATCGAGGAGAGACCCAGCTCATTCAACAAATATTTCCTATTTTGCTCAGACACAGATACGCATTCAGTGATCCGTCATGCTGACCAAATATAGCTCACCGAAGAGCTCCCCCAGATGGTCCAGGGAGTCTTCTCCGATCAGATAGATCTGCAAATTCAGAGCACCACGAAATTCCGAAAGCTCCTGTCCAAGGAACGCAACCCTCCTATCGAAGAGGTCATTAAGACTGGCGTCGTTAGCCGATTTGTCGAGTTCCTGCGATCCCCCCACACTCTGGTCCAGTTCGAGGCAGCTTGGGCTCTGACCAACATTGCTTCTGGCAGTGCCACTCAAACCCAAGTTGTCATCGAGGCTGGTGCTGTGCCTATCTTTGTCGAGTTGCTCGCTAGCCCGGAGCCTGATGTCCGCGAGCAAGCCGTCTGGGCCCTTGGTAACATTGCTGGTGACAGCCCTCAATGCCGCGACTATGTGCTCAGCTGCGGTGCCCTCAAGCCTCTTCTGGCCCTCCTGGGCGACAGCCGAAAGCTGAGCATGCTGCGTAATGCGACATGGACCTTGAGCAACTTCTGTCGTGGCAAGACACCTCAGCCCGACTGGAATACGGTGAGTCCTGTCTCCATGAATCGTGCTATCACGTGACGTCTCGCTAACATGCACTTTGACAGATTGCGCCGGCTCTGCCTGTTCTCGCCAAGTTGGTCTACTCCCTGGATGACGAGGTCTTGATTGACGCCTGCTGGGCTATTTCTTACCTCTCGGATGGATCAAATGATAAGATCCAGGCCGTTATCGAGGCCGGTATCCCTCGCCGTCTTGTTGAGCTGCTGATGCATGCTTCGACCTCCGTCCAAACCCCCGCCTTGCGGTCTGTCGGCAACATTGTCACTGGTGATGATGTGCAGACTCAAGTCATCATCAACTGTGGTGCTCTGCCGTGTCTTTTGTCACTGTTGAGCTCTAACAAGGATGGTATTCGCAAGGAGGCATGCTGGACCATTTCCAACATCACTGCCGGCAACTCTACCCAGATTCAGGCCGTCATTGATGCCAACATTATCCCACCTCTCATTCATCTCCTGTCCAACGGCGACCTAAAGACGCGAAAGGAGGCCTGCTGGGCAATCAGCAACGCAACCAGTGGAGGACTGCAGAAGCCTGAGCAGATTCGTTACCTGGTGTCTCAGGGCTGCATCAAACCACTCTGCGATCTCCTGGCATGCCCCGACAACAAGATCATTCAGGTTGCGCTGGATGGTTTAGAGAACATTCTCAAGGTTGGCGATCTCGACAAGCAAGCTGCCGGTGAAGGCCCCGACTCCATCAACCGCTATGCGCTGTTCATTGAGGAGTGCGGTGGCATGGAGAAGATCCATGAGTGCCAAACCAATGCCAACGAGGAGATCTACATGAAGGCATACAACATCATTGAGAAGTACTTCTCCGATGAGGATGAGGTGGCAGATGAGGGAATGGCTCAGGCACAGGGCCCCAACGGCACCTTCGGTTTCGGCGCCAACGGTGGACAGCAGCAAGGCGGCTTCAACTTCGCTAATGGCGGAGAGTCTATGGACATGTAAGACGGCTATCCACATGTCTCTGCGCTCGGTTCGAGAGGAGGGACTCGGTTACGTTGACAGTCACCCTCGCTTAAGCTATCGCAACTGGCACTCCACAGTTGCCATCAGCATTTCCCCATCATCCTGACACAGCACCGCCATGCCTCGTTTCCGATTTCCCGGACATAAATCACACACAACACTACAACATTAAGGTTGACAGTCACACTGCCCCCCCTATCCCATATCACACGAATTGGCGTTATTTAATTGTTATTTCTTGGAGTCTGCGGAAAGATGCTTTCCGTAGAGAAGGACAGAGAGAAGACAGGCCCTTTGGTAGCTTGAAAGCTCCAGCCTGACGATGATTGATCAGACGATACAAGGTGGTAATGCAAACAGGAGGGACGGCTCGGTCATGGTGGCTCAAAAAGGCTCTCCATTGCTGTAACGACGACGTTTGCTCAGCAAACAGATGACGAGCCGATTCCGGCATGCCACGATGGACTCGCTGGACACGGCCGGTGTGCCGACACGATGCCATGTGAGAGGAGGATTGGACGGGAGCGGGCGGTCATAGCTAGTGCATGACAGACCCGAGGAGAAGAGAGTCTGAGCAGGACTATCTGGCTTTGTGTTTCAACCAAGTGGTTGAAGATGAGCTCAACATCCATTGGCACATGTAGTCCCGTTTAAGCAGCGCAACATGGCACAATGAACGAAGCCAACTAACTGATGCCTGTGATATCATGTGAAATGCATGGTGACTTGAATACTCGATCATTGCTATCTGCCTATGCTTTGGCGGGGTTGAAGGAGTTCTAGCGGGGCCACTGTGATGATCTGCGGGGTTTCCAAGACCCTTGAAGCCATCCCCTGGCTTGCTGTGTCATTGCGCCTCGTGCGCTACCCACTCAGGTGAGCTTAGATATCATGACAGTCACCCTGATGATTTCATCTCAAACCAATTCGGACCTCGACTGCAGTCAACGCTCGATACAGGCAATCGTATTTATACCCATGTACTTGTTAACTCCAGAGTCTCAGCATTAACTAATAACCATGCTTGGCCACGCTCTGCGGGCCAGCTTGTTTCTCTCGCTAACGGCTGCCACGCCCTTCATTGATTACAACAACCTGCCCAACGAGACCATCTTTCCTGGCCCTTGGGAGGAGAGTATCAAAGCCCCTGCCAACAAGTCTTATATCAGGCCGGCGCGAATATGGAAAGCGAGGGGCAATGTGTCCGACTCAGGCTTTGACGCAAGTCTCCGGACAGCCGATCATGACTCTGGCAGTAGCATCCTCATTGGCATTGGGGGCATATTGACACTTGAATTTGATGAGAACATTGCAGGGAGGTGTGTATCTTCAAGATTCGTGATCTAATTCTACCTTTTTGTATACAAATGCTAACGATTTATCAGGGTATGCTTCGATGTCGAGTCGGTGGGTGATTACCCAACTGTTAACTTGGGTTACTCCGAGTCGCCATTCTTTGCAGCACCAGTGCCAGATGCTACTACCGATCGAAAAGAAAGAGACCTGCCTCTGGCCTTTCCATTCGGTAACAAGACTGGCCATATCTGTGTTGAGAAAGAGTTCATCAGAGGCGGCTTCAAATACCTAACTATACAGTTGCCGTACTCCTTCCGTTATGATCAATCCAAGTCCCAATTCTGGGATGCCATTGACGGGATCGCGAATGCAGGACAAAGAGTTCTCGGCCTGCAGCCCAAACCTCTGTCCTCAGTCCTGCGACCCGGCAGCAGCACCTACCGGCGACCTTTCGTCGCGCTACGTAACATATGGGTGCACTGCACAGCCTTCCCTTCACAGACAAACGGCCGAGCATACAGCGGCTATTTCTCCAGCTCGTCGCCTCTGCTCAATCGCATTTGGTACGCAGGTGCCTGGACACTGCAGCTGTCCACCATCGACCCGGTCGAGGGCTCGGCACTGATCGATTATAACCGCGCCATCGACGGCAACAAGAGCCCCACGGGCTCGTGGTACAGCAACTTCACCATATGCAACGGCTCCGCCGTGACCACGGACGGCGCCAAGCGCGACCGCGTCGTCTGGCCGGGCGACATGTACATCGCCGTGCCCGGCATAGCCGTGTCGACCTACGACATGCTGGCCGTGCGCAACGCGCTCGACGTCCTGTTCGACCACCAGTACGAGGACGGCAGCCTGCCGTATGCGGGCCCGCCGCTTGGCTTCAGGGGCGAGTTCAGCGACACGTACCACCTGCACACGCTGCTGGGCGTGTTCAACTACGTCCTGTACAGCGGGGACGTGGCGTGGCTGGAGAGCCGCTGGCCGGCTTATCTTCGTGCCCTGGAGGTGAGTATGGCCAAGGTCGACGAGCTGGGGCTGTTGCATGTCTCCAGCACCGCCGACTGGCTGCGGCCAGGGATGACGGGTCACAACCTTGAAGCAAGCGCGATGCTTTTCGAGGTGTTCCGCCGGACGTTCCAGCTCGTGGAGTTCCTCGGCTCCGACTGGGTTGTGGCAGAGCATGTCCGCGCCGCGACCAAGAAGAGCTGGGAGACGATGCAGCGCACCCTAGAGAAGGGCCTCACGCGCCTGTACTGCGCCGACAGCGGCATGTACGCCGATAACGTCGGGCGGCGGGGCTGCGCCGGTCCGGAGCGGTGCGAGGCGCAGGACGGCAACAGCTGGGCGCTGATTAGCCGAATGGCGCTGCTCAACGGGGATAGCCCAACTGCCCGCACGGCGTACAACGTCTCGGAGAACCTGCGTGCGCGGTGGACAAAGTACGGCGCGCCGGCGGTCGAGTTCCCGAACACGATCAGCCCCTTTGCGTCTGGGTTTGAGCTACTGGCGCACTGCGCCGCGGGCAACGTCGATGCCGCCGTCGAGCTGATGCTGCTCGAGTGGGGATACCTGCTAAACGGACCAGGTTTCACAAACAGCACGCTGGCCGAGGGGTTTAGAATTGATGGATACGTGCAGTATCCTGCGTACTGGAGCGCTGCGCGCAATAGCCACGCTCACGGCTGGGCGTCGGGTCCCACGGGCGTGCTGGTGACGGAGGTCTTGGGTATTGAACTCCAGGGGCCAGCGGGTTCGTCGTTCGTTATACATCCCGAGCTTACTAGATGGCTTGGCTGGGTGACGGGTGGGTTTGCCACGACAAAAGGCAAATTTGAGGTGACAATGTCAAGGGCTATAGAGGTTGACGAGGAGGGCCGTAAAGGGGCAAAGGGACAATTGGTGGTGATAACCACACCACCGGGCACGAGTGGTACCATCAGGTTGGGCCATGGTAGCTTTGAACATGAGGTGGAGATGCAGACTGTGGAGAGGACGAGAGCATGGTTTGTGAAGGATGATGAGGTAGTCCTCCCTCTAAACGACGGCACCGTATCCATGCTCGTTGGAGGAGAAAACTTGCAAAACTTTCGGAACCGAATCTCGTGGGCTCAGTTGCCAAAAAGCCCTTCCGAACGGGGTTTGAGATTGAAGTATGATGATAGCTTCACCAAACCCAAGATAGAAGACCGCCCGGTGGGAGTAATCGATTGGGATGCTCTGGAGAAAAACTACGCTCCTTCTCTGTGGGATATGGACTGGAAGATCCAGGGCTCTGAAGAATAAGCAGTCTTCAAAAAGCGTAAGGCATTCCAAAGACTGCCTGACTCCTAACATATATGGACCTATTGTAATCAAAATGCAGATAAATTGTCTATGATGGGTTCTATTAAAGTATTCAGGGGCTCTGCACTTTCTTCATCATGTGTATTCTGTCCTCTTTTTCGGCAGAATGTTTTGTAGACCGATATTGCTTGAATAAGCGGCTCCATCAAGCTCCTAAGACGTGCGAAATATCGACTTCGCCACCATTAACGAGATTGTATCAGCTGAATCTTTGATCAGGGGTGATATACACTCTATTTATGCTGTAATTATGCTGTAATTGATAAGGGCGGATCACTGAACGTAAATTTGTAAGAGCAAGTCCGCCATCATCAGCATCATGAAGCTGGCCGTATGAGCCTCATTCAGCGGACACACATCAATGCTTGATCTCCGAACTGCTTCACGATGCTACCTTCCCTTGATAGCATCGAACCGATCCACAACCTTCCAGCCTCGACAGTCGCTGACCCAAACTTAACCACGACGCAGCCCCTGACATTAGCAGCAGACCACAGTATCTTCTCTGTCTTCTCCATTTTGAGCCTGTTGGAGCGCCATATCTGGTGGTCATCCTTGCCCTGATCCTCTGTTTCCCTATCTTCGGCAGTCCTAAAGTCACGAGCGCCTATGCGAGGCAAAGCCGCGAACTCGGCTAGGAAAAAGTCGCCGAGGGCCTTCATTAACGGTCCTCGAAGTACCAAAGTTCCAAAGATGCCATGTCCATGCATCGTTTCCCGAAGCGATTTCGTATGTGAGTGTGCCTGATCTCCATCGAGGATAACCGCATCTCTCACAAGCAGTCTCTCCTTAGCCCCTAGATCCTTGGCGGAAGCCCAGACTTCATTTCTTCCAACCCATCGCACAAGACTCCAGTTCTCTCCACGGGCTGTCCGGCCCTGAGTGACCCAGTCCAAGAGACACAATGATGCATCCGCTTTAAGGTGAAAGATCTGCGTTTGCTCATATACACTGCCCTCAAATGGCTGGACGGGATCTGGTAGGAGACACAGAGCTGCATCGTTTCCGATCTGCACATGCAGCTTCTGTCTCGTGACGATATCGGGCGTCACAGACTTGAAGATCTTGGTGTGGCCCTGTGTCACGATGCTGAGCCGAGAGCCTTCCTGTACATCGATTGCGAGGTTGACGCAGTCGCCGCCAACCAGACCGCCGCCGTAGGAGAGAAGGAACACAAGGATGCTCTGGTGCTCATATGGCCGTGGTGGCGATATGAGTTTGAGTGGGTATTGGTATGTGATGGTCTCCAAGCCTGGCAAACCGTTTGGAAGCCGCTTGACAACAATCTTGCCCTCGCCAGCGGCAGATGAAGACTTGGGGAACGGCGAGTTCATGGTATGAAAACAGGCTTGATCATGAGAAGAAGTGATCCATTTTGTACAAGAAATGGCAATGCTAAGAGAGGGTAATTAGTGGTTATAAATGATCAGATCATAAGCTATATCAAAGACATTCTCGCAGTTGACTAAAGCTTTCACGAACTTGATTGTCATATCGTGAACCCCGTTCACTAAATCAATTCGGGTTGCCTGCCGATCACACTGGGACAAGCACAGTCCCGGGCCCTGCTCCACTGTAATAGCGCGGGGTGCTTCCCTAATCCAGCGCTGCTGTGCGTGGTCATTGGAGGCAGAACAATTATTTCGATGACTGGGTTCGTCCCCCACCTTACGTGAGGTCCGACTACAGACAGTTCTAAGCAACCGAGATAAAATTTGCCTGCGCAAACCTTGAGCTCACCCTTCCCTACAACCACCTCAATTACCCTTCATACCACGATATCGAGGCTTGCGATCACCTCGAATACCAACAATGCCACCAGCAGGCCGCGGAAGAGGCGGTCGGGCTCGGGGCGCCCGAGGCAGAGGAGGCGCATCGACTCGAGGAGGACGGGCAAGCGCTGCGACTGAAGGAGCTCAGAGTACCGATGCCACAACAGCAGAAACCACTACACAAGATGGCGGATCCCAAGCCAATGCCCCGGAAGCTTCGGCAGCAGTACCAAATTCACAAACGAATCCTACCCAACCCCCAACGACTACCACCACAAGGCCATTGGTACCGGCAGCTCGAGGCAGCTCGTCGGCGGGCTTTGCGGGAGTAGGCAGATTCCTCCCCAAGGGAGTCAGACGAGCCCAAGCGGAGCGTGATCAATTAGCGCAGCAGGAGCTAAGAAAACAAGAGGACAAGGCGGCTCTGGATGCGAGGATCAAAGCTCGTGCCAATCGGGCGCGAGGTCGCAGGGCCCGTGGCGGAAGAGGTGGCACATTCCCAGATCGCATTATTCGAGGCGGAACGGGAATTGGCGCATTCTCCTCCGAGAGAGGTCTTGGTGGGTTCTTTCGTCTTGCCGTTATTTGGGTTTGATATGACCATCGATGACGCTAATGACTGATCATAGACTATGGAGGCTCCAAGCCCAAAGTGTTTGCTGGTGGCTCAGGAGGCGGCTCAGGCAGCGGCGCAGGAGGCGGTCGGGGACGAGGAGTCAAGTCTGAGAAGGGCCAGGATCTGTTCTACAGCAGTAACAGTCGCAACTCGGGACCCCGTGTCAATGCCGACGACCTCGCTCCGACCATTGACCTGACTGACGTGAAAGATGAAGAGGAAGTTGGACGCAAGCGGGCTGTCATGCCCATGGGCATGGTTCGACATGAACATAAAGATCCTGAGGTGGTTGTGGCGACATCAGCAGAGTTGGAGGCTGCAGAGCAAGCGATGTCTGGTGAAACTAGCAGCTCGGAAGATTTGATTATGACTGATGCGACGGACTATAAGATCGTCGACGATGAAAAGGTCTGGCCTGGCGCCCCACAAAAGCGACGTATTAAGGTCGAAGACGAAAATGGCGAGCAGATTGAGATAACCGAAATCGATGAGCTCGCTGCCCGAAGATCTGCCGTGAAGCCGCCATCCTCACCAGAGCAGAAGAAGAAGGTAGCCATCCTCGAAAACACCGAAATCAAACCACCTAGACCGCGACGCGCTGCACCCAAAGACCCCGAAGACGAGGAAGCCGAGGACGATCTCTCATACATCCTTCGCCTATTCGGCATCACACAACCCGAGGGCGTTGACATGTCAGATATACCTGTTGAAGAACGCGTGCCTCCTGTCTCTCAGGCTGGCAATATGTACCTTTTCCAACTTCCGCCAGTTCTCCCCCCTCTCGCCGCTCATTCTGAACCCAAATCTACAAACCCCGTTAAGGACGAGCCCAACGATGATGTGGTCATGCTTGATGCCCCTGTTAAGGGAAGCGGCGGTACAGTCGACCTCACTTCTGAAGATCAGACTGCAATCAAAATAGAGGATAGTATCGAACCAGAGACAGCTAGCAAAGGCAAGATCCCCTCGGATGCTGAGCTATACGGAAAGGGAGGCTTCGTCGGCAAACTCAACGTCCGCAAATCAGGCAAGATAGAGCTTGTCTGGGGTGGCAAGACGCTTGAGGTATCACCAGGCAACCCAGTCTCTTTCCAAACCTCAGCCATCATCACCGAGAAGGACGATACGAAACCGCAACCGGGTGAGAAGGCTGGGCACAGCTATGGCATGGGAGATATCAAGGGCAAGTTTGTGGTCGCGCCAGTTTGGGCTGAGGAGGAAGAATGGATTGTCGATGCTTCAGAGCTTCCCCCGAATGGTATCGATGCAGCTTCATGAGCGCTATGCCTCGATTGCCAGAGCATGTCCACTGAGATCTCTTCACCACGAGAGAGACATATCTGTCCGAGCACCATATCGCCATATTCACAGACGGAGATCTTGAGGCGTCGATAGGACGCCACATCATGGAGCAGCACGGGTCGTTTCATGATGGGCTTTAGATAGGCCACCACCGCTACTCTGGATGTTAGCTTCTCAAGGCGAGAAGCGTCTATTTAGTCGCCTAAGCGACAGGCTCAGAGAGAGTTCATTTGCCACGGCGAATTCGGCAGGTTACCCGACTCCTGGACTTGAGCTCGACATTGAACAGCATCTGACCCCAAGCTCGCATCTCTTGCCGTTGTACATCACAAGATAGATGGTCATCAATTGATACCCCGACCTATGGTCGCATCAATCACTGCTCCTGATTTTCTTTTTCGAATGTGACACATATTTCCCGCAACGTCTTTGAGCCATGTATCCCTTGTAACCAAGATCAGTGTTATCGATCTCTCCACTCTTACCCCCTGTCTTGCAAGACATCCAGGAGCGGATCTCTTCCCATCGCGGACCCCTTACCCCGCAACCTTGATCACAATTTACCCCACAGTCCGGTACCACATGTACAACCCGACCGGATCTCCCGAGCGGCTCTTGTGTATGCAGGACAATCGCCCGGTACTTCTGATCGGAATGTGATTCTAGTGTAATAAATGACGTATATAGCTTCATTGTTAAGCCTGGATAGCTGTTAACATTTATGATCAGCCTATGGATGGCCGATGACCCCTGATATCTGCTCCAACATGGGCGACGAAGCAAACAAAGGAATCCACCTCGTGGTAATCGGAGCAGGTTTGGCTGGGCTTGCCGCAGCAGTTTCAACTAAACTCGCGAACCCGGCGCATCAAGTCACAGTGCTAGAAGCTACCAAAGAGCTACAAGAGCTCGGTGTAAGTGATAGTCCTGGGTACCAAGTTGCACACTCTAACAGTTTCTCCAGGCAGGCTTACAAGTCACCCCTAATGGGGCAAGACTCCTCCAAACATGGGGTCTCTCGGTGAATCCTGCGTGCCCTGAGACGCTGTCCGTTCACCGATTTGACGGGACGAAGCTGCTTGCACACGAGCCAGCGCTGCAGAAGGTCACGCAAGAACGATACGGTGCCCCTTTCTGGGATGTCCACCGAGTTGATCTCCAGCGCGCTATGGTCTCACGCCTCGAGGAGCTTGGAGGGACCATCCGCCTTAACTCGCGTGCTTCGTCTGTAGACTTCGAGGCTGCAAATGTGAGTCTCGCCGACGGTTCTCAGATCGCTGGCGATGTCGTCCTGCTGGCTGATGGTCTCTGGAGCACGATCCGCGGCCAATTCCTGGGCCGCGACTCCCCAGCCATCCTCACGGGTGATCTGGCCTACCGGATCACACTACCCGTTGACTCCCTCCGGGGGTGGCACGCCCCGGAGCTGGCAGCGTGGATATCAGATCGGCCCCGGGTGGACTTCTGGGTCGGAGCAGGCAGCCACGCAGTCGGATATCCCATGCGCGGGGGCTCCGTGTACAATCTCGTATTTCTATGCCCAGACGACCTGCCGCCTGACACGAACAAGCAGGCGGGCGACCTCGACGAGCTGCGGCAGCGTTTCGCGACCTGGGACCCCATCCTGCGCAAGCTGATCGGCCAGGTGCAGGCCGTCCACAAGTGGCGGCTGATGTGGCTCGACGCACTGCCGCAGTGGGCGCGCGACGACGGGACCTTCTTCATGGCTGGCGACTGCTGCCACCCGATGCTGCCGTACCTGGCTCAGGGGGCCAACTCGAGCCTGGAAGACGGCGCGGTGCTAGGCCATCTGCTAGGAAAAGTAAGTCTGGCGAAGAAGAAAGAGAAGCTGCCGCGCGTCGCGGAGATGTACCAGCGGCTGCGCATGGGTCGGGGACGGCAGATCCAGCTGGAGACGTTCAAGCAGCGGGATGACTTCCACCTGCCGGACGGGGAAGCGCAGGAGAGACGGGATAAACTAATGCTGGGCCAGTTGGGTAAGGAGGTCCAACCGGGATTCCCCTCGCGCTGGACTAGTCCCGACATTCAAGCGTTCCTGTATGCGTATGACGCTTACGCGGAGGCGGAGAAGGCATACCAGGAGAGCCCATTCTGAAACGTTTATTAGAGATATGCATAAACGGCAGTTGAGTCGCTTTATAAACGTGTAGTAAATTCTTTGTACAGCGAACGCCTACTCAGCCCAGGGTATCCTTATTCCCCAGAGTGATAGATATGTACAGTGCAGATGGATCATGGCACATCGGCCATCCACAAGAGCGGGCAGTATGACCCGTTCTTGTTGATCCACCCCTCTATGATTTGAGCCAAAGCCCAATGCATAAGCATTTCATCGCCAACAAGAGGACCTTTTCCCAAAATCAGGCCCAGTTCCCTTTCCGTTTCCCAATACATAGTATAATAAACCAGTTGCCTGTCCACAGCCTTATTTTTTGACCGTGTGATGTATATGTTTATATCCGCATCTACGACCTTTTGTAGTCCGCGGCGGTATTAGATTCGATAGGAAATGTCGGTTTTCTCGGAGTGATTGAGAATTTCGAAGACAGGTGCCTTCCGCGTGCTGTAAGACAGTCTTCATCAGCCCTGGTGCCCAGGACGGGAAGGCAAATGCTACCTTCCCCAGCCGAGCCCGACCTTACCGCTGTGTTGGCTTTGCGCCTCAAGCCCGTGAATATCGTCAGAAGCCTCGCTTGGCGAAGGCTCGCCCTGCCAATGTTCATGGACACGCGTAGGACCTTCAATGACAAAGACACCACTCTTAGAGCTCTCAGGTGGACTTTCTCCTGGCCTTGGTGTTACCTTGATAGCGCCGCCCCATGGTTGCTGGGATTTGGCTGAAGCGACCGACATGCGGGATAATCTCCCAGATGCGGTGCTCTTATCGGTCAGGGTTGTCCCTTGAGAGGGGAAGCTCTTGTTGGCGTCGCGGCCACCAGTCTCCATGTCAATGAGTGTCAGATCTCCTGGCCCAAAGCCTGGCATATTGCCGCGCCCTGACCGTTGCGTGCCTGACCTGAGACCCCCGCTACGGCCTGTAAAGCCGTAACTACGGCTGTTCTCAGTCGACTGGAAGCCCCTGATGCGCCATGCACGCAGAAGAGGTCTGATGGTAACGAGACTCGATGCAACGATAGCGACTCCTGGCTCGACCAAAGTCCATACCATGGCATCAGTGCCGGCAACTGTGTAGTAATAATTAGCAAGACGGTAGAACGGCTATAAAAAGAACAATAATTCCAATAAAGAGACGTCGGTGTAGGGGCGGGATCCTTACAGAGAATGTCGTCTGTATCCGTCAGGTCGGCAAGGAACTTTAGCCTAATAAGCGTTGCAATCGAGGCGCTGCGTAGCAATCTGTTAGCCACCAATGATCTCCAGGCTCCCCTGTTCCTGCATATATTTGACGTTCCACACAGAGAGAAAAGAAAACTTTGGACCAGACTTACAAAATTCCCAGGCCCAAGATAACGACCACGGTGGCCTTCGCTTGCGTAGTCATCTTAACTTGCCAAATCATTGGAATTGGCAAAAGGGCATAAAGCCAGTCGCTAATGATTGTCATGACACTGAGGGCATAGGCTGCATTGACGATCTCGTTGGCAGATACGCATTTCGAGTTAGGTATCGTGAAATCCCATTGTGCCTGGACAGGACTACATTGAAATATGTCCCAGAAGAAGAGGACTGTTGACCAAATCGCAATCACGCCCATGCTCACGTACAAGATCCACTTGTACCGTTTCTGTACAGCGAGACGTAGTAGGAAGACGGCTATGCTGAGCTTGATAAACATCATATTCAGTATGTATGTTGCTGTCGCAAGAGCTTGCCACTGGAGTCCATGTTAGCCTTTTTTGTGTTGTTGATTTTGTTTTTTGCAGAATGGAATTCGAACCATTAAAGCTGGTATCTGCTTCTCGTCGGACAAAGCGTCATTATGTAAACCAATGCCATCTTTAACTCCTACTAGGATGAATGCGCATGAAAGTGTGAAGACAGCCTGTAGACATCACGATTAGTTACTTCAACATAAAGACGGAATTGCTGTTCGATTTCCGTACCTGAGCAATCAGCATAAGCCAATCATCTACTTGGAACCCATTTGTCAAGACAGCGCGGACATATGTTCGCAACAAGACGGAGAAATATGTCAAGGCGAGAAAGACAGCAGCGGTGCCAACGAGCGCACCGCCATTGTTTTCCGTCAGGTCCACCTTCGCGGCCATGAGGCCGGCCGTTGCCAAGAGGAGGACCTAGTCGGGGATACTGCTCAGCCGACTAGAGACGACGACGACAACTACAGTAGTGCTCCAGGCTCTACTCTCGGTATCGACGGTATACAGAGGGCTTCAAAGTCGCATCATCGCAGAAACAGACAAAATGGAAAAGAAGCAAGTCACATCCTGGGAACTCCCTGGGGTAAAAATAAGCAAAGAGAAGACTGGGCAAAACATTGGGCCCTGTGCCGGTGAACGGAGATGAGTGGGCACAAGGAGCGGCGTACAAACGTGGAGCTTCTGGGCTGCCACGCGAGAAGATGCAGGAGATGCCTGGACAAGGAGGGATCAGCCCTGTCAGGTTCGCTTCAACACAACAGCATTCCCCTTGTGGGATTCAGACGGTTTCAATTTACAAGTTGGAAGTGGAGTTACGTGAGATGCTAGGCGGCCGAAACTGGATGGGGTTAATACAGCCATCTAAGAGACGTTTAGGTGATTCACCACCTCGCGCCACGTTCTGCGTACCCCTTGTCTGCGGCAACCATGTCCCATTTCCGCTGCAGACGGATTCTGTAGGGCCCTTCGGCGCGCATTGTGGCTGACACCAAAGTGACCAAACGTCCGGAGCTATTGGGCTGCATTATCAACTGAGGCCACGGCCGCTCGGCTATCCTTAGCGACTGTGACGGCGCAATATCTCATCCCAATAGCCTAATGCTGGCGCAACGACGGACCCGTAAACGTGTTGAAGCGACAGGTGAGGCCAACGGCAGATGATGTTTATACTGTCCACTGTGATTGTTCACTTCGCATGGTGCTTTGTGTTGGGAGTTGTGATCCCGGATGCATTCGTGTAGTGTGATGAAGACCCTAGGAGAAGGATGTTAGCTGAGACTGGAAGGAGAGGGGGTTAGCCAGGGACACAGGTTGACATCCCTGCTCGGCTAAGGGAAGCCGAGGATCAGCGATGTGCCTGATGTGCCTGTCATCCCCGGCTCCCAGCTGTTTGGATTGGGTATCACCCATGCCCTAGAGCGATGTTCCTGCAGCTTCCTTCCGGGCCAGTCTCGCTATAGAGCTGTAATGATTCAGAAGGCCAAGTCTGGTACGGATTGCCGGCTATTGTCCGATTGGCAATATTAAAGGCAAGCATCGGATCGTTATAGACAACGGCATCCAAGGAACTATTGAAAAGTTGATATGCGGCACCTTGATAATGCTCGATGTTCGCGTCATTTTCGCAATGGACCAGTCTTACACTCTCCACTCGCTACGGCTCAGTCAGCAGTAGGAACTGCGCCAGTTCATGAGGTGTAGGATTGGAAGTGGAGTTTTGAGACTCGACGGGCATCGATGGTCTCATCCACAGCTACTTCGCCGTCTTCCGAGTGGGGAACTCAAGCACTAAAATGCCCTAAATGCAACGATGTGACGGGCCAATTGGTGGTCAGTCAGGTCGTCCCCCAGTCTGAAGTCTCTGTGGAATCCCCAAATAGAGCTTCGAGAAGCCCCTTGTCCCGAAACAGACATGATAAGGGGTGACTGACTTGCAGCAGGACACACACTTTGTAGGGGCCCTACAAAGCTTCATAAATCGACATGGAGATTGTTTCGCGGGAGGATGTGAAACATGATAGCTCTCTCTTTTATCGACCTGCACCCCGCGCCGCAGCATTTTCGATCATGACAGGAAGGTGGGAGATGCACTTAACCCTGGAAGAGTGCTGGAAGCCTTGAGTGCCGAACGGGTGAAGTCGTGGCTCAGCCAGGTTCAAATTGTCGAGTGCATGATCGAGGACCCCAATCTTATGCTATCAGGAACTTCATGCGCGGCGCGCGTCTCAGAGACCAGGATCCTCCTTGGGAGATAAGGTCGGCTGGAGAGTCTCGACTTTTACAAGCAACATGGTGCTCATGTCGGGGAAGCGCCTCCAACGACTTCAGACGACCAACTGACTAGTGGTGGCGTATGAGGAGGCTGTATCGCGACTCGAGAGACCAGAATCGAGACTCTTGTCTAGTAGTGATCGACAAGAGATGGCTTTTGAAGGCCGACCTGGAAGTGCCTGAGCGCATGGCTTCGCTAAAGATCTTCTCAAGCGGGAAAGGCTGTCACGCTGTGGCGTCTGTGAATGTGTGAGTGGACACCAAAGGGGCTGTCCTCCTAGCAAACACCCCAGTCTGAAACGCGCGATGCGAAGGCGACGAGAGTGTGGATCTTGGGGCTGCTTTAACGTATTCCTTCACCATTCAACCTCGTTGCAGGTGTTGCCTTCCGAATTCAATCGGGATGGATCCTCTCGCGCATTGACGCCATTCCTGCGATGAGATTTCCAGACTTGTCCTAGTTTACAAGCAGCTACCGCCAGAAGTAGTTTTGGTTGCAACTGATCCCATTATCGCCTACTGCGCACGATGTCCTTTTAGTGCCAATGCGCGACTACTAGCAATCTCCCCGACTGTGAACCGCTGCACCGGTAAGCTCTTTAATAAACGCCAAGCAGCGTGGTCCAGTTTAGCGGGATCAGCATCAAGGATGCTATTTTGAAGGCGAGGGCCTGTGCGAGCGCTGAATCCGTACTTGGACATTGAAGGTAATTCTCTTGACGATCTTCTTTGTTGGAGAATGGAGCCGCAGAGCCGCCATCATTCGCAATCCGACACACTGTATTCCTCCTCCACTCCACGGTAATAGACGTTGATTGCTCAAAGGTGGAGACACTGAATATTGAGAATCGCGATATCGCATGGGGTCTCTCACAGATACTGTTTATTACAGTAGGTTCATTCAACTCTATCAAGGTTATGATACCTTGCCCGTCTCTTTTGGTGCGCTGGAAGTCATCTGAGGAATCTGGGAAGGGAACTGTCCAAAAATCCTATTGTCAGCGCGGGAAGGCAGGGACTTGGACAGCCCTTGGACTACAAACCAATCGCGTCTTCATCGTCGCATGAGGTGCTGCAGGTGGGTGCGACTTGAGGTCTTCATGGAAGTAGAGGAAGGAACTATTTGCCGAATCATCTGTCCCCTCCACTTTCCTGTTGCATTTCCACGAACGTGTGCTGCTCGTGGTTTGTCAGCATCAATGATGCGCGGCCGCGGAGAATCAAATACTTGATGCAAACCCTCCGGAGAGCCCATCGCATCACCTCACCTGGAAGTCTTCGTCAAGTACCCTCATAAAGGTGCCGAATTGTTAGCAGTGGGGCAGAGGTTGACGTGTGATGCAATTTCTCTGCATTGCGACTTTGGAAGAGATTGGCCAAGTTCTCGCATGCACCGTCATATACCTCCTACACGCTTCTTAGAGTCTAGCTAAGCAGGCATGAGCAACACTGCCATTCCTTCCGCAGCACGAGCACTTGTCCATAACCCCCAAACCCACGACCTCACCCTCCTCACACCGCCTGTTCCTACGCCCACTGGCCCAGATGAGCATCTTCTTGCTGTACATGCTGTGGCCCTGACCAACGGCGAGCTTTCGTGGCCCGAGCCCGCCACAGTATCGCCCCACGCCATCCCCGGATACGAGGTCTCGGGAACGGTGATAGCGGCCCCGCCAGACTCGCCCTTCCAGCCCAGCGCGGATGTCTATGCACGCACTGCCTTTGACCGCCCGGGCTCGGCGCGGCCCTACTCCATTGCCCTCACCGCTGAGCTAGGCCGCAAGCCGCAGAACCTCAGCTGGGAAGCGGCCGCGACAGTGCCCCTGAGCGCGTTGACCGCATGGCAGGCGTTGTTTGACCATGGTGGCCTTGCCGCGCCAGGAGACGAGTCCTCTCTCTCTCGGAACAGGTCAAAAAGGATCTTGATCACCGCCGCGGCCGGCGGCGTAGGGCTATGGGCTGTGCAGCTCGCCAAGCTGGCTGGCGTCGACCACATTGTTGGCACATGTGGATCGACAAACGCGGGCTTTGTCCTGGGGCTTGGCGCGGACGAAGTTGTGGACTATACAGTAGTCTCAGACTTGGCCAGTTGGGTCAGCGATAGAGGGCGTTTCGATCTCGTACTAGACTGTGTCGGTGGCAGCACGCTAGAACAGGCCTGGTTATGTGTGAAGGCTGATAACGGCATGCTGATTAGTATCGTTCAACCACCAGAGATGAGGAAGCCCCAGGTCGGCATATCCGATAATGTACGAAGCCTGTTCTTCATTGTTGAGGCGAATGGGAGACAGCTGGAAAAGATCACCTCGCTGATCGAGCAAAAGAAGTGCACAACTGTGGTCGACAGCGCCTTTGCTTTCGAGGAGTTCGGAGAAGCTTTCGACAAAGTTCGTGGTGGACATCTGCGCGGCAAAGTTGTGCTGTCTGTTGCACCGTAATGAGATAGTCAGGAAAGCTAAGAATAGTCTATGAAATTATGCCATTATATGATCCCCCTTTTGTATGCCCAGACTCCTAGCCATGCCATGCTTATATACGTCAGATTTAATCAAGTTATGAATGCTCTCATCCGGTCACTTGGAGCACTGTCTACTCTTTCCACCTTTTCCGCCCTTTAGTCCAGCCTTCCATGGCGAACCCCGTCCCCGTTCTCTAGCAAAGCGTCCCTCTCTTCAGCCTTGCCTTCTGCGCCACGGTACAAAATATAATGTTGGACCATGAATATTATATCATAGATGATACTGACGTTCCCAAGCGCTAGCTTGACCGGGTTGCCCGTGATGCCGCTCCAGTCGCGCTGGATGTAGCTATCTACGCACAGCTGCGCAATGGACAGGATGCCGCCTACAAAGTCCAGGAGGATCGTCACGATGCTCCAGCCCTTGGTGCTGCGGTTGCGGAAGTTGGTCAGGATCTGCGGCGTGTACTTGACGACGGTGATCAGCAGCTTCACGAAGCTGATCGCGTAGATCACGTCCAGCCACACCCAGTCCGTGACCGGGTCCGCGTCGCCGCTCGCCTCGGACGGCCAGACCACAAAGACCACGACGAGCACGCCCACGATGCAGCCCAGCGCTATGCCCACGATGGTCTTGCTCGGCCGGGTGCTGCTGAGCGACGGCGCGAAGCCCCAGAGACCCGGGATGTATTGGGTGAAGATGATCGAGGTCAGCACGAATGCATGCCCGGCAAAGGCGATGTCGTTCAAGGCAACGGTCGGCGTCAGCCCGTGGTTGCGCGCCGCGTATTGAGCGCGGATCACCGGCGACCAGTAAAATGCGCAGTTAGACACAAGGTAGGCGAGAAAGCCTGGCGGCGAATGTCAGCACCATTGGCCATGGAAATTCCGGCGGGGAGCCGCTGTGCGGTAATTTGCGGGCCGAGTGCTCACCTAAGACGTTCACGATGTGAAAGTCGATAGTCGTGCCGGACGTCGAGCGGCGCTTCCAGTTCAAGAGCGGCTGCGGATAGAAGGACAGAGACCAGGAGAGGGTGTAGATCCAGCCGAAGAGGGCAGAGAGCAAGGCGAGGAAGGTGAACGTCATCGTGGTGAAGTGACGCTCAGCCGGGCGCAATACATGCGGCTTGACGGTGGCGTTATGATGAGGGATACAGAGCAGTTCTCCAACTCGGCAAGTCGTCGGTGAAGAGAGACGATGGGCTTGTTAAACTGTGAGAGGCAGAAGGCAGTTGTATGTGGTGAGGGGAGTGCGATGTGCACATCCAGGGTCCCATTGTGAATGGACCGGCACCGATAGCGTCATTTCTCAGCAACTTAGGTAGTTAGATAGCATCGGCCTCCGAGCTTGGCTCGGCTGCTAGCCCCGCCTATGCCAGGTCCCGTCCTGTCACCCCACTGTATTACAAGACCCGTGTGCATGCCCGCAAACTTACCTTAACCAGCGGAACAACGGCGTGTCCCTACAGCCCAAGTGTAAGATAGTATATTACCTTATGTAGGTATAAAGCTATCCAGGTTGAGCTGCTGGTTCGCATCGTCCTTCCTTGTCTCCCTAAGTAGCTGTAGGAATGATGACCAATAGGATGTGCCTCAGGAAAGCAAGCCACGGTCGATGTCAGCTTATCTTATCAACCCTTTCTCCTCCATGAGTCCGAACCTCGAGGAGGTTAGCTGTAAAGCCAGATACTACTGAGTTGAGTCAAGTATCCATCCTCAAATGCTATCGATGAATATCGACCCTTGAAAGTGATCGCGTAGTCGGGGTGTTGGTAGTCTTGCTCCTACAACGACTTCAGCTAATTACCGAAACTGGCTTAGTTTCTGTCGAATTGGGCTGCCACACTGCTTCACCATCATCACACAACACTGGCATGTGCACCCCAGTCAACAGATCAACGAAGGTCCCAGTCATCTACCTCGGCGCTTTATCGTCAGGGGGTAATACCCATACGAGGACAGCAGTTTTGTCTTTGAAGAACGATGCACCTCCTCGATCTTCCCGTCGAGATCCGTCTCGAGATCTACTCATACCTCCTCGTCACTCAAGACTACGACAAACTGCGACCCGTACCCGGCGGCCCACGCCTGTCCCTGGGCACGCCGCTGCTCAGAACCTGCAAGCAGATCAACGCCGAGGCGACGCCCGTGCTCTACGGGTCCAACCTGCTCCTCGCCGACATGCGCCGCCTCACCAAGCAGGCGCGCCTGCGGCTCCGCAGCCGGCCCTTCTCAGATCCAAAGATGCTGGCGATGGTCCGTCGGTGGTGGCTCACGGTGCCCCTTGATGTCGAGGAGCCGTTTTATGAGCCGGAGGATGCGGGCGCGGCCTTTGCGAATGTGGACGAGCTGGTCCTCGAGTTCATGTCTTCGTTCGCGGGCAACGGCGCTGCATGGCGCCGAGCCGCCTTGCGGCCGTTTGAAGCCGTCCGCGGGGTAAAGACCGTGCGCATCGTCGGATGTCCTGCCGAGCTTGAGGTGTATGCAGATTGGCTGAAGCGATCGATGATGAGTCGACAGGGGAGCGAGATGCAACCGTATGTTGGAAGTCCATGAGCAGAGGACAGTGCTGACTGAAGTTCGGTGACTCTCACTTGGGACAGCCCAGCCTAGCTTAGCAAGGAGCATGGGAGGAGTGAGAAGCTGTGCCATCGATTGGCTATAATTAAGGGCATGGAATGATTTGAAGAGACTTTGACATTATCCACGAGGACTACTACATACACCGTTTCTATCTAGCCAATGTACAGTAGATGTGACTCCGATATGAGATGGAGTGCACAGGATGTTAGCCAACACCAGCCTTACCGCCGGTCACCTTCTACACATAAGAGTCTACTCTATATCCTCTATCGTATGCAACTATGCCAAAGTCATCAGTGATGTGAAAATGTAAATGCCAGTCATGCCGGATCATATACATCTGTCGAAAACTTCTATAAGAAGTCGGGGTTTGTGAGGGGTAGGTAGGTGTATGGACAACACAAGGAATTTCCGGCCTTGTAGCGTGGATGTGTAAAAATTGGTCGGACAAGAACCGGCATACAAAAAAAAAAAAAAATGGAAAATTGACGAAGATCAAATAGAAAAATAAAGACTCAGACATGCCGCCCTGATACAAGTAACCTGAACACCGATTGAACCTTTGCCGTGGCCATGCATATAGATGATGCTCATCATGCCCTTGTCAACATTGATTTGTTCTGTTGATCTGAGCCCCTCTTCGGGAAGCCCTTAATCGGACCACTCTTGTGCATATATAGCCGAACCCTCGGCATATAAAAACCCCAGCATTGCAGAAATTAGGCCTTGCTCCCACCCATCAAGCCGGGGAGAGTCTTCCAGCCTTTCTGGTCAGGCAGTCTGATCTTTCCAAAGTCCTCATCCAAGTCGAGAATAATCTTGAGCGCATTTCGGCTGCGTGCAAACGGGCTGGAATCGATCTTGTCCTTCAGAGTGGACATAGCATCTGCAACGCCAGTGTGGCTCTGTCCCTGTGTCGCCTTCCCTGGGTAGGGAAGCGTGGAGTGAAGGACTTCGTACGCCGCGAGCGTAAAACCGAATTGAGGAGACGATCGGAAAATACGAGCCGGACCACCCTTGAAGAATGCCCGGAAGCCTTCCTCCTTCCAGATGGTCTGGGCTGCATGTCGAAGGCCGGTATAAGTTGCCTCACCCTTCCTAGCCTCGACCTGAAGTCGCGTCTTGATGACGTCGGCGGGAGTAGTCAGATACGCAGCGGGCATACCAGCAATGGCACCAGCAGTCAGCAGCTGCAGGATACCGAGCTTCTTGGTCTGCGATTCGCCGAACATGTCCTTCTTCAGATGGGCATATGTCGGGAAGTAAATGGCGGAGAAGGGAACGTCACGCAACAGACACGCAGATGCGCCCTTGTACAGGCCCACGAGACCGAGATTGCGGACAATCCACATCGCTGAGCGCTTAGGGGCACCCTCGACGCTCTTGGCCACTTCGCCTTGCACCTGTAGACGAATTTTGACGATTTCGAGAGGGTTGGTGAAGATGACCTGGCACCCACCAGCGCTGGCGCCACCAAGAACTTCATGTCCCCACCAAATGTTGCCGGTCTTCTTGTCTGTGAACCAACCTCGGACGAGATCATTCACTGTAAGCTTGATTGCCTTCTCAGGGGCCACACCAACGAGTTGGGGCAGCACGCCGGCGTATAGTCCCAGGAAGCCTTCATTTCGAATGATTTTCTGGAAGCAGTCGATTGAGTTCTTATACAATCTCTGTCCAGGCTGTGCGCCTCGCTGGTTCTGCATTCGGGTCTTGACAAGATCGATGGGGTACACCATGAAAGCGCCGAAGGCACCAGCCACACTACCCAGGAGGAAATTATAGCCAGACTCAAGAGCTGATGACAAGAACTTCTGGGCCGATGACTTTGTCTGCACAATAACATCTCCGTCGCCGTCCTCGTACGCCGGACTCCTCCAAGACGGATCCAACACCTTTGCGAAGTCACCGAGGCTAAGTCTACCGGAGGGCTCGTCGATGCTAGCGAAGTGGAAAAGGATATCGGCTTCCATAGGTGTGAACAGAGAGAAGCGTGTGACCTTGGCGGCTTGGTTCAAGAACTCAGCTCTGGTGATCTTTCCGTCCTTGCTCTTAGCGCAAGCTCTGCGCACGATGAGCTCGACCAGATCCATCTCCTTAATCATGTTCTGGAAGGCGCGCACGTTCGCATACGAGACCTTGCTTCCCTTAGAGATGTTGCACAATGTGCTCAGGTTTTCGAGGAGATGGTCTGACAGCTTGTGCTTGGATGTCTCGAGGATGATGCGCTCGAAGTCCTCTGGCTCAATGTAGCCGTCGCCATCCTTGTCAAACAGCTGGAAAGCTTGCCTGATGCGCTCGCCTTGCAGACCGCGCAACATCTGGGAGAACTGCTGGTAGTCCATGTCATGCCTCTTCTTCCTGCTGCCAATGTAGAGCTTAGCCCACTCGCAGTCCCAGTCGAAGGGGATGGTATCTGGGCCCTTGTTCATCTCGTAAAGCTTACGAAACTCGTCATATTTGACAGTGCCCAGGCGATCGACGTCGAAGAGTCGAAATGCAATCTCGTACTCGGCGTCGGGCTTCATCAACAAGTTCTCGAAGTAAGCCCATTCTGACAGGTTGATCTTGCCGGTTCCTTTACGGTCGGCGACACGGAAGAGGAGTGTGTATTGCTCGCGCTTGATTTTGTGCTGTTGAACAGAGCTTTGTTAGCTAATTGATTGTGGGGTGTGTCGCATGGTAGTGTTAAGCTTACATAGTCCTCATCAGCTGGTGCGACAGCATTGATGAACTCATCGGGGCCCATTGTGAGCTCCCCGGTCTCTGGGTCCTTGACAGCGCACTGGTAGAACCGTGTCTTTGTCTGCGCTGACATGCTGACCGGCTCCTCTGTGCCAATCAAGGTCTCCTTGACCGCTTCCTTCACTTGGACTGCTGTCGCCATCGTTGCAGATTCGCCAGGGTTCAAAGGATTGGAAAGGGGGGTTCATCAACTGAGAAGTGAGAAGGTAGTGAAGGGTGACAAATGCCGTTAATGCATCAGAAGACGCAGGATGCTGGGAGAGAATGAGTGTGCAATCACAACGATCGACGACGACGGGGGAGTGGAAGTGGCAGTGGTTGACTCAAATCCACGATATCGGCAGGACAGGTATTTCGGTGTTTCGGGGATTGACCTTCCAAGCTCCAGCGCGCACGACCGGGGAACGTCTAGACCAAAAAAGAGGGCAGACGGGTCATAGAAAGGAAAAGAGGGCCAAAGAAGTTGAGGAGAGATTTCTTGGGAGGCACGCGAATGAGATCTGTATAGCTACTTTGCAGAAAGGAGACTATTCCCAGCTTGTTGACATAAGACAATTATTCTTCACCCAGAATTTGGCGCAATTTTTTCCCCTTCGTCGGAGAGGCTGGCCGATTGCTAGGTGGTTCCCCCAGTTGGCGGACAGCCATACAGCTCATTAGATTCAGGAACCACTCAGCGGCCACAGGTATTTCCGGCCGCCAGAGTGCCATTAGTCTGAGCGCTATACCTCTTTTGGTAGCCTTAACCCAGCGTGGTGGGACCAAACCCGGGACTGGCCGGGAGGTGGCGGATCGGGAAATAGATTACAGATTTGCAGGAGCGTTGCGTCCCTGTCGATCTGCGCAGCTCAACTGTTTACATTTTCCTTCTATTTATGAGCACGCTCTAGTATAATGCAGCGATGGCAATCGAGCTACTCATAGACTGATATATCGTGAGATGGTGTGTTTGTGGTATCAAGATTCCTAGGTGGGTCCTTGAGTGATAGCGGTGAGGCGAGGGCGCCGGAGTCGGGGACCCCAGATAGCCTTTCAGCGCTTACAGCTCCCCTGCGATATCTGTGTGGAGAGGTCTCACACCAGCCAAAGCCATGTGGATACAGTTCAATGACTCTTCATTCCGGCAATTCTAATGGTGCGGTTAGGCAATCACCCAGGTCTATTGGAGCTGTAGCCAGCCGAGCCAGCCTGGAAGCTCTCAGAGACTTATTTACGCATGCGTTGCCATGACTTGTCTGTATCTACGTGCATCATACCTACCCATACAGATGCAAAATCAGATGAGCCGAATATTTATCTTCAGACCGAGAATAATTCGATTGCTTATAAGTACTATACTGGCAATTGACTCGCAAAGCTACGAGCCGTCCAGATTACACACTCGATACAAAGAAACGAGAAGAGCCCTTTGAGCTAGGTCATTATAAGTTTACAAGAAAAAAATTATCTCTCCTTTCTATACCATAGGCCATGAAAATGCCTAGCATGCTAGTATTTCTGACGCCTTTTTTCTTTCTTTTCTTTGCCGTGGTCGTAATCCAGAGTTCCGTCCATGCCATCTGCAATATTGGAGTCCTGTAAATGCCCTCAACGCCACAGGAGTCGCAAACTCCTGTCGTGGAAAAGAAGCCAAAAGAGGGCATCGGGAGAGAGAAATGTCATGAGTCTCGTGGGCATCGTAATGTCGGGATGTGCAATGTGGCAAACATTAAATACACGAACACCTCCCCAGTCGGTCCCGTCTCCGCGATGAGGATCGGAGTGACAAGCTGGAGAGTTGTCACGCGTGCAAGCGTAACAACGTCGCAGGACGAAGATCGTGTCGGTCACTGGGTGGTTTTGTGACAGGGATGTGAAGAAGCGCATTGCCGTCCGATGGGTTCGTCGTGATTCTATGCGATATAATAAGAGAGATCGTCTTGGGACGGGGGAAGCCAGGCGATCATTCAGATATTTAAACCACACGTATTAGGATGTGTGGGTTAAAGTATCCGACTGCTAACATGTACAGAGAAATTGTAATGGCTCCGAATATGTTCATCGGGTAAGTTCAGATTAGCCTTCAATAGGGATAAGCAACCCTGAAGTTTGTGGTGGAGGATATCGCATAAGCGCTGAGTCGTCGTCCATGATATTCGAAGCCATGGAAGGGCGAGGTAGGGAATGGTGGTAGGGCAGTGTGAAGCCGCGACCGATTTGCTCTTCGACGAACGCAGCAGCGCGCTTGAATCGGCGATCGCAGTACTTCTCGTAGACTGCATTGTGATGTTTCTGGGGTGACTGGCAGCATTCTAGAATCATAGAGACTAGCGGTTTGAGCTGGGACCATGTATAGCCAGACCAGTGAACGTGTGCGGGAGACCACATGGATTTTAGTGAAGGTTCGCAAATGTCGGGAATGAGACTTACCCAATCTCCCTTTTTGAGCATCAATCTCGCCAAGCAGTGGGCGCCAGCAGCTAAATAGCTAGGCGGGCTGCTCACGAATCTTTCATCCATGATTGTGACCTCGAGAAAGTATTTGGCCAATGTGCGAGTCTCCAGATCGTAGTCGTCGGCTTTGCTGATACGTCTGAGGAAACTCATTGGACCAGGCCAGCCCAGCTCGAAGCAAAGCATGGAGAGCATAAAGCGTTCTGCCTTCAAGATCTCATCCACAGTGTAGCCGCCATCGACCATGAAGACAATCTCCTGCACAGAGGGGCAGTTGATCTCCTCGTATTTAGCTGCAACGAATATGGCAGTGGCGCCAACAAGTTGTAATTTGCCGAGAGAGACGATCTTGCGGGAGAGGAATCGGTCGATATAGTTAACTGTAAGAAACAGTGTTTCCGGTAGTAAAGAAAATCGGTTATGGACTTGGACAAGCCAATCCATCAAAACCGACCGCATGGACCATTGGATTTCCGTCTGTATATCCATGTAGTGAGGGTCCGGTACCATGCGCATCTAGAGGAACCAATTAGCGACGCGGCCTTCTGAAGAGTATCTAGCAAGTACTTACCTCAAGATCTCTCATATATGAGAAGATCTCCTCCCCGTATTCAGCAACCATGCTCACATCCCATTCTTCCTCGTCAATATCCTCTTGAGATAGCGACGTCTCGGTCAAGATCCTGGCTTCATCCAATTCCTTCTGAATTTTTGCGGTGACCTTGGGAGCGAGAACAACCGTGGCGCCGCCAGTCGTGTTGTCCCCATGAGAGCGGTATGAGTGGGCAGTTGTGTATCCTTGCTCGTCATAGAGATCCTCATCTTCCTCTTCATCCCAATATTCCTCGGGCTCAGATAAGATTGGTGGGGCCATGTTACTGGGCTCGGAACTGTGGAAAGAAGGAAGAGGAACAGCGGCAGGAAGTGATAGAAGGGGCGCCATCTCATATGTAACTGGCGGCTCCTGAGGATCAGGTAGGCTCTGTCTCAGATCTACTGCAGGCTCACTGATATACTCCTGAGTAGTATCTGATGATATATGATGGTCCTCCTCACGAGAGAGTTCTTCTAAGGCGTCCTCGTAAGATGCCTCAGTGACGTCGTCATCAACGTGAATGAACTCCTCCACTTTATCCAGGTGTCTGCTTTGAGTACGGCGAAGAACTGGAGCCTCTGTCTTCTTAAGCTGTGGTTGACTCCTGTAGTGTCGTGATAAAGTGGGAAGCTGCGGAGGCATCGAGGCTTTCTCGTTGTGCGACTCCTGCCCGTCTCGGTAAATCATAGACGCTTTCTTCGTAGCTTGCTGCTGTGATTCACCAGAGGTACTCAACAGGGGATGAAAGGAGCTACCGAGGGCGGCTGGTGCCTGGACAGGAGCTGAAGAAGGCTTCGGTCCCTGGGAAGGTCTCTGCGGAGGACGAAGGAACGCCTCGTTCGACTGAGCGGGGTTCTCCTTGTTGTCCATCGCGTAACAAACCGTATTTACGCTAGTATTCTTAACCATGTGCTTCCCATCGATGCGAATCATGTTCCCTGCGGTGTTGCTCACGTCCCCAAACGCGGTTCTCTTAGCGGGACCTTTCAATCCAATGGTAGCCATGTTCTGAATATTACCAGCAGACTTTTGTCTGTTGTGGCTGGGATCTAGGTTTCCGAGGACTGCGACGTGATTCTCGTTCCTAGGAGCCAGCGCCGCGAAGGCTCGCACCGGTCGTTGGGGCTGTTTGGTTGACGATTGTCAGTTTGTGTTGCTTGGGAGTAGAAGGTTGGCGAGTTGTTATTGTTAAAAGGAACCTAGCGCGAGACTTCTCAAGCAGGTCGACTCAATAAAGACTCACTTTCGCGTCCATTCTTTCACTATCGGGCTGCTGCTCGGCCTAGCAAATACTTCAAGTCTCTGCTCAAGGACGCTGAGATGAGAAATGGGCGAGGGAGGGAAAAGTCAATGGATGGGGAGAACTTCAGACGTCGCGGTAGATGTCATAAAAGAAGGATAGATGTTTCGTTGACCGCGGGAATGACCCGTGGAGCCGTGGCTCGTTGTCTCAGAACCGTTGTCTTGGTAATTGCAGCAGATATGGGCCGTAGTGGTCAGGAACGAGGGCACGTTGGCAGGGAAATTGTGCTAGGCGGAGGGTACAACGAATCTGTACAACGTCTCGTCTCACCGAAGAGATGGAGGTAACACGGAAGCTACTCCAAAACAAGACGGAGGACCTAACGTTAGATGAAGCAACTGCGAGAAGTGCTTGCTTGTTTGGGTGGCAGCTGGAGTCAGACAAAGGTGCCGCGAAGGGAGGAACCTGGAAAAGGAGCTCTTGTCGGGTCACTCCATCAACAGGAGCCAAGTTGCTAGCCGTGTTTTGCTCTCACGCGGCTATCCGTGTGCTAAGTGACTGAGAGGTTGGGTGTATCGAAGCGGGGGAAGAGCTGGGCGAGAGGGCTGCTCTGTTGTTGTGGTCTTGTGGAAAGGCCAGCTCAGAAATCCTAGCAGCCTTGTTTTGGTGTTTTTCACAGTCAGTCAAGCCGATGTTGGCTGGAGCTCCGTGCCAAATCACTGCCCAGAAGCGAGATGGCGTATCTAACTGGGCCATATTTGTTTTGGTCTTTAGGTGGTAAATAAACCTTGCATGAACGCTAGTCAGGTACGTACCTTAATCCCTGTCGCGACAACCGGACAACGATGGCAAGTCACGTGTATATATGGGTACACCGTGCACGGACCAAGTGTCTTGCGCATCGTTCTTACGTCGATGATGCCAGTCGCGTCTCCCGTGCTTGCCCAAAAACAATCAGCAAAGCTACAGATGCACATAAATCGCAACAACTACGGTTTCTTACATCACAAAACACGAACTTCTAGAGACTTAGGCAGTCAGATATCGCACCTCAGTTTTAACCCGCGTTGGACATCTATGCGCGCGTTTATAACGAGAAAAAGCTGGGTCCTCCTGTCGCGTCTCGGGTGGAATGTCGCATCACGAACCTGTTGCGCAGTCACGTGCAAGAGTTTTGCGCTCCCGAGCGTCGTCTTCTCCGCAAGTTGACCAGCGAGATTTCTCCCAACGTGAGAATTCGTCGCAAGACAATTGCTCTCGATGCTAGAAACCTTACCTGTCCAATTTTCAATATCATTTTCGCTCGATTTCCAGTCGCGCGCTTTGTACAACTCGGCCGAAGAAAACGGTCCAGCGGTACGCGCGCTGGTCGGGCCCAGTGGCCAGTGGAGACGGGGCCCAGGTGTCGGCGGCCAGCGCAACGTTTTGCACCAGTCAAGTAGCTGTCGCATTCTGACTTGAAGCAGGGTGTTTTGAGTTAATATACGGGCGGCCGTCTGCTAAGGTTATCTACTAGCGAAGGAACTCTCATGTGTTCTTTTCGCCTGGGCCAGACCGTCTTCTTCCGGCATTCCAAGTTGGAACTAAAAGACGCACGCAAGCAATCATTCAATCAATTAAAGTGGGCGTTGCGACACACACCACTGCGCACCCCTCTTTGACGCCGAACGCCACCTAGTCTGGGCCGCGATCCTATGTACGTCAGCTTGGTTGCGATTGCACTTCCCCATAGGTCCCGACCGAAAGTTTGTTTAGTCCCGAGGGGATGAAGAGGAAGAGCCCATGCTTTCCATGCATTAGATACCACCACAAGAGGCCGGGCAAAGGAATTCAGGGCTGCTGCAGCCACGATTGCGTCTCTTACTGCAGTGTAGGTAGGTTGGCAGTGAGCACGGACAGAAGAAGCGTTTGCGCGGCGGGCCAGTGACTTTGAATCCCTGCTCACTGCGACACCTCAAGACCGTAGATTCAGTTCTCTACTGTACGAACAGCAGTAAAAGTGCTATAATGCGGTGCAAAGACGATCCATGGTTAGCAAAAGAATGCTGAGGCCCGCAGAAGCCCTTCTAGCGATAATCGAAACGGCTCGCATCCAGTGGTCCAAGTCGATGTAATGTGGCAAGTTCATGCCATCGGGCGCATTCAGTCGCAACCCGCTGGTCCAGGAGTTAGTGTGCCTCTTTAAGGTGTGTGGATCAGAAATTGCGTGGTGTCGGAGCGCCGATCCTGTTTGGCGCCTGTGTATCGGCAGAAAGCCAATTCACTGATCCTAGAGATCTCCTTCGCAACGGAACAGCCTTTTCACCTCCACGGGTGGCTGGAAGTTTGGAGACAAGCTGAGATATGCAGACCTGCCGAACATCAAGTCCCTCGTTGGTGTCACACGTCGACCGGTGTGGCAGTCTGGTCAAACAGAAATTCGAGGGCGTAGGGGAGACCTTCTTTAGTAACTTCAGGCGGTGCAGATCGGCGGTACAAAACGGGTAAAGCCATCGATCGCCTGTGCGCAGCAGTTGCACACCGGACTGCACATTGGCACAGTGGCCTGGAGGATGGCGCTGACAGAAAGACATCAGGGTGCCGTTTGCCGGCGCAACCCTCGCAGCTTTTCAAGACGTTGGAATATTAAGCCCAAAGCTCAAGGGATTGAACAATAGACGACGTCGCACGCTACATTGGGTGGAATGAGAGCTCGACAGAGACTCGACGAGAGAGCACGCCACCCCAACATAAAGTTCAAACGTTTCGTCCAGCAAGCTAATACGGCATCTGTGCCTGCGGCAATCCTGGAGAAGGTTGAGCCCATAGATGGCTAAGGATCTAGGCAGGTACCTCACTACGCTGTGTCGTAGTCGCAAGTTTATCAACAAGCATGGATCTCCCCCCCAAGGAGATATCGGGCGTCCGCAATCAATTGGTTTGGTAGCATTTCCACCATGGCTTGTTGATTCGATGGTCGATTCGCATTTGAAACTTTGCCAGCGCATCCGGGCTACCCCTTCGATTAAGGCTCCATGCGGCCACACTCGATGCTCAAGCACTCGTTCGCTGGGCTGGGTACCTAGCAAGGCAAAGCGGCATGGTCCAAAAGCTTCCCCAGTTTCTTTCTCTCGCTTCGACTCACATACATTGCAGCATTAGAGGTCTTAGCAGTCTGTTTTAATCCACGGGTACCTGACGAGTCCTATGCAATCATAAAACAACACATTGATTGTGCTGCCTACTTTGATTCGCCTCTTTCCAATTCAGCCTTCTTACATGGCTGTGCCGCTCATCCTGGCAGTCGTGACCAACCTGGTCGGGTCAGCCAGGTCCAAGGAGGGTATGCTTGGGATGACAGATGATGGACGGATTGCAATGAGGAGTGACAATACTTGTACACATCTGAAGCCCAAGGTACCTTGCAGGCTTCCTATCTCTCAATGACCCATAGGCAATGCGCGCTCGACCTTTCGGTCTCTGCGCTATACACACTTCTTGATGGCTGGACATCCCTCCCACCCCATCTAGGCACCTTGACCATGATATCCCTGTCTCACCACTCACTGGCGCATCCAACTATCCAATGCTATTGGCCGCGATGGGCTTCCAGCTATCCCACGCATTACACCTCGTGGTTCGTCTGGCGCATTTTTGCCCGCGAACTTGGTTGGCACTAGGCGCAAGATCAAATGGGTATTGCAAATGTCAAATGGCCGCGATCCGTACCCTGAGACGGGCTCTGCGCTCAAATGAAATCGAATTGGGCATGCAAGGCCACTGCAAAGCGCCCGGCGCTCCCCAGGAACTCATGCGACAGCTGGGTCATATTGGCTGTGAGGACGGTATAAATGCGCCTTGCCCTGTCCACTTCACTCCAAGAGGCGGCCGGCAGGCAGCCAAGCGTATCGGCGTCAAACACACACCACCATTGATCTTGGGGCAAGAGGTTGCTTGCCGAGGTCAGCGTTACCACTGTACCCGTCGTTTCTGAGCCGCTCAATGGACTGTCAAGCCCGGGAGCAGAGACGAGTTTGACCGTTCTTGCGCCCTAGTTGATATAGCGCTGTGCGAGCTGGCAAACCTGGACCATTCCGGGTTCTAGGCAAGGTGAATGCGCCAGCGCATCTTCTTCTGGGTCTCTTATCTGAAGTAGAGCACAGGAGTCCAATGAGATGCGCTTCTGTAGATCTTGGTCTATCTCAACCACATCTCCTGCAGCAAGAGCGGTCACATAACAATGCTAGTCTAGTCGGGTACTCTTGCGCAAGTCAACAGCGCCGTGCTGCCCGACACTGCGCTTCTGCTGATTTGCATGCCCGTGGATCGAAGCACCGAGAAGGAGTGCTCGCGAATCTGGCGCACAATTAATCGCACACCTGGCAATAACAGAAAATGTGATGATGTTCTCTAATAGCGGCAGGCGTACCAAAAAGGTCTTGCCTGTGATTATTACCGCATTAGATAGTGCCTGACTCAGGAATGGCGCCGAAGGTTCTGCACTGCGGTCTGTTTCACTCGACAGACTCGGAGGGGGAACGCAGATATGAAGGCAGGCCAGACTAACAGGCACACTGTGCACCTCGATGAATACCTCTATAGACTAACCCAGAGGGCATGATACTTCATTGCTACAGTGCATGCATACACACACATACTCAAGCGACAATGCTTCACCGTAGAGATCGTATTAGCTGCCGGTGAGTTCTCGTAGTAAGAAGGTGGTGTGCTAGGCCAAGGTCAGATCAATAGGTATAGGTAGGTCATGCACCGCCTGTGGTGGTCGCACTTGAGCGAGCGAGCGAGTGGGCGGGCGAGTGAGTGTGCATTGGGACAGACGGTGGGCCAGCAAGCGGGCTTTGCGCCATTGGCCTGAATTGGTCGAGACAAAACCTATCTTGCTCGCTGCGATTTCTCCTCTTTCTCCCACAACCTCCGAATTGCTCGACCAGACCCATCAAACAACGCCAAATCTCTCTGGTAAGTCATTTGCATCTCCATTCGAGAGCATTGGAAGCATACTCAGCCGTGCTTCACCGTCCCTCGTATCCTTCTCCTGGCCCCCGGCTGATTTGGCTTCGTCGCAGGTCGACCTGGTTGTTCACGGCGACATCCAAGATCGAAGGCATCCCAAGAGCCAGCATCGCCATTCATCTCCTTATCTGGTGAGTTCTATCCATACCCCAGTACCATGCGATCAAGCCTATGCCTCAATTTTGCATTTCTACTCCTTGCTGTTGCACCCAAATCAGACATTGTGTCGAGGACAGCGGTGCGGGATCTAGGCGCCGCACACAATCCCCCCAACATACCATACTACCACCCCTTCCATGAACCCATCTCGATACATATCTCTCATTTCCGTTCTTCTTCACAGGAAAAAGCTAATCACTTTACAGTCTTGTCAATTTTGAACAGCCTCCCTTCATTCCCGTCTTTTCCACCGACTTGTGCCTCCCCCCTCATAACGTCAATGACCATCGGCTGACGGCCGTCGATCTGGGTACCGTCTTGTGCCTTATTTGGTCTTCGACTCTCATTCGGTCAATAAGAAGCAGGGGAGGAAAAGAACTATCCCCAAAGTCGTCTCCGGGATTATTATCCCTAGGCTTCTCTTGTTGGGAATGGAATTGTCAAATCTGATGTCGGCACAATCCCCGACCGGCGAAATCTCCCCCAAAACCCTCTTTGCCAGCGGCGCTTCAGCGCAGCCACCTCAGTCCTTCCCGAACTCCACCAGAAACCAACATCCCAACACCTCATCACATCATATGAACGGCGATATGGACTATTCTCCTGTTCCAGCTCCGTCCAAGGCTAGTCGGCCGAGTCCTAAGAGCGTCAAATTTGAGTTAGTCTCGCCAGAGTCTCCTCAATATCGGGCGCGCTTACCAATGCGTGTGCAAATCTACCCTCATGACACAACGGAGTCAATTGTCACCACTGTCAAGAATTTCTATGGCTTGTATTCAAGCCCAACCAGCTCCAAAGGTGTGAGTTTCGAAGATGAGAAGGGCAACACTCTGATTGCTCGGTATGAGAACTTCCGTAACAATATGGTGGTCTATGTACGGGTGATCGAGGAGACGCCTCCAGCTCCCGCACCATTCAATGCGCCGCCATATCAACCAGCGCCGGTTAGTGCGCAGCCATTTTACAATGGTGATGGCTTTCCGGCCCACCCGCCCCAGCAATACGGCCCACACATTTCTCGTCCTACTTCCAGGACATCGCGAAGACGCAGCCCGTCGCCGAATGGCCGGGGACGCAGGAGCGCTTCTGCGAGTACCAATCCAGCTGCTGGCAGATCTGTTCGATCTAGATCCTCCAAGAATAGGGGTTCTACCAACGGCGATACTCATAGTGACAGTCTAAATGGGTATAGTAGTGGAACCGACGCCCCGGGTTCTGCATCTGGCAAGTCCAAGGAACAGATTGGCAATACGGAAATCAGTGTGGAGAATATTGTGGAGGGAGGACGTCGTAAGAGGGCCAAGTTTGAAAGCTCTGTAAGTTGCCATGTTCTCTGGGGTTTGGTCTTGTTCCTTGACTTATGACAATTGTAACTAGGAATTGCCCTTGTTCGCACCTCCACAAATGCCGGCTGCAACTTCCAACCCATCTGTCTCACCTGCGCGTCGCATTGAGCACCAACGAGCCTCGCTCCCTTTCATTCAACCTGGTCAGAATCCATTCACAAACCCACGCGCGCTACAGTCCCCGCAAAGCTACAATAATGGATTCAGTGGTATGGGAATGTACGCAACTCCAGCTGCGGATACGCGCCGTGCTCGTAATAGCATCGGTTATCCGACCGGCTTTGGTGTCGGGCCCAGCATGGGTATACTTCCTACTCCCGACCCAACTGTCGGCAGTTGCATGTCGGAGGAAGATAAAGATGTGGCCATACAGCTGATGCGTTTGGGAGAGATGTCTAACATCTCCCATGGACGCACGTCGGCTTCCACTTTGGATGACACTTTCAGCGGCAGAGCTGATGCTGCCTCCTCTACTGGCGCTACTAGCGACAGCGAGAGTGATAGCGAAGATGAGCTTCCTGCTCCTCAGAGGCAAAGGCTCGATGCGTCTGGTGCGAGCCGCAAGATCTTCCCAACCACAGAGACTCAATTCGCCCCTCCTCACAGTGCTGGAGAATTTAGCGACAATGATGTCGACTATGATGCAGTCGCAGAGGAAGGCGCTATGGGCGCTCCCAACTCCAAGGTTCCCAAGGTGAAGAGCATGCTCCAAAATGGCTCCAAGCCTCGCCCGCAATCGACCGGAGCGAAGATCAAAACAAACAAGCCCCCCAAACCTATCAAGTCTACATCCAGCAACACAGTCAAGAAGCCCAATGGTATTCCGAGTGGGCCAATGTCACCTGCATCATTACCGGCGTCACGCAAACCATCTGTTTCCTCAACTGGCGCTTTCTCCACTGTACCTGGAGAAGATGATCAGCCTGACCTGTCCACTAAGCCTCGTTGTCAACGTTGCCGAAAGAGCAAGAAAGGTTGCGATAGACAACGACCTTGCGGAAGATGCAAGGATGCTGGCATTCCCGCCGAACTTTGCATCAGTGAAGACGAAGGAAATGGCCGTAAAGGGCGCTATGGTCGCCATATGGGCGTCCCCATTAAGAAGGAAGAGATGCCCGCTCCCCCAGCGCTTCTACCTGCCGCTCCGATCGCAATCGGTGCCGCTTTGGTAGACAAGAACAAGAAGCGCAAGAGGTAGAGCATAGCTCCGCAGAATATCGTCTCGGGAGCTCCAGTCCACTAGCAATGGACTGTGTATACTTGACACTATATTTATGGCTATACATAAGCCTAGATCGCCATCACTCAGTGTGGTCATCCGATCGATTGTCATTGGATAATTCGACCGGGCTACTATTCAGGCGCGCAAGCTCGATACCAGCGCAAAGCGACGAAAAACTTCAGATTCGAGCTACAAATATGGACAAAAGCGCTTTCTACACTAGCACATTATTCCAAATGTCTCTACTCGCTGTTCCACCAGTATTACTTTCTGGCCTGGCAGAAATATTGACGGCGCGGAACGAGCCCGTCTTCCACTCCTTAGCTTCTACGAATGGACAAGTGGCGTTGATCTGGTGTGTTTTGTGTCTTCTTTGCACTCAGTCCGGTTGGCAGGTCTGTTAGAGTACTGTTTAGTCATCTTGAATGGTATTGGTTGTCTGCTCCTTGCTTGCGCGCGCAGCTTTAAAAGAAGTCGAATAACATCAATACAAAGCCACACCGAGAGGGTTTGGTGTGTCGCGACGAGTTTGAAGCGGAGCGATGGAGCCAATTCAGTTGGCGGTGTGTCCTATGCAGGATGGCGGTCAAGGGTATCTGCCCAAGGAGGCTGACTCGCTAATTGGCGAGCGAGAGGGAAAACATTCTCTCCGGGAAGGGGCCAGGGGCGCGTCGGTTGTCTATCGAGGACCTGGTCTTGTCTTTATTGTCCTGTTTTTCTCTCCTATATTGTCGGATGGGCTGCTACTGTCTTGCAAGTTTGTGTCGTGTGGCTTCGTCTCCTTTTCCCCAAATTTCCAGCCTGTATGCAGGTGAGGGATTGATATGACTATCCAGATCGTGTTCGATTCTGTAGCAAAATAAATGGCTGCTATTTCCAATATCCTGTGTAGTAAATGCACTCTGGTGCCTGTAAGTCAAATGTGATCTCAACCTCGACCTCGAATGGGCTGCTCGCATCGGCACGACGACAACACACCTGTCCTCGGCCCACTCGGCTGCATGGCATGTTGCAGCGCCGCGTTCACCGCTGCGGGCCTCCTGGGACGTGGTGCCTGGTTGGGGATGCGGGACCCCTGACCAATAGCCCCGGTCGCGCAAAGGGCCGACAGGGCCTGTCGCAATTCTGCCGCGCGGCGCAGGAGCAATTCACACATGTTCTGCCATCCCCAAGCCATCGCCGCGCTTCCAAACCATCTCCATTTCCTTCCCCCCTGGGATTTTCCCAAGGAGCCGTAACACCCGAGAGCGCGCACGGCGAACGCCGTCAAACGGTGTGTCGTTAAACTTAGATTTCGACACCGATGGCGCTAGGCCTGTCTTGGGACTAGCGCCGCGCGGCACTGGAACAAGCCCGCCTTGGCGCAACGGAAGCGAGGAAAATGGGACAAGGTGAAGAAAGGACCGTGGGGTCGGAGCTGGGCTGGGCCTGGTCCCGGAAGTGAGGGGTAAACGTCGAGGCCACGGAGGGGTCGGAATGCAATGCGCTTGCCATATACGTCATATGCCACTAACAATTGCCCACCGCATGGCCCATATTCAAGGCAGCTTGACACTAACAATTTACACACGGCGAGACTGCTATCAATTTTCAACATGCCAATTGCCAGCAGTCTGCACTAACAATTTCTGGGTACCTCAGAACAAGTATTTCTTGCCGCTCGAGCACCTGCAGGAGAACATAAACACCCAGTCTTTCGCTCCAGGGTTTTCTGCTCCCAGTCCACCCTCCTAATCTCAACCAAAGACAGTCACAATGCATCTGTGAGCTCGCAATTCAGCCTAGAGGCTTCAAATAAGTTCATCATGAATGGCAAGCGTGACAGTGAGAGCAAAACAAGCGAACATTCCCCTCTGGTGCTGTGTGTTAGTGCTCACCGCTATGGTCGTCGCGGCTTGGGAGCTCTCTCCCGGCCGCCCGCTCAAACTCGAAGCAGCATGACAGTTTCATGGTGCAATGCGGCTTGTCCGATTCCTCGTCTGCCGAGGAAATCACAAGACATCACGATTGTCAGCGGGCCCATTGTGGGCCTTTCGGGCACCTGAGACGGTGTTACAAGAAAGTGGTGATGACAAACCCGGCCGCGGGAACGAGCCCGATTTGTGATGCTCAACGCATCTCTGGGCATGCTGTTCCGGATGTCTGTTGGGCATCTTGGAGGGGCCACCGGCTTCCGTGCGTTGGTGATAGTCAGGTGGCGACGCTCTGTGTCACTGCTTCGGGGCGACTGGCTACGATCGTCGATGCGGCAGCGAGGGGAAAGCCAACACGCCAGACCCCTCCGGGGCCCCGACCCTCCCACCGACAACGGACATAGCCAGAAAGCCATATATCTCTTTTCTGGAACAATCGTCGTCGTTGCTCGCCGCACCCACACACGCACGGCTGATGTCCGGATCCAATTGCTACGGGCATGTGGGTGCTGCTCTCTCTCCAGCCCCCACTTACGCCTTTGACACATTCTATCGGCAGTAGCCCGAGCTTCCGATGGATGCATCTGGCCAACACGCAATTCCTAGTCATGATTAGCCGCCAGTGCCAAGGGATAGGGGTCTGGCATGGGCTTGACATGATTGTCCACACCTTCGGCGTTCGGCCTTCTGTCAGTTGTGAACCTGATGACAATCATGCAAGCACTTCACGAGGCCAGCATTAAATCATCGTCAGTGAAATTGTCATCCTCAAGAAGTAGGTTCATGCTCTATTATGATATGATTCACGGTTCTGTTAGCTTTTTCTGGAAGTTTTTCAGCAGTGCAGCTTGCAAATTTGAAGCTATCGTGAAAATAGTTTAAGGTATAGCCCATTCTCGTGTTGACTAACATCTAGCTGCACTACCGGAGAGGGTCGCCCTCAGCCCGCATTTCTCCCTGCACAGGCGTTCGAGGCCACAACTAGACTTTGACAAAGGTTGCAGCCCATCGCTCCTAGCTCAAGGCACAGAGTTCACGATGTCTTTCGCAGGAAATTGGGCTATCTGTCGTCAGCATTAGTCGTGGTCACGATGGAAGCAGAGACTGGCCCAGCGGGGTCGATGATGTTGCTCCTACGTCCGTTAACGGACGCGGAGACCAGCACACCACTTCAGGCCGCCCCTGAGACTCTTGATAAAAGATGGCTTTGGAGTGAGAGGTCATTCTGTTCAGGGGATTATTCGCAACTTTTGTACAAAGACAATACATATCTCAGTATATCGGCTTTTCAGCACGTTATCAACTTTTCAATATGGTCAATATGAAAGATATCGAGAAAACCGCGCAATCTGACTCGAAATCTCATCAGAACCAACTTCCTTCCATCTCAGTCCGTGAGATACCCGCAACAGCTCCCCCTGAGGAGGAGGAATCCATCCCTCCTGATGGCGGGCTCATGGCCTGGTTGCAAGTCGCTGTGAGCACATTGATTAATGCTGTAGCTTGGGGATATCCTTCGGCATATGGAATTTTTCAGTTGCATTACAGCGAGACACTTCATCTTCCCGCTGCTCAAATATCTTGGATTGGATCGATTCAGACGTTCCTCACCTATCTGATGTGCATAATAGCTGGCCGTCTCACTGATGCTGGATATGCCAGAGAAACAACAATCGCAGGGTCGCTGTTGACGATACTAGGCATCTTTATGACAAGTTTGTCGACCCAGTACTGGCAGATCTTCCTAGCCCAGGGGATATGTACAGGGGTCGGTCTTGGACTGATATACATGCCTGCCCTAACGGTCATGAGCTCCTATTTCACCCGAAAACGTAATACTGCCATGGCAATCACAGCCGTTGGAACCAGCATAGGCAGCGCTGTCTATCCCGCCATTGTGGAATATCTCGTTCCTTCGATCGGATATGCCTGGGCTTTGAGATGTTGCGGCTTCGTCACCATTTTCATGTTGGCTATATGCATTCTCATGCTGAGACCGCAACTCGCACCTCGAAAGTCGGGCCCTGTGATAGAATGGCCTGCCTTTAAGGAGCCTGTCTATGTGCTCTATGCGAGTGGCAGTTTCTTCGTTTTCTGGGCGTTGTATTTCGGTTATTTCTACGTGAGTTGTTCGTCTGAGAACATCTGAGGTCTGACATGTGCTAACATCCACAAAGATGAACGTCTTTGCCACCGACCGCGTCGGCTTCGACTCCATCAGCTCCGCGCAGCTTCTCATCATCTCCGCCATCGCCGGTATCCCTACTCGCCCGCTCTCCGGCATCATCGCGGATCGCTGGCTCGGGCCTCTGAACACGTACATCCTCTCCGGCATCGTGCTGGGCGCGGTGGGCATCTCGTGGGTGGGTGTTACCACCAAGGCTGGCATGTATGTCTTTGTGGTCATGTATGGCCTCGCCAATGGCGCCACCCAAGGCATCTTTGGCGGCGCGCTGGCGAGCCTGACGAGAGATCCGCAGAAGATGGGAACACGCTATGGCATGGTGTGTACGATGCTGGGCTTTGCAACGCTGGCTGGACCGCCGACTGCGGGTGCTATCATCGATAAGTGCGATGGGCAGTATACATGGGCGCAGATCTGGGCCGGTGCGGTGACTGTGCTGGGGTCATTGACGGTCGCTGCTGCGAGGTGGTGGTTGACGGGCAAGAAGGTCTGGACTAAGATCTAGAACTCCTTCTGATACCCGAGTTCCGGGAAATAGGTTGACAGACGGCCGGTGGTTGTTTTCGGGGTGGGGATGGCATAGGTGTTCATCGAGAGCTAAGAAGAAGGGTAATGACTCCATATCAAAACATAATAGTAATTTACTCGTGAGGAGGACACCATGGTAATTGTGGCTGGTGGTTCGGAATAGATAGAGTTGCCAGAATGTTATTTGGAATATTAATTACGATATATATATCTTCAACAGAAGCCTAACCAGGGAGCCAATTTTTCCCTCTTTTATTTTCCATGATGGTAAAACTATTCTATGCAGTTCAGTACCGTATACGAAGGCTTGCAGCCTGCGGAATGTTGTCGGTTTGATCACAGATTTTGATTCACTCTTATTAGTTGAAGAGAAATGCCAAACTGTAGACTAGGGGCCAAGCTGTGCCGGGAGATGTCAGGTTGCAACTGCAGTAGCCGCTTAGGCCAAGCTAGTTCGGTTGTGAACTCCTTCCAAGGTTCTGCCATGCAACACCATGCATGGGGGAATACTCCAATAAGAGCAAGCCTGGGGTGGAGAGCCTCTGTCCCTCAACTTTCCAATCAAACATCTTTCAATCAAGACATATCAAACAAGTAAAAAGTACGAGGATTTCTCAGCACGCCTCTGTATATAGGTTCAATATCTTGATGACAATTGTTAGGCAGTTGTGTGGGCATTGCTCACGCGTCCAACTTGATGGCTCTGATTTAGCCAATCCCTGGCAGCTGGGCTCTTGGAAGAGGCTTCAGGATAGCGATTGTCCTTTATGTGAGCTTGTGCTCAGTGCATTTCATCGCTTGAATCAAATAGCCACGGATACAGATCGTCAGGTCTCGCTTCAGATACATGGTGCCCAAATATACTGGGCGCGCAAGATAGGACCCGGAGGCCGGAGTGCATTTGCAATCTTTCCCACATTTGGGGGTGTTTGGATATGCAAAGCCGCAACACCTAACAACGACGCATCAGATTCCCATAATGGGTTTCTCAAGCCGGTGATTGATGCACAGCTAGATATTGGTCGGCTATCAACCTGGATTTCCACCTGTACAAATCTTCATTCTAGCGAGTGCTGTACCGCAGCGTCAGCTTTCGAGCAGGTGTTTCCGAAGCTGCCTTGTTTACGACTTATAGATGTTGAGCGAGGATCGCTCGTGGAATTCCGTTCAGTGCCGCGATACGTGACTTTGAGTTATGTTTGGGGCGACTCGGCAACCGTTAGACTGACAAGCTCCAATAGACTGGATTTGTTGAAGCCCGAAGCAATCGATAAGGCTTGGAGGGCGATACCAAGAACTATTCGAGACGCAATTCAGCTTGTTAAGAAACTAGGCGTTCGATATCTTTGGGTAGATGTCTTATGCCTGATCCAGAACGACCGCGACGATGTGACTTCTGGAGTCAACGTCATGGACCAGATCTTTGAGACGTCGTGGCTTACGATAATAGCGGCCTGTGGCCATAATGCCAACTCGGCCTTACCAGGTGTGCAAGAGGGAAGTAGGCCAAGGAAAGTAAACGCTACTAGGATCACAGATGAAACCTCTTTTGGCGTATACGTGGAGCTTGATCGTCTGCTTGACAATAGTGTTTATGCAACTAGAGCATGGACGTATGTTGACCATTGCTCCGTTCTTCTTAGAAAGACTCCGTGGCCCAAAACTGATATGACTTGGTATAATAGATTCCAGGAGCAGCTACTTGCACGGCGTGCTATTTATTTTGTGGAAAATCAAGTGTATTTCCGTTGCAGGGAAGACATTTTTCCCGAGCAGCTTATAGACCGCCATCAGAAAGCGCCAAACTTATTTGAGTCCGAATTGAGGATGTCAGCCATCGCAAGGATGCGAGAGCCCACTGCGGATTACGAGTCCATACTCAGTAATTACACACGACGAGCGCTCTCCGATCAAGGTGATATATTGCGCGCCTTGGCAGGAGTCATTCGTCGGCTAGAGGAGAGAATGAGATGCCGCTTCTTGCAAGGTCTTCCTACGGCGGTTTTCGATGCCTTTCTAATTTTCAGCCGAAACAATACTGGAGTTCTACGCCGACGTAAAGGCTTCCCGAGCTACTCCTGGACAGGCTGGAAGGGCGGAATAGATATCAAGCGTCAAGGTTTGAAGACAATGGACAGATGGCTTGAGGAAAAGACCTGGATTATCTGGTACGAAAGGAAGTCTTCTGGTGAAGTCAACCTTGTCTGGAATTTTCAATCATTTTCAGATGGAGAAAAGCTATTTCCTGGTTATGGACAGCGTCATCCTTTCTGTGCACCGGAAGGACTCCTCAAAGACATAATCCCGACCCGAACATATCCCACGCAACCCCTTCCATTCAATATCTCAATACTTGATTACCACGTTTTGCAGTTCTGGACACTCTCAATAAAGTTCAAACTATGGATCAAAGACATGTTCAGTGGGGCAGCATCTATCGTGGGGAAGGATGGCAGCGAAATTGGTGTGATTGCGCTGGATGGTGTAGAGGACAGCACGCTTTTCGATGGCACAGATCCTCTAGACTTCATTCTCCTTTCAGCTTCTGGGCCCGTAGAACTCATCAAATATTCCGATGTGCTATCTCCGGAATATTATGTTATGCTGTTAGAGTGGAACGGTCATGTCGCTGAGAGACGGGGTATGGGGACCATCGAGCAAGCTGCAGTTGAGCAGGGGTTTGCACCAGGGGCGGAATGGAAAGAGATCCTCCTAGGCTGAGCCTAAATCTGGCAAGATATTCAGAGAATACATCAAAGTCGAGAATAAAGCAACAGCCTTTAAACTCAGATTTGGACATTCTTCTACATCGAGGCGGGATGTATCAGGAAGCATAGGATGGGAGTATATGAATTACGGGATCGGAACGAACGGCGCTAAACAAACTTACGTCGTGCAGCAGTTTGACTAGAATGTAGCCTTCCGGACCCCTTTGTAAAGCGTGAGGATTATGATGCAGAGACAAGCAGGCATCTTTTTGCCTGCGCGAAGCTCCGCGGGAACGCTCCCAACAAGGCAGACAGACTAGTGGGCTTATTGTCTCTTTGAAGCGCATGGTACTGGTCGCTAGACCCGCGTCTTGAGAGCCTCGTCCCGAGCTCTGCACGCCTCCGTGCCCCCGCCCACCAAACAGCGCTCTGCCTCACAGATTTACGACGAGTGATTAACTAGAAAAGGAAAGCTAATCTAGCCAGGGGCCTGTCCTGGATTTGTGACGCGTGTGTTGCTATGTAGGGTGGCTTAAATAAGGGGGGGCCAGATGGTGATACAGACCATACTCAGACACCTTTGCATCAAGCCCGGCGATTCGGGGCTCCCGCCTGCAAAAGAAACAGGAATACATACAACTGGACTTGTACCCGACTCAGAATGCAGACGGAGGAATCGTCGGAATACTGTTGAATATGTAGCTGGCACTATGTCTCTGGCCGAGGGCAATCACGCCGATTAGACACAGCCGCTCCCTCTCCTGCAGAGGGAAGCAGACAAGGCGGATATCATGCGAAGCTTCGCAGGAAGGGAGCAAGAGGGTAATCTGGGGCTTCGGTGAGTATATGTAAGGTGTCGCTAGCTCATCTGCCTCCTCTGACGGGCTTGCTCTATGGAAATCATCAGCCCTTCCCGCGAGATCGTTCGAAGTCGACTCGAAAATAACAGCCAGTTTCCACAAAGCCAGCATTTTACTTTGTTGGAATTGAGGGTTGAATAGATGGAGGTAGGTGGGCGCCGGCGGCAGAGGACGGCGGGTCGCATCTCTCCCGTGGTTCGCCCGCCGCCGTTGAATACGTTTTACCCCTCCACCGCCGGGGTCCATTCGCCGGTAGAATCCGACGCCTACTTTGACCACGAGTACGGCCAAAGCGATGCGGATTCCGAGGATGACGATGATCACCTCCAGCCCTATAGTTACGCATGTCCTTTGGAAAAATATGGTCCCGACAATCATAATTGCTTCTGTGGTGTCCCCTCACAGCAGAATTTCCAGGGCGGCTTCAAGAACGTCTCCCGGGTGAAGTGAGTATCGCGATTTACAGCCCGCATTTGCCTGCTGCAAGCTTCGTTCGCCATATTAACATGCTATTAGATCCCATCTCCTTGAAAGGCACAATCCTATCAGGCTGTGTCGCGACTGTGGGCAGTCGAGGAAGAAACACGACAATACCAAATGCCAACGCCGTGTCTTCCCCTTCTTGTCAGAGGAACAGGTGAAAGAAATTAAGAAGTATAGGGTGAAAGCAGCAGACTTGGACACACCACGGTATGGACTGTTGAGACGAGCCGTCCTTCAAGCTCGTGACAAGTCGGATAGTGAACTTGCTGAGTTCTTCTCTGCGAGTATGCTTCCCATTCCACCGCAAAATCCTGGAGGGACTTTCACTGATTGTAATCACAGAGTATATCCCGCCTCTGAAGCGCTGGGAATTTGGCCCTGAAGTGGAAAACAAAAACCCAAATCCGGGTGGAAATCCCAGCTCTCCACTCATTTTGACCCCTGAGCCTCGCTTTCAGATGTCCATCGGGGAAATGACGCCCTCCGAGTTCTCCTTTGCGCCTTCGCCCACCGATTACATCTCATCACCTGTCACAATGCCGCAATATCGCAGCCATACGGCCTCCATTTGCGTGCCGTTCTCGCCTGTTCCTTCAACATTGGGATCGACTCACCCGCCTTTAACCTATAATGGACCCCAGCGTTCAAGGCCCATCGATGCGGATATGTCATACTTGGGACCCCCAGAAGACAGATTTGCCGCTCAACGCATGAACAGGCGCCCATCTCATACGCCGAGCAATGTCCTGGGTTTTGTGGGCAGCTGGGGCGGGCAGGAAGCTCTGACTTACACTACCAATACCGGTGCGCTCAACCTGGAGGATCCAAATGCAAATAACGTCAATGCGATGAGTGCGCGAGGCTTGCCAGCGGGTACCATGAACGACGCCCCGCAACGGCAGTGTGTAGGGACTTGGCAGCCGCATCATTTCAGCTTCGATTCTAGTTTCCTCGAGCTTGACTCTCTGGTTCAGAGGGGTGGTGTCGGTGACCAGGGCATTCCTGGCTATGGCGTTCCTCGAGATGACGCCAGGCTCGATATGCTAAGAGCATCCACACAGACTATGTACAGTAAAGTGGACGGCAACAATTGAAGTTCAGCCAGTGCGAATTCGATTGGACAACTCAGACCGACGGTTCATAGGAGGCAGTGAAGGTAGATGCTCACAGGTCGCCATAAATACGGACTCACCTGTTGGATTATCACAGGCGAATGAAGCTCAAGGAATATTCGACGAGGGACATTCGGGGTAATTTCTGCTCCATTTCTTCACCATATACTCTTTCAAATAAGACGCTGTCGACAGATTGATCACTTTAATCCGCCTGCGTGGTCTGATTGTGGCTTTCGCTGCGAAAAAAAAAGCATGAATTGCTCGTCCTGTGCAGACTGTCCTGTATGCAAGGGGTGGCAGGTCATGTCTTATTTTACACCAACACCAACACCAACACCAACACCAACACATGCTCAACCCGTGCCTCGAAGACGTGAATATGAAGCTACTACGTTCTTGCAATCGTGGAGCTCGTGGTGTCCGCGAGCCGCAATAGCGAGTTTTTACCTCACATGTGTGTTGGATCGCTGTAGACTGCAATTCGACCGAGATGTTTCAGGAAACTCATCCCGATGCTCGAGATAGATATGAAAGTATCTGAGGGAAGGATGCTGAAAAATGCAGAAGGCCGTCACTTGTGGGGTTTCCAGGCGTTTGCAGCGGCTTATAGCGTACGCATCAAATCTTGAGAGCCTGTTTCGCTCGTCCTTATTCTAACTCACACACTCGTAGATAGAGTACAACCGCCGCTATTTAGCTGAATTGAAGAGTGCCGTTGACATTATCTGCAACCTACCCAGCTGTGTGATTTCTACATCGCTTTCGTGCTTTCGATTAACATCATCTCGGTCCAGTGCGCGTAGTTCGAGACGAAAAAGAGGCAGGGGTTGGAGATTATACAGAGTTTCAGAGTTCTCGATACCGTCCTGCCTTCACTTTTCATGCAATGCAATATGTAGCCCATCGCTCTGGCATTGCTCAGCCTTCGTACCGGAGCAGTCCCGTAAATTCAGGAGGTGCTCGAAACCTTGTCTAACTCTTGAAGAGTCTGGAATAATACACGAGCAATGTACTTTCCGTCCTCAACAATCTCATCGTGGAGTCCATCCAGATCACGATACGCCAATACACATAAGCCTTCCTCCTGCCTTAGCCTCTTCTCCATCAGATCCGCCTCCGGCATGTCAATGAGCTCGTCTCTCGGCGAATGCGCCACCACGGCCAACTTCCCTGACGGCCCACCCCAGTTATCACTATAGCTCCCCGTGAAGGCCGCAGGGCTGGCCTCCGTCCACCTCTCGTCATCATCGCCGAATGGCCCCGCAAAGAGGCTTCGATACGCATCACCCATGCGCTGATTTAGAGCGACCATGTCGTAGATGCCCTCGAACCCGACCACGGCCACAGGCAGAGCCACATCCGCCGGCAGTTCGGCGATCCCGCCAGGCACATCTTTGCCATCGACCTTCAGCGCAGCAGAGCCCATGAGCACCTGGTACGCGAGAGTTGCGCCCGCCGAGTGGCCGTAGAGGATGTAGTTGCTGCCGAAGGCGAACTTGTTCTGCAGCAGGGACAGTGCGGCCCAGACGTCCCTGATGTGGTCCGGGTGCTTGGCATTGCGCTTTGCGAAGCCCGGGACGGAGGCCTCGTCCTGTGTGCGGTTCGGGTGCGGCGACAGCCGGTAGTTGATGGCTGCGAAGCCGGCGATGCGGGCTTGCGGATCCGGGAGGGGCGAGTCCTCCTTGCCGAGGAGCTTGTTGATGCCTGGGATGGCACCCTCGAGATCCGTGCGGGGATCGCGCCAGGCGCCGCCGTGGATGTATCTAGGCGCGAGGGCGGGTGAGTGAATTGCTGATGTGACGATCTCTAGGGGCACTCACACTAGCCAGTACTTGGTCTGTTGAGATGAGTTGCTTTGTGCTGTAGACTCGGGGAATTCCCAGACGACGAGGTTCTGAAGAGTGTTTTCCGAGCCATGGTAGTACTCTATCCGCTTTAGAGATTCTGCCATGGTGAGGCTGGTGCGTCCTCAAACGGATGATTGCGTGGGTATTTGAGAAATGGATGGGCCTCAATTGCGTAGTCAAGCCAGCGCCTACCAGTTCCCACCGCTTATGAGGCTTCTTCACTCTACAATTCTAGATATTTAGACAGAACAACGACTTAGAAGGTGAGATGCCGTTTGCGCCCTTGGAAGTACCCTCGAAGGGATTTCAGACCGGTCAGACCCCAGGTCTCTACCAGTGGTTGGAGTACGTCCTCGCCGTGAGTAATTAGCCTGATTAGTGGCGCGCGAAATTGACCAGATGGTGGCGAAGCTGAATAATGAAGCTGACAATGGAAACTGAGGTCATCATCAAAATGGCCAAAGATCAGTTTCATGTCATATATAAGGCGCATTTTTGTGACCTTAGGTTACGGGATTAGGAAGGATGTCTACTCCCGGGATAGTCACGGCCGCTCCGCTTTGCAGGTCTGTGCTTCTTCCGCCGTTCCGTCTTCCGAGGGCCGGTATCCGCTCGAAGTCGCCGAATCTCTTGATTATCTCACAGAAAAGGTAGTGAGGCGTTTGATTGATAAGAAAATTATTCAAGCTATGAAGTAGTTGTACAATATGTAGGATAGATATGTCCAGCCAAGCTGATTGCTGCTTGCTTGACTCTCAAAACAACGCAGCTGCATTAGAACGACTTGAATGATCATCATCAGAGGCAATAACGCTTCACCCTGTTCCCTGTGTCATTACCCGAAACGCCGCCTTCCTAACCGCCCTTCGAAAACGGATGCATTAAATACGCAAGTAGTGAAACACTATGGTGACAATGTGAGCTCCGGGAAGAACTGAGCGATCTTATTGGGATTCCCATATTCGCTTCTCGGGCGCTCGAGGGGTGTGATGGGTGTCGTTGGCTCTTGGTCCGCGACGTCATCACCTTGAAGTTGCTCTAGTTCGTTAAGGGACATGCGTTTCTTTTTGATGTTTCCCTGAGACGGAGCATTCGGTGTCGAGGACTGTCTCGACAATGGGGGGGATATCGTCACGGTGCGGATGTCTGGTGCCTGTTCCACAACGGACAATGACGTCCGGCCACGAGGCAAGATACTTGATAACTCGGGTGTCCGGGAGCGCATCATGCTGAAAGGGATGCTCGGAGTGAGCGTCTTCTTCTGCGCCTCGATCTCATTCGCGAGTAGAGACGCCGACGGGCTGCCGATCCGTGTAGGAACAGCAGACTTTTCGTTGGTGGCAAGTCCCTTCGTTTGTACAAACGCTGAAGAGCGTTTGTGATACGGGCTGCGGCGGTAAAATTGGTCTACAATGGGGTGAACCATGACCGTCTGGCCGTGAATAGTTAAAATCGAGTTGGTGGGGACATTGACCCAGTTCTCTGTATGAGAGTCAGCAACATGCTAGTGTATCGTGAGCCAAAGGATCCATACCTCTTTCAAACGTCAGCGGCTCACTAGCTACCAGAACAACGTCGGCACCCTTGTCCCGCCGCTCCATCTGGTAGTTGCGGTTGTCACCGTCGTACGGCCGATTCTCCCACTGGCTCCCAGACGAGTAGTACATGCTTGCCGCCTCATCCGTCGAGCTGCTGATGTATCTTGTGCAAACAGTGCTGTGGCCATCCGTCAGGGCGAAATTGAGCAAACTGCGCGTGTCTACGTTCTGGTCGTGAATGACGCTTTCGGGAATCTGTTCGATGAGCTCGTTGATGATGGCGATTGTCTTGAGCATAGCCTTTCGCAGAACAGTTGGCCCAAACCCGTTCTCTGGCTGGGAGCTCGGGTCGTAACCCATTCTCTCGAGAGTATCGAGGAACAAGGCGAATGCCCACTCGCTGTCTGTGCCGCCCACGACCCCCAAGAACCACTTGTCGGCGAGACGCTCGCCCAGTCTTCTCTTGATATGCTTCCATCCTCCCAAGCCGCCATTGTGCATCCACATCAGACTGCCATGACAGAAGGGGTGGCAATTATCCTCGCTCAAGGTGCCCTCGGTGGTGGCTCTGACGTGAGCGAAGATCAGCCGGCTGGCGGTCTTGCTGGCGATGCGCTGGAGGTTGGTGCAGTTCCAGGCGGGGATGGTCGAGGTGAAGAGGCAGGGAGCGGCGCCCAGCTTGGGGTCGGTGTAGAAGCCGATGCCGAACCCATCGGCATTGTTCTGGCCTCGTCGCGTGTCCTACGCAGAGGGCGAGATGTGAGTCACCATCGCACAAGATAAAGAGAGGCTGAAAAAGGAGATCACGGGTAACCAACCAGACGGAGGCGCGAGTCGAAAGACTGCTTGAGAATGGAGTGCGTAGGGTCCAGGATCAGCTTGGACAGCAGGATCTCGTCGCTGCCCTTGTATACCTGAGACGGTGGTGATGATTAGAGACAGACTGGGATTGGCGATAAGGTCATGATCAGTGCTCACCAGGAATCGGCACATGTTGGAATGCCTGGGACAGACTATCCCCCGGGTCGAGTTGAAGCGTTGCAGGAAATAAAAGAAAAAGGAGGAAAAGGCAATTAATTATCTCATAAAGCCATAGGAGGCAGAGAGAAGGTGAGTCAAAGAAAAAGAGCCTCCCTTATGCACGTCTACAGTTGGGGGAATGAACCGTGTTCTGTTGTCGTTGCTTTTTTGGAGGAATGAGTTCACTGTGATGGCCGCTAAAAAGAGGGATGAGTCCACTGCATGCAGCCCCTTAGCTCCCAGCAAAGGCTCCCCGGCTCCCCGGCAGAAATAGTGACAGCTTGGGGGGAGAGACAACGCCACAGACATGGACCCAGAGACCCAGAGCTGACGAAATGCGACAGAAAAATGGTGGCATGATGGCAACTTAAATTGGGGGCCCCTGAAGCGGATCACCGACGCTAAATTACAGGGCATGAGCTCAATCGGGCACATTAAATCTGTTGTAGCAGAGATCTGACTTGATTGACTGACCTGAAATAGGTAGACAATAGACTTTTTAAAAGTGTGAATAGAGGGCGATCACCCTGAAAATGACTGCTCAACTTACAGAATCAATTAATCAATTGACTGACGGCTCTGATCTGCAAGGGCTGGGTCATCTTTCACCGCTTCCCACGTGTACCGGTACTCTGCTGCAGGCCTATTGCCATGTGATCTTCAAGATACTTACAGCCTGCAGCATACTCCATTCCCGCCTAACACATGGCCAAACGGACGCTGTCCAACAAACGGAGAGCTCCAAATGTCGTGGCCCAACGACTGATGCATAGGTAAGGTACCTAGGTAGTGCCCTTGTTTGAGGTTCCACTTGAATGCAGCCATCCATTCAAATGCCGGGCCTCTCTGGTAACTGAAATGCCCTAAAGCTCCGGGGAAGTGCAGCGTTGCGCCTGTGCTCTCCTCACTAAAACCTTGAGATCCCCACTAGAGCCCTCTGACTTGTCAGTGGTTAATTTGTTGGACTGGGTCACATGCTGCACAAGGCAAATGGTCGAGAGATGATGTTAAAGCCACCAGGATGGGATGGACGGGTCAAGCCACACTTCGGTCCCGGCGCCGTCACTTCCCGAGTGGTCGTCCTATCGCTTGAACGTTATTTCCACGCCACTCGTCACGCTGCATCACATCCCTCCCTATCGATTAGCCTCGAGAGAGCGAACAAAAACCCCAACAAGCATCATACCAGCTGATCTCTCATCACCCCGGTGCATGCTCGCCAACATCCCCAGCAAGGTCTTTGCCTCCGCCTTGCCGCCATCATGAGCGGACGGCTCCTAGCAGCGGGCCTCGTGCCCTTGACGCGACGCGCCGCCGTCCAAGCCGTCCGTCACTACCACCGCTTCCCGGCCGGCGGGCTCCAGCGCGCAGACGCCGCCATCCGCGCGACACGCCAGCGCATATGGTTCCCCGGAAACGCCTTCCACAACGCCGTCATCGTCCGCAATGCGAGCTTTGCCCGCTTCCTGCCCAAGCTGGTCGTCAAGTTCGCCAGGATCCCCGCCATGTTCGGCGGCCTGATGATTGGCGGCGTGGCCTGGATCCAGTACCAGGCCATCCAGGTCAGCAACTCGGCGAGTGAGATGTTCAAAAACATGAAGGAGGGCGTCAGCGATACAGCTTCGAGCCTGTTTGGAAGTGCCAAGGACATCGCCGGCCAGATGGGACGCGGATGGGAGAATACTAAGGAGCAGGTGGAGCTGCCCGAATGGCTGCAAAAAGTTTTGAGACTACAAGAAGAGGTTGGGACTGGGAGAGGCGGACCGGAAGGTGAAGAGCCACCAAAGCAGAGCAGAGCCGGTGTTGCTGCTGGTGCGGCCGCTACCGCCGCGGCATATGGGTACGAGCAGTCAGATGAGGACGACGACCGATCCGCCGAGGAAATAGCCAAGGACGACCAGATGATGATCCTGACGAAGAAGATGATTGAGATCCGGAACATCCTGCAGAAGGTCGGGCAGTCAAGCACGCTCAGTCTTCCTTCAATCGTTGTCATTGGATCACAATCATCCGGGAAGAGTTCGGTGCTAGAATCGATCGTTGGCCATGAATTCTTGCCCAAGGGCTCTAATATGGTCACACGGCGGCCGATTGAGCTCACTCTTGTGAATACTCCGGAATCAAAGGCGGAGTATGGCGAGTTCCCAGATCTCGGACTCAAGAACATCACGGACTTCTCCTCCATCCAGAGGACTTTGACAGACCTCAACCTGGCGGTGCCTGACTCCGAATGCGTGTCAGATGACCCAATTCATCTCACAATCTATTCGCCTCATGTCCCTGATCTATCACTGATTGACTTACCTGGATATATCCAAGTTGTCGGTCAAAACCAGCCATTGGAACTGAAGCAGAAGATCTCTGAACTATGCGACAAGTACATTCAACCACCGAACGTCATCCTAGCCATATCAGCGGCCGATGTCGATTTGGCAAATTCGACTGCTCTGAGGGCGAGTCGGAGGGTTGACCCGAGAGGTGAGAGGACGATTGGTGTCGTGACAAAGATGGATCTAGTCGACCCAACAAGAGGAACTGCCATTTTGAATGATAAGCAGTATCCCCTGCGTCTGGGATATGTCGGCGTTGTGTCCCGCGCGCCAACAGTAACAGGCCTTTTCAAGAAAGGCACATCTGGAAACTTGACGGCCGCGATTGCAAAGAATGAAAACGCCTACTTCTCGTCTCACCCCCTAGAGTTTGGCCCTGGTGCTGATGTCAACGTTGGTACCATTACATTACGGAAGAAACTCATGCATGTGCTGGAGCAAACCATGTCCGCAAGTCTCCAGAGCACAAGCGATGCTATACAGCAGGAGCTTGAAGAAGCAACATACGAGTTTAAGGTGCAGTACAATGACAGGCCACTCTCGGCAGAATCATACCTTGCGGAAAGTCTTGATGCCTTCAAGCACTCGTTCAAACAATTCACCGAGGAGTTTGGCCGACCACAGATGCAGGAGCTTCTTAAGAAGGAGCTAGACCAGCGAGTGCTCGATCTTCTCGCTCTCAGATACTGGAACAAGCCAATATCTGATCTCTCCGTACCACCTCCTGAGCCGGATAACCTTGCCGACCTTCCCAAGGCTGATCCTGAATCTTTGTTCTGGCATCGGCAGCTAGATGCTTCAACTTCTTCACTCACTAAGCTTGGTGTGGGTCGTCTTGCGACAACGGTTGTGGCTACAGCCATCCAGCAACACATTGACCAGCTGATCGCTCAGTCAACCTTTGTCAACCACCCTTTCGCACGACAAGCGATAACCGAAGCCGCCTCAAGCATTCTGAATGAGAGGTTCTACAGCACTAGTGACCAAGTAGAGAACTGTATCAAGCCGTACAAGTTTGAGATCGATGTTGAGGACCGGGAGTGGAATGCTGGCCGTGAAAATGTCGGCATGGTGTTGAAGAATGAGCTGACCGCTTGCCAAAATGCAACGCAGAATCTCGAGAAGGCTGTCGGTGGCAAGCGCAAGCTGAAGGAAGTGATGACATTCATCGACAAATGCCGGAAGGGCGACATCATCATTGAGGGAGAAGGACGGAGTGGTGCTGGTGGTTTCAGCGCGGCGCTACTTGCTAAAGGTATGTTTCTACCCCTTGCTAACCCCCTCATGGTATCGCCACAAATTGCTAACAGCCAACAGGCCGTGAAGCTGTCTTCCTCCGTGACCGCGCCGACATCATCAACATGCGACTCATGGCAGTCAAGTCAAAGCAGTGCAAGACTTTGAAGAACAAGTACTACTGCCCTGAGGTCTTCCTCGACGCCGCGGCGTCGAAGCTAGCGGCAACCGCCGTGCTCTTCCTCAACGTCGAGCTGCTGTCCGAGTTCTACTACAATTTCCCGCGGGAGCTGGACGCACGGCTCGGCCGCCACCTGACCGACGACCAGATCGAGCGGTTCGCCAAGGAAGACCCCAAGGTTCGCCGGCATCTCGAGGTGATCCGTCGCAAGGAGCTGCTGGAGCTTGTTCTTGAGAAGATGGAGAGTCTACGCCAGCTCGAAGGGCGCGAACGGACCAAGACCGGTGGCCACTCAAGAAAAAGCGACAAAGAGAAGTCTCGCTGGGGCTGGCTGTGAGGAAGACATAATGGGCTCTGCCTGCGCGACTGCTATTTACCGTCACGAGTTTTATGACGTTATGGGCTTCTATCGGCGTTTTGTCACGGAATGCGCTACTCTCCCCCTTGGTGCTCTTTGAGGAGACAGACTACGTTTCAACTAAACATGCAGTAGACTGGCTCTTGACTTTTGTTTTTCACAGTAGGATATATTTTTGTTTGCCCTATATACGATGTAGCCCCTCTCGGCGAGCTGCTCAACAGGCCACGAGAAATTATGTACATATGAAGAATACCCTCCTCGACTCGTGTCGTCATAACTCAAATAGATAGAAAATGGCTCTTCTTACTTAACCTTCATGAAGTTGTTTACGCGTGCTCTCCCGCCCCGATTTGCTCAATGAATTGTGTGTATAAACGCCGCCGATTCCCGAAATGCCCAAAAAATCACACTCTGCACACTCCGGCTGGATCCGTAGAGGTAGAAGGTTCGCAGCAGCCGCGGAACCACACCGCTCTCGACCTTCATTCAGTTCGGGTCGGTACTCATCTGCATCGTGACCTCCCACCGCAGCGCGCCGCCCTTGCCGTAGCCCTCCCCCAGACGGTTCTGTATGACGCGGCTGACGCGGGTGCGCAGCTGGCTCAGCGTGCCGTCGTCGCAGCCGCGGACGACGCACACGCGCAGGTTCGCCATGCACAGGCCGTAGTGCACCTGCCAGAACTGGGCCTCGTCGACGCGCGAGACGGCGGGCTCGGACTCGATCTCGCGCACCACGGAGGCGACGCTGGTGCCGTTCTTCTCGTCCTCCAGGCTCGAGGTGGACGTGATGCTGCTGCCGCGCCGCCCGCTGTACGACATCAGGAGCATCAGGCCCTGCGCTACGGCCAGGCGGACGCCGAGCACGAACATGGATACGGCGATGGCGGCGCAGATGAGTCGGTCCAGCCAGACGAAGTACGAGACTGAGAGCAATGGTAGCAGCAGCATCAGGAAGCTGAAGCAGAGCGTGAGGAAGTGGAATGGATTGGCGAGAATATCTGGCAGCAGGGAGGAGAGATAGGCCGGATATGCCACTCGCATGACACGGCGAATACGAGCGTGGTTCTTCAGCCCATACGCTGACATGAGTGTGCTGAGCACAGCGGCCAGACTGGCCATGTCGACCGTACCAGGCGAGATTGTGCGTCCAGGGGCGCCGTGGCCAGGGTGCTCATGCGGATGATGAGGGGTGTGGGAGCCGACAGACTCTAGTATATGCTTGAGGTTGTGGCTTAGGAGGTCAAAGCCGCCAAAGACAAGAAAGACGCTCATGGCGAAGCCCGCCAGAACCTCAGCCCGTTGCAGCCCAAACGGATGCCGAATGCTCGACCGCTTCCACACCTCGAAGTTTCCTAGCAAATCAACCGCGACGCAGATGGCCGCCGAGCCAACATCGAAAAAGACCAAGTGGGAGAGCGCCGTCATAGCTAGCGAGCCGGATGCAGAGAAGAAGATGTATGTCGCGACGAGGCCATGGCATAGACACCAGTATAGGCGTGCGCGCTGGTCTTTCTGCATACTGGACCAGGCTTCCCTGATTGTCGGCACGGGGAGCGAGGCAGGCAGGACAGGTGGTGGTCGAGGTGGTGGCTCTTGGAAGATCTGATGTTGTGCGGATATTGAGGAGTGTTTGTAACGATGTCCACGACGCTGGCCAATATTCTGCGACTCAATTGTTAGCTATTGGCTTCATGCGAGTTCTCTGAAGAGGTCAACGTACTGATTTGACGGGCGAAGTGGTGATATACTGGGTCTGGAAGTTGAAGGGGCTCGCGGCCGCAGGAGCAGGCGCGGCGCCGTCTGCTCCGGGCGCATCGTCGAAAGACATGCTGGGCGGCCGGAGGAAGGACTGAGAGTCAGGATGTAGGAAGGCGCTTCTTCGGCTGGACGCAGAGGTGGACAGTAAGCCGTCAATGTCGTTCCAATTGCCACTATTCCGCTTCGCGCTTGCCGCGTCGTCGTCGCGATCGTCGTCAACAGGGGGTTCAACGAGTGTCGGGGGAGATGGAGTTCTCGGGTGTTGGATGCTGGGCAGGCCAGAAGCCATGTGCCACTGCAATGCCTGAAAAGATGAAAGACAAGATACGATCCCGCGGAGTCGAATCACACGACTCGTGGATATGGTGGTGCTGAGCTCGAGCACGGTCGGTGCTGGTGGCTCGTTTGATGGATCTAGTCTAGCGCATGGTGGGATAGCCGCCCATGTCTTTGTTCCCTTGCTGCTGTGGCTCAATCGGCTAATGATGAGAGAGTGATATTGCTACGAGATTTCTGGTGAAGAGTATATAGATTCGTGATCAATGTCGTTGAGTCTTTTGTGGTTCTTCGATTTGAGGCGGCTGAAAAGACCAATGGCAACAGACCAAACTGCCACATGCTGAGGGCATCGTAGTCCGTCCCCAAGGCGGTCGCCATTAGCCCAGCCCAGGGCAGTGTTAGGGCCCGGGCAATAGGGGTCATGCGCTGTGGCTTGGCGCTCCAGCCATTGGTTGGAGCCCCCAATTGATGTCACCCTGATTCAAGGTTATACGTGTACCTTTTTCGCTGTGACTTGGAACACGCGTCTGCAGTTTGCGGCTGCACTTTTTGCATATATCGTCATTCAGAAACAGCTCGAGCATCGTTGCAGCTGAGGCGGGCTCCTTCAGCGTGTTCATATTCATATCCGAGCTGAGACACCCCCATTGCCGCTTCCAATTGACGATGTCTCGGCCTTAGGAAGCCGCTGCCGGGGGCTGCAGCGAACCTTTCCTTCCAGGGGAACCCACGCTTAGGTTGCTATACGAGGTTTGCGGGCCTCGAGCCTTCCGCCGCTCGAAGCCATGGAGCAAACGGCTCCCTCTTCAGTCAGCCATGGCCGCCAAACATCTGCTGATCCCACACACACGCCGCCGTCTCCTTCCGCGTTACCCGGCCCCGCGTCGCCGGCTCATAAGAGAAACACCTCGGGCGGCGGAGGCGGCGGTGGACTTCTGTCCAAGTTCCCTTTCATGCGGTCCACTAGCGACCAGCGAGCCGCGCGACACGACGGAGACGCAGACCCGTCTGCGCCTCGCCCGGCGACTTCCATCTCGACTGCCCTCCAGCAGCAGAAGACACGGCGGCGCCGAGGATCGTTGAGGAAGGTCGCCTTGCTCGGGAGAGGGGCGCAACGCGAACGGCGTGAAGCGACGCCTCTTACAATAGACACAAAGCACGCCGAGGAGTTTGGAATCATGGACGCCGGGATCACCTCCAGCCCCCAAGCGGAAGGCGAAGTCTATGGACTGGGAATATCAGATATCACACCTCGCCCGTCTATGGATGGCTATGCAAGCAGAACGGCACAGGTGAAAAGCCCGCCTGAAACTCCAGCACCCACAACGACTGCCAAGGTAGACGAGCCAATGCCCACCAGTCCGACGATCTCTTACTCTACTACCGATGATGAGGACGTTCTCCATATTGCGCCGCACACGCCCTCTCCTCTCCGACCCGAGCTCTCATCGCTCTCATCTGGCTCCGAGTCGTACTTTTCCAACCGCATGAATACCCTTCAACCTCGCCGCTCTATCCAGCGTGCCAAATCCCCACTGGCTTTGACCGGACTGGCTACAACACCAATCCCGCCTCCTGATCCAGACTGGGACTATGCGGAAACTGAGTGGTGGGGCTGGGTTGTTCTGGTGGTGACCTGGTTCGTCTTCGTCACCGGCATGGGCTCCTGCCTCGGGGTATGGAGCTGGGCGTGGGATGTCGGTACTACACCTTATGCGCCTCCGGAGCTCGAGGATGATCCAACACTACCCATTGTCGGCTACTATCCAGCCCTCATCATACTAACCTGTGTAATGGCATGGGTCTGGGTTGTCATTGCCTGGGTTGGTATGAAATATTTCAGGCACGCCAAGATCAGCGGTGACTAAATGGCCGAACGCGAGCGTCTTTCAAGCGCAAAAAGCTGCTCCTACACGCATTGGGAGATGCTGGATGACAAAACACCATTTCCCAATTTGGCATCAAGCACTTAGCTCTTCCAGAACAAGGAATTGCTTCGAGCGCTTTAAGCGACGACTCTTCATCATCCAATCCCTATCTGTGAAAAGACCTTGCCAAACCAGACGAGCTGCGTATGGGGGGGAAAAATTGAGCAAATGTATTAGCGCAGCTACGCAATTGTCGACGAGGCGCCATCTTGGCTTCGAGAGTTCTTACGTGAGCACGAACGTACGAGAGTCCAAACAAGGGAGGGTTTCCTCATTAATCCTGAACGGGTCGCTCCGCCCTGATGGGGCTCCGTGGATAACAGGGATTCACATACATATCACATATTATGAAATCAAGATGTACAGTCAAATGGACTAAGCTGTTGGTATAGGTGACTCCGATAGCAAGGATGTCCGGAGTGGGTATTGAGGCTGAGACTCATGCCTCGAGATTCGCTGTATAAAATGTCAACAATATCCTCGCGGGTGACTCTAAGTCGGAATATACCGATGAGAAATTGTACTCGTCGCTCTGTCTTGTCTACGTCTGCAATTGTTCAAAGCTCCAACGATGACTGCGAAGCCTGCCGTTATCATCGTCCCGGCAGCTTTTTCACTTCCGGCTCACTATGCCTTAGTGACAAGCCGGCTGAGTGACCTTGGCTACGAGGCTCACGTTGCTGCTCTCGCAAGCGCCAGAGAAACGCCTATTGAGCCAACACCCGGCATGCAGGATGATGCGGCAGTTGTGCGGAACTTAATGGAGAAAGTTGCAGATGAAGGTAAAGAGATCATTCTGGATATGCATTCGTGAGTCTCTCTAATCTCTAGAATACACCTTCTTCTTCAAGGACCACTGAGTCTCATTTATCTGAACTCGTCGGTGACATATATCTGGCTACCTTGAGTGAAAATGATAGTGCTGACATCGATTCTTAAGTTATGGGGGCATTGCCGGAACAGAGGCTTGCGAGGGTCTAAGCAAGGCAGAGCGTGAAGCTGCCGGAAAGACCGGTGGAATCATCCGTCTGCTTTATATTGCCGCAACAGTGGCCCCAATAGGGTCAGTAAACTTACAGATGTTCAAAAGTGATATGCCCGACCCTGAAATACGGACGTTCGGCGGACGAGTAGTCCAGATGGACAGGAGTAATCTTCCGGCTTCATTCCAGGTACTTGACCTCCATGTCACAGTAATACGACCCGAATTGACTGGACACAGGGGTTGTGGCTGCACCTGAATGATCCTCAGGTCGTTGTTGATTTCTTCTTCAACGACATTCCAGCCGAGGTGGCCGCCACCCTCGCCGGTGGTGTTGCTGCGCAAGCCCTGAGGGTTCAATTCGATCCACAGACATATGCAGCTTACGAGAAGATTCCATCATCGTACTTGCTTACGAAATTAGATCGCGTGGTCCCACCAGAATACCAGCAAAACTTCATCAGGACTCTCGAGGAGGCTTCGGGGGCACCTTGCGATGTCCATGCATATGATGTTGGTCATTGTGTACATGTCACTAAGCCTGAGTATGAGGTTGAGGTGATTCGGAAAATTGCTGGGGAGATACCAAGATGACCAAGTCATAGCTCTTGTTTACCAGATAATTTGGATTTTGTACGACTCAAATACCTATAATCTTCTAGTCGTAAAAGAGATATCTGGTGCCATTGCTATCTCTCCAGTAACGCCTCGGCACTGGGGAAGTTAAGCTAGGAGCTGTTTAGCACCTCGGGACACCCAAACTAGTGCAAGTTAATGCGAGAAAGCTCAATGGGCCACTATGGTGAACCTCGGCATCTTCCCCGCAAAAAGCCTACTCCAAGCTGGTGCCGCGGAGCATCTCCTCGCTCATTAGTCGGGCACCCTTACCACTACTAGACATGATTTGAAAGCAATGAGATATATGATCTTGAGATCTCTCGTGTGAGATCTAAAGCTAATTGAATCCTTCCCGCTCTTTGCCCATTCACGGTTGTTGATAGAATCCTGGTGGACATTTGTGAAGTGTGCATTGGCCAGCTCGAATCAAGGTTCTGACAACAAGCATCATGGCGGACGAGGCAGAAATTCAGGACTTTCCGTCCCTCTTCTCACTGAAGGGAAAAGTCGCCGTCATCACCGGCGGTTCGAGAGGTCTGGGACTGACCGCTGCGTCTGCGTGAGTCCCTTACACAATCACACTGCAGGTCATGCAACGGCTTCTTCCCACTAACACTGGCGTACAGCATCCTACAAGCCGGCGCAGCCAAGGTCTTCATCAGCTCGCGCAAGGCCTCGGCCTGCGAGGCGGCGTGCAAGGCGCTCAATGCGCTGCCGAACCGCGCGCCGGGGGCCGTGGCCATCTCGGTGCCAGCAGACTCGAGCAAGATCGAGGGCGTGCAGGCGCTCGTGGACGCCGTGAAGAAGCACACTGACCACGTCGACATCCTGCTGGCCAACGCGGGCGCCACCTGGGGCGAGGCGTTCGACACGCACCCGGACAGCGCCATCGCCAAGGTGTTTGACCTCAACGTGCGCGCCGTCTTCAACACCATCCGCCTGTTCGCGCCGCTGCTGGAGAAGCGCGGCTCCGTCGAGGACCCCAGCCGCGTCATCATCACGGCGAGCGTCGCGGGCCTGGGCGTCGGCACGCTGGGCAAGCAGGGCACCTACGGCTACAGCGCCAGCAAGGCCGCCGCGATCCACCTCGGCCGCAACCTGGCGCTCGAGCTGGGCCCGAGGCACGTCACGGTGAACAGCATCGCGCCGGGCTTCTTCCCCACCAAGATGGCGGCGGGTCTCTTGGAGATGTCTGGTGGTGCTGATGCGATCGGCAAGAGCAATCCGATGGGGCGGCTGGGAAGACCCGAGGACATTGCTGGCGCAGTGGTCTACCTGTGCAGCCGTGGCGGATCGCATGTCAATGGTGCGGCGCTTGAGATTGATGGTGGTGCTCTGTGGCAGAAGGGAGAGCTGATGGCTCCCGGATCGGCCAAGCTATGAACATGATTGGCTGCATTTGACAATTCTGGGGTGTTGTAAGAGTTCATGTGCGTGTCTTGATAGATTTGGCTATTATAGATTTATGTCCTTTGTCCCTAGCCATGAATGCTTTTGTATCAGGTACCACTCGCCGCCCGAGCAATGCATACCCAGCGTATAGTAACAAGGTCCGCCCCATAAGCCCGTGCCTATCCTTGTTGTGGCTTCCGAGCCACCCATGAACTTGCTCTATAAACGGTCTGTAGCATGGACTCGGCATCTTGTATGTAAGGCGCCTCTATCCCCGTCACTCTGCTCTCTACGACGAACCCGACCTTCTCTACCAATGCCATAACTTCGTCGTCTGTCAACTCAAAACTACCCGGGTCCGCAATACCGGAACTATTGTTCGGGTCATGTGCGCCATCGCCATCATCGTCATGGCCGTGGTTTCCAGGAGCGTTATTCTCGAAATGCCACAACAATGGTCCGACGTTGATGAGCACGCCACCAGGTTTCAGGCAGTGGTATATGGTGTTGAGGTATCTTACGAGGTTTGGTGCTGTGTCGAGAAAAAAGACGGTAGCGACGGCGTCGTAAGTCTCTTGGTGGCTCTCGTCGCTGTACAGACAGAGAAAGTCTGCCGCACACATGGACATGGAGCCTACCCTTGTGGCAGACCCCAGAGTGGTGGCCGGATGGATGTCTGGTACTTGGTAGCTCCGCAAGTGGTTTGCTCTGTTCTTGTGATTTGAAAAGGAGTGAACCCAGGGGTAGATTGTGTGTTGGCCGGCACGCCCGACACAGTTCAGAATGTACGAGGACGCGAGGAGCTGGTGGTATGATATCTCATTGCCCTCGGTCTCAAAGCCGTTGAGACATAGGTCAAAAACGAGCCTTCCGAGACCAGCTCCCGGAACGAGCACCTTTAGCTGCTCATCACCCTGGTGATTTGCCTTCTCGATCTCGAGGGCTCGCATCACCGGCCCGTAGCACGCATCTCGCTCCACAGCGCCCTCGGCCGACCAGTCGCGATAGAACTGCCGTATGGTGCTCCTCGCTTTGTCGATGTCTGCGTGTTTGGCGATGCCAGCCCACTCGTCCGGCATGGCGGGATGCTCGCCGTCGGGCGTGGCAATCATGCGGAAGGACTGCAGCCCGAACTTGACGATGACGCGGGCGAGCTCCGCATTGCAGTCGATGGCATCGTCGACCTTGTCTAGAGTCTCTAGGAAGTTGAATGGGGGTGCCGCGAGCATCTGCCAGTGTGCCTGGGGCAGGGCATAGAACGACTGCCTCCGGAGATGCGTACAGTTGAAATGTGACACTCTTGCGTATTGTCTATAACCTGGTAAGCAAACTGTTCCCGAAAAGATGATTGAAGTAGTAAATCTAAACTATAAGAGTGCCAAAGTCTGAGGCATCTCGTGTGAGGTGTCTTGGTATAGTATGAGATGATATTGGGGGAACCCGCCGAACATCTATGCGGATGATGGAACCACATCACCATTTGTTTGATTTTGCAGATGGTGCTTGACGGCCCGGGGACGAAAAGCAAATTAGGAAAGATAGACTAACAAGAATGAATCCAGAGCGCTGAATATGACTCTGACTTCTTCGGGGTCTTCAGCAGTCTCCTCGATACCGCCCCAGTGGCTTTCTTCTTCCATGGCTCGCTCTGGCTCCGTCATGTTTGCTGACCTATCAGGGTTTCTTCATTGAAGAGGGTGAATAAAATCAGCGGCGTTGGTAGAAGGCAGCTCAGAACTGTGGATTAGAATGCAATCAACTGAGAACTACAGCCAGAATCATGACCTATCCATGCAGGGCTTCATGGCGTTTGTCCGATCTCAAATTTCATCTCCAAGGACTGCAAATCACGAATTATCTTAGGTCATGCATGTGAGCGAGCCATTACTGGAAAGAAGAACCCACTCCTTCATCTTTCCCGTGCCCTCCGGCAACAGCAAGAACGCTGTCTTTTTTCTGTAGCTCCTGTGGCTTTAGGCGTCGACTTAGTAGGCCACAGCGGCTTGAGCCCAGTTATTACACCTATGAGTTAGCGTCACAGGGGCTCGGGCGGCTGGGAACAAGTTTCTTCCAGCTTGAAGCAGGGGAGATTTGGAGGTGTCTTAGTGGGTATTGTACCTTAAGCTGCCACCTACCTAACCTAGGTAATAAGCGATCTACCTTATTTCTCAACCTCATTTGCAACTTATGTCCGTCAACACCAAGAAGAGCTATAGTCAACTTCGTGAACCAAAAGCTATTGCGATCATGGCGACGAGCGAAATACTGCAATTCTCCATTCCTCTACCAAGGTCGCTTGACACTCGGATATATGCACACCTGACCATCAGGTCCAAGTCTATCATGCTGTTTCTGACAACCGCCACGGCTGATGAGCTGTCGACTCCAGCTCCAATGGGATCTTTTGTCTACGCCTTGCCTGATGTCTGTCCCCATCGCATCTGGTATAACACGCAACAAGAGGCTGACTGTTTTCATAGAAATTCAATCCCAGTCAGCCTTTGGCCACTCCGCTCTACACGGTTGAGCCGACTGTGGAGTTCACGACCCGGCTGGCGAGGCTGTTGGCAAAAAAGACCCAGCTCCCGGTCTATGTCGGTAACTCGGTGAGCTTTGTCAATGCCGGCCTTGGTGGGACCATGGAGGAGGAGATGGAAGGCTTTCGAAAAGTCGTCGAGGTTGTCGTAGGCAGGCTGCAGGAGGTTCTTCACATCCCCAACGGCCTGCCCAACGGAGCCAGCGAGGCTTGAGGCCCACCCTCTACTTTGGTGAACATACCGAGGTAGGGCTGTGTGCTCCATGGAGCAAACGCCTATGTGTAGCACATTTGTTGGCAAAGTTGTTGAGCACTGCTGGCCCCCAAAGGTGGTGGTGAGCTAGGAGCAACTCCAGCAATATAGCAGCCTCAGGATCCAGAAGAGTGAGATCCTCGTCAACTTTCGATACGCTGCTGACGCAACCCTCTACAAACTCATCTCAGGAACTTGGTATCACCGCTTCGCGAACTGCAAGCCGTTCGCAGTGGAGACGAGTGGGGTGTACGACCTGAGAGGTGTAGACGATCACAAAGCCAGGACTAACCATACATAGTCTATCAACAAGGTTGGCGTCAGGTCGCACCAGGTCTCTACCTGCCTGCCGTTTGTGGTACCTTCTAATGATGGCTAATGGCGCGGGAAATTGCTCGATCATGAATTGGTCGTTGGCAGAACGTACGGGCTGCGCGTTGGGGTGACCGAGCCTGTCAAACACGGGCATCGCCGAGGGGAGCGTTGCCGAGAAACCTACCATTCTCAATCACATTATACTGCTTCAAGAGACGTTGAGAGCCTCCGATCTCGCACTTGCCTGGTGAATGATGGACGATCGCATGGGTAGATGGAATGCAAGCGTATGACACGAGTAACCTGTCAGTGGAACGGCTACTGGCAGGGACATGGGCTAAGAGTTTGCTGCTCCAAGCCGGTCGCACTGCACGGTCAGCTCCTTGAGACATGTAGAGGCTCACTGACGTATTCGGACCATCTTCTTGCACCTTTAGTACCTAGGTAGAAGGCGAGACAGTCATTCAGTGCATTTGGTCTCAAAGTCTCCAAGAATATCAATCTCGGGGAGATATGCTAGAGACACCTAGGGGGCCTTCTACAAAGCCACTTTGATGTGAGTTGACTGTGATTAACTACGACACTCCAGTGCCAAGGGGAGATTTCAGATGATCGGAATCCTGTGTACACCCGAATTGAGGAGTCCGCATTGGGGGTCTTCAACGAGTCTAGACACGTCGGTCACCTATCCGGGGCCGATGAGGGGGGAAACAGAGACGGTGAACGTGGCAGCGAATCACTGTTTCGAGACTTGGTTCATTGCAGAGGGCTTGCATAGACTTATCATTAGAAAGCCCTTGAGGTGCCGGAGTGAAGGACGGCTGCACTTTGAGATCTGTGGTCTGCGGGCTGCAAGTCGCCACAACAAGAAAGAAAGAGGGCAGGAGGTTCGCCGTCTCAGGCTGGATGATGGGGGGCTCCGGCCCCTGGTCTGGTCTGGTTTGGTTTGATCCACGTCGACTGGTTTGACGTGAAGTCGCTTTTGCCTCCAGCAGCACCGCGCACCGTGATCCTCTTACAGCACCGGCTGGACATGCTTTCCTGGAGAAAAACCGGTTAAGATCCGTAAGAGTATGCCACAGGCTCAACAAGGCGAGGTGGTACAGAGGTATCCATGGAGGGTTGGATATTGTGTCGCAGAGTCACAGCATGCAGCGAGTCCCAACTCGTTCGAGGAGCAGCACTCATGATGGCCAGATGGAGGAAGGCTCGTCCTCCGTCATCTTCCCAATTGGCAAGCGCAGAGGAGCATTCACCCAAATTAGGCCATCATCGTCATCGCCATCATCATTATCATTATCATTCTCATCTTTTTACTTCTGAGCACTGTAATATGTATCGTTGTCGGTCATCCATCATAGTTGCCTCAGGAGGCACATGTACATACAACGCGATTAGCATTCCCTACCGATAGTTGGCAAGTTCCCAAGTGTCCCTGCCCAATCTTGATAAGCCGGAACAAACGGGCAAGACCAAGTCCACTAGCTACTGTAGCTAACTTTGGTAGAAAGGCACGAACAAAATTTTGCTGGCCGATTTGGCGAGAGCGGAGAGTGGCCCCTCCGCCAGTTTCAGTGCCGGCTCCCACACAAGCAGTGACAACACCAGAAAAAAAAAAAGGCCCGGGTTATCAGTTATCGCCGTCCCGCCTGCCACTAAAAGCCCCTGATCCTTGCACTAAGCACCTTGATACCTTACCCTTCCCTACCAAACCTGCCTACCTAAGGTCCCTAAGGTCCCTAAGTCCCTACGCGTTACTGACTGTCCAGCGCAAAAGCTCACCCAGTCCTTTGAAAAAGTGAGAAGTGAGGAGGTCTGTGGGCAGTTAGACCCCTTGGAGCAGCCTGCCGCCAGCCTGGCCCACCTAAAATCACCTCTAGTCCAGGTACCTACCGGCAAGTCTCCAGCCCTTTGAAACACCCCGCCAGAAGGGCAAAATTCAAAGTCACGACTCACGTCGCAATTTCCTTGACACCACCCACACCCACACTCACTCACATTGACATCTGTACCTCACCTCACCTCAACCTGGGCCTTGCACCATACAACATACAACAAGAGTAGTGGACGACACCCCATATCGAGGTAGGCTCTTCTTTCCAGACTGCAGCAGTGGCGCATACCTACATCCGCCAACTCCATTGCTGCAAGGTCCCTAACGTGGCGATTGTCGATTGTCGATCGAGGGCTGACTCCCCCCACCTTGTGTGGTCGCAGATGCCCGTCCGCATACCCTCGATGTAAAGGCTCTTCCTCCGCTACCGCACTGCACCTCACCTCTCACCTCACTCTCGATACCAGCTACTCGCACTGCCAGCCCTCTCACAAGGTGTCGCAGCTGCAGGTGGCTTATTATCAGGACTGTGCCAGTTGTCTCCTGTTTAAACGACTCCCCGCCAGACTGCCTGATCCTTCAGGTTTCCCAACTTTCGCAATCATGGCCTGGCAACCGTCTCCGGACAACCTGCGGACCTTAGCCGCCTGCCTCAAGGACTCCTTGAGCGGCTTTGACAAGGTTGCGCAAAAGCAGGCTGAGGTCGTGAGTGCTCCCACCCGTCCGCGCATGCTCTAGATGGCGATCGCAAGGTACACTTCACTAACACATCAATGTTCCTCCAGATGCTCCAACAAGCAAAGTCCTCACCTGACATCAATAACTACCTAGCATACATATTCTCTAGCTCCGAGCCGCCCCCGGGAGTCAACTTCACTGCACAAGACTACCATCTGGTTCGCTCAGCAGCCGCCATCATGCTCAAGAACAACGTGAAGACCAGCTTCAAACAGATACCAGAAACCTCGTTGCAGCTGATCAAGCTGGCCATCCCCATGGGGATTCAGGACAAGAACTCACAGATACGCAACTATGCCGGCAACATCGCAACCGAACTGATCCGCCGGGTGGGCATTTACGGCTGGCCTGAGTTCTTACCGGAGCTTCTCAAGATGATCGGCAATGAGACAGGGAATATTCCCAACGAGGGCCAAGAAGGCGCCATGGCGGCGATGGCCAAGATCTGCGAGGACAACACAAAGATGCTGGAACGGGAACAGAATGGCGAGAGGCCCTTGAATTACTTACTACCGAAATTCATCGAGGCTACGAAGAGCCCCCTCGCTAAGGTCCGCGCTCAGGCACTTACGGCCATCAACGTCTTCACTCCTCGAAAATCGCAAGCCTTGCTCCACTCGATCGACACCCTCCTGCAACACCTGTTCGTCTTGGCCAATGACACCAGCGTCGATGTTCGCCGTCAAGTCTGCCGCTGTTTTGTCCGACTCGTTGAGACTCGACCCGACAAGCTCCAACCTCACATCGGCGGGCTAGTAGATTACATCATCACTCAACAGAAGAGTGACGATGAGGACCTAGCCTGCGAAGCCGCTGAATTCTGGCTGTCCGTTGGCGAACATGAGGACTTGTGGCAGTCGCTCGGGCCTTACATTTCCAAGATCATTCCTGTTCTCCTTGACTGCATGGTCTATAGCGGTGAGGATATTGCTCTACTAGGGGGCGCTTCGGATGATGAGGATGAAGACGACCGGGAAGAAGATATTAAGCCTCAGTTTGCCAAGGGCAAGTCCGCCAGGACTACACAAACCGGCGGTGATGCTTCTGCAGACCCTGCACAAAACGGCAATGCCTACGAAAAGCTGGCCAGCATGGATGACGACCTGGAAGAGGGCGAAATCGAGGATGATCTTGACGATGGTGATGAGAATCCCGATGAGCGATGGACAATCCGGAAATGCTCTGCAGCTGCACTAGATGTTTTCGCGCGCGACTTCAGGGATCCTGTCTTCGAAAGCATCCTGCCGTACTTGACCACGAATCTAAAGCATGCGGAATGGCCATATCGTGAGACTGCTGTTCTTGCGCTAGGCGCTGTGGCTGAGGGCTGTATCGATGTTGTTTCCCCTCATCTGCCCGAATTGGTCCCATATTTGATCAGTCTTCTCGATGACCCTGAGCCTGTTGTCCGCCAAATCACCTGTTGGACATTAGGACGTTATTCAGCATGGGCAGCTGAACTGACCGATCCTGGCCAGACACACTCGTTCTTTGTCCCAATGATGGAGGGCATCCTCACGAAGATGCTCGACAAGAATAAGAAAGTCCAGGAGGCCGGTGCATCTGCAATGGCCAACCTGGAGGAGAAGGCTGTTGCGAACCGACTTGAGCCCTACTGTGGGCCGATCATCCAGCAATACGTGCGCTGTTTTGGAAAGTACAAGGACAAGAATATGTACATTCTCTACGACTGTGTACAGACCCTGGCAGAACGGATCGGCCCTGTTTTGGCATTGCATGAGCACGCGAGTGTGCTCATGCCAGCTCTGATCGACCGATACCAGAAGGTTACGGATCAAAACCGGGAGCTGTTCCCTCTGCTGGAGTGTCTGTCGTTCGTTGCTATGGCCTTCGGCGACGCGTTCTCTCCTTACGCACAGCCCATATTCAGGAGATGTGTCAACATCATTCACCAAAACCTTGAGCAGTCCATGGCAGCTGTCAGTAATGCCAACTTCGATCAGCCTGACAGGGACTTCCTTGTCACAAGTCTGGATCTACTAAGTGCCATCATTCAAGCTCTTGATGACAACAAGGCGACAGAGTTGGTTGCAGATACCCAGCCGGCTTTCCTCGAGCTGCTAGGCTTCTGTATGGAGGACCCCGCCGATGAAGTCAGGCAATCAGCTTACGCACTCTTGGGTGACTGCGCGAAGTACGTCTTCCCTCAACTGGAAGCGCGGTTGTCATCTCTCATTCCGATTCTACTGAAGCAACTAGATCTTGATAACATCCTGGACGAGGAGATCGACGCTGGCTTTAGTGTAGTCAATAACGCGTGCTGGAGTGCAGGCGAAATTGCCATTCGCCATGGGAAGGGTATGGCTCCTTATGTCGCTGAGCTTCTACAGCGCTGCGTCGAGATCATCACCAACCCACGAGTACCCAAGGGTGTGAATGAGAACGCTGCCATCGCACTAGGTCGCCTTGGTCTTGAGAATGCTGAGTTGATGGCACCGCATCTTGGTACCTTCGCCGAGGAGTTTTTGACATCAATGGAAGACGTCATTGTCACAGACGAGAAGGACACTGCTTTCAAGGGATTCACGAATGTCGTTGCGCAAAACCCCCAGGCCATGGAGAAGGTACTGCTGCAATTTTTCAAAGCCATCGCTCAATACGGTGACGACTTGACATATCCAAACCCTCTCAGGGGCGAATTGAAGAAAGCATTTCAGGACGTAAGTTTTCGTCTGGATCCAACAGGGTGATCGGCTCATTTGCTAACCATTCTCACAGGTCATCAATGCCTACCGGCAAATGATGCCTCAGTTCACCGAGTTCATCGCTCAGTTGAAGCCTGAGGATCAATCGGCACTTAAGGCGAAATATGCTATCTAGGCACCCCTGATTTCTGGCAAGATTTCTTCTAGCTGGGTCGAAGTGTTGGTGGTCAATGAAACATCTTGCACCGTACAAACACACATTACACGTAGATAGTTTTCGAACCCCTTAATACCCTTGCTTCCAGCCAATGCTGCATGTCTACCAGATAGCTGGAGATATTAGTGGCTGCTGTGAACAAAACCATCTACCACATCTCAGTCCACCTTACACTTGTCTCCTCAATAGTAGTGCCGACTTATGGGCTACGACGAATACCTGTTTGGTGGTCACGCACGGGTGCTACGACATGGCGCAGGTGAAACGGCGAGGACTGGGAGAGTGCTCGAGCGGTGGGACGATATTCGAGGAGCAGGAACGCGCGTTCGTCCCCGATACCTGAACTACTTGGTAATCACTAAACAGCGAGCGTTGTGATGACGCGCTGCACCTTTCCCTTGGTTTTTGGCGGACACAGTTGAGATTTTCTATCTATCTATCTAGTGAAGCATGAGGGCGAATAAAAGGGGGCCAGGTCAGGAGACAGCCAAAGTGTCTGAGCGACAGCGGCTATTTGCAATTTTTTGAACGTTCGACGTAGATAGACCATAACCCCGTAGATAGGATCTCTAGCGATCACCATTCATCCATCCACCTATCCATCTAGAAATATCAAATGAAGTATGGCGAGAGCGAAAGATAGCTCTGAATGTTTAAGTCCCAGTTCGAGTTCACTTAGCTAGTGTTGAAATAGTCTACCCCTTTACCCCTTTCTGGGCTACTATCTGACGGAAGCTGCCCCCTCTGCATTGATACCATATTCATTGCAAGACACTCAATGGCCGGCTCATCACTCCGCTCGGAGGCTATAGCACGGTAGTTCCCAGTCTTCATGCCCAACCGATAATAATTACCGTCCTGTAGTTAGATGAAGAGCCCTCGAGTTCACCAGTCTCGCACCCATTTTCTGGCACCTCGTCTTGTCTCCCGCTCTAGGCGAGTTATTTTCCAGGCCTCCTTTCTCGGTTGTGTGCTTTTCTTCGGCTCACGCAACCGAGAGCGGGATGCCACGATGTGTGTCTGCGGAGTAAGATCAGGTCATGGTGGGTGGCACAGAGGGGGGCAGGAGAAGCGAGGCAGAGAGGCAGATCTCACTTCGCAGCCGGTCTCGACGCGGTCGCATGGTGGCTGCTTACATGGAATTTTATCTCTCTTGAAATGTGTGCCTTTGGACGGGGCAAGAAGGGGGGGGAGGGGTGGCTTCGGACTCGGCTGGGCTGATTTGAGCCGTACTGTTCTCGTCTCGTCTCGCGCGCAGACGGACCAAGGGCGTGAAGTCCAGTTAGCCTACGGGCCTGCTTTTGCTCTTTACCTGGCAGCAGCCCCAATCTACCGGCCGGACGCCACTGAGATCTTGGCGTCCGGGCTCGATGGCAGACGGTGGCACCTTCTGTAGGGCTGACGGGGAAGCATCGCCTGCATTGCCGAAGAGTGCGCATGGCGGGTCGGGGGAGGTGGGCCGTCCCAGGCGTGGCATGTTGGCAGCAGCCATATGTTATGCAGCTCAGAGGTCTGCGAACTATGGGAAAAGGACCGCGCATGGGGTGGGCTCACGGGGTTGGTGATGACTGTCTCTCTTTAGCATGGGGAACAGGAATTACTTGTGAGAGTCCGTCGGGGCAGACTCTGGGTTAGCCATGTGGGTGTGCTGTCACGGCTCGAGGGCATGTCAAGTGGCCAGTGTGGTCGTCCTGAGGGTGGTAGACGCGCAGTGTCTCTCCTGCAAGTAAGAGTTGCGTTGCAATAAGCGCACAACTCTGAGAAGGTGACACCAAGTCTACGATAACGGGTCCTTGTGCAACGAACGTAGCCGAGCTTGAGCCCGTTTTCTTACTCTCAAGAGAGAAATCTCAACCCAACTACCGAACAAGGCGGAGCACTGGTAAATGAGTAAACATTGGGTCAGTCTAAGCTTGGCCCCCAGGTTGTTTAGCTACTTAGGAGTTGATTTATGGAGGCAGTAGAGACATAGGAGTGAAATGAAACGCATCTATCGCACGGAAAGGCCGACTTCCCGTTCCAGATTCCCTCATCTCAGGCAATATATCAGACATTTGGAATACGCCTGATGCGTCCTGCATTGCTACTACGTTTCTATCTGCCCGACCGCGGCTAATCTAGCGGTGTGTAGGGGATGGAGCGGCCGACTGAACACCACAGTCCGCCGTTCAGTAGCCCTCAAATCCCCCTTTGTGTAACCACTAAGCGCGTTGTGTAACTCTGAAAAGTCTCTGACAACTCGGCTAAATTGCAAATGTAACCGGTCGGTGGTCGCACAGTTGTCTCTGCTCTCTCTGCCCGCTGCACCTGCCGCCCTCTCGGGCTGCTGCCATAGGCTCGCTGAACGAGCAAGAGCCTTGGTTGGTGTCTTTCTCGCCAACCTTTCCCGCTCTTCTCGCTCGACCGATGCACCGCTGACTTGTCCTGATATGAAGCAACTTTATCCGGGGCTCGGACGATGAGAAAGAAGAAAAAGGGCGCCTCGCAGGAAGAGCAATAGGCAAGACCAACCTTGCTGACTGCAGCAACTTGCCTTTGCTGGCTGCAAGACACTGCAAGCCACCAACTTGTTTTGATGCCTCTTCGTGACGTGACTTGCGGCACAGCGAGCCTGGACTTTCTTCGGTCTCTCTGCCGCGCCCGAGTGCTTCTTGCCTGGAGATGAGGCATCCGTCCTGCCCAATCGCATATTATCTCAGGGACCAACAACAACTTAATCTCAATTGACACGTCACCTCGGGGGGTTGAGTTAAGAGTGTGCCTAAGCCTGAGTTTCGACGACCCTCATGTAGGGCTCTGCCTCGTGCGACGCGAAGACGGCACATCCCACAGGAGGATGAAGGCAGGCGAGGCAGGAGGAGCCAGCATCGACGCAGCTTGCACACACACAGCAACTCTAATCCCCCCTGATCTGATGGGCATATACCCCGTGATTCTCATCATCCCAGCACGATATCAGCCGTGACCGCACCGTGCCGGCACAGTATCAATCGGACGACGTGAGAGCTGGGGAGCTTAAAGCGGCGACAGGCTTTGGCAATGCCCAATGCCTGGTAAATGCCAAGGGAAGACCCTCACTTGAGATGTCACTCACTCTCTCTTCCCCCTGAGTCAAGCTCAGCCCTGGAGCCCGAGAGCGTCATCAACTCGGGGCGCGGGTCTCAGATTCAGGGGCGCCGGGGGGCCGTTGGATTGCTGACTCGGGGCATCTGGCTGCGCAGGTAGGCTCACTCCCTCCCTAGAGGGTAATCTCCTGCGCTGGTCTCGTCACATTGCTTTGGGCTGTGCCGATTGTCTTAGACGCAACAGGCCAAAAAGCAACAACAGAAAGGCCCTAACCCAGGAAACTCCATCGTACTTTTTCCTGGAGGAGCGGAGCCCACAGTTGGGTTTTTTTTACCTAGGTAGTTTCTGCTTAGGTCTGTAGATCACTCAACAGCTCTCGAGCTCTCCTGCTTTGTCCCCAGGACAAGCCGCGCTAGTGGCAAAGCAGATGGGGACAGGAAAAGGACCCTGAAACACTCGCCGGGCGTAAACTGTCGAAACAGCTCGCAGAGCGAAAGGGTATCCGGATAGCTGGGAATGGGCGAAGAACGGGGAAGTCGCCGGGGAAGTAAGCAGTTTCGGGCCGTCTGCGATTTGACATGACGTGGCGGACGGGACTCAGCCACGGGGGGTGACGGACAGAAAGACGTAGAGACATAGAGATAGAGAGAGGGAGTATAGGGGGGGGGATAAGACAAGGAGAATGGGTGAGAAGGTGGAAAGAGTGCAACTTTCAGCGCGAATGTTGCTGCCTAGGAACTAAGAGGGCTAGCCTTGCATTGCAAGGCTGACGGCGCGAAACTTGGGGGTAACCCGGATCCGCCAAGCAGAGAGCAGAGATGCAAAGAAGCAAGCCAGAGGCGAAGAACAGTCGCTGAATTGAACGTTGCAGCGCAGGTAAGAGCGCAATTAGGGTTGGACACGGGACTAAGACGGTCATCGACGAGGACGATCACCCTTTTCAGCAGTAGCGAGAACATTGGCTGGTTCGCTGATATGGCCTTTTTCAGGTACGGGCTGACGAGGATCGTCGCGTGCGTGCGGAATCGCTGCGCCTTACGAGCGGAACCGCCGTTGCCCATAGGTTCATGCTCTCTGTCCGGAGCGCAGCGTAGCGGTAGGGAAGGTGGAAACCTTCCTCTTCCAGGGAGGAGAGGAGGACAGCATGAACACAAAGGCCGGGTAGCCACGTCGGAAATTTTTTGGTCTATCGACGGAGGGCATGATGCGGTGGCAGATTGAATAGGACAGGACAGTCCAGCACGCAGAATGGTGTGTGGATGATGGGGAGGGATTGGATGCTGCAGCCCGGATGATCGGAATTTAGTTGCGTGAGAGCCCGTGCAACAAGATCGACCAGACGAATGCCAGGCGCAACTCCGCTAGTAGGTATCATGGGAGGGCGACCTCTTGGATGAGGAGGACTGCGAAGGAGCACGTACATCTGTCTGTCTGGCTGTCTATCTGTCTGGTTAGATTGTCCTGCATGCTCAACCTGATTCTGCCCATTTAAATAATCATGTCTCACAAAGTAGACGAGCAGCAAATGATGCTCATGCACGTAATCAAACACACGACCGAACCTTCTGCTGCGGTGGCACTGAAGACTAATCCAGAAGTAAGTAAGTAATCGTGAGCGTAGAATTCGGGATTTGGTGGAGTGATGTTGACGCCGTTGGACCCCGAATCACTACCGCCGCCTTCATCTACACTTAGACACGCCGCGAGCCAGCAGCGTTGGAGGAGTTGGATCAGGCCTCCCATCCGGACCAAAATTGGCATCGGATGAGGACCGGCTCGCCGACGGCATCCGAGAAGATACGGGCCGTTTGGGCCTTGCGTGGGAGGAGAGGCAACGATCAATCATGATATGGCGCCCCTCCCCGGATATCGCTCGCTACCTACCTTATGCA